CTCGAGATATGAATGATGATTTTATGCTCTCCTCCTTTTTTCCAATCATCTTCATGCATTGATTTGTAATTTCTGTTGCTATACTACTAACTTCTCGTTTTGATGAAGAGCTCCCAAGTTGCATAACGAGATATGATTTGTTCCTTTTATCTTTTTTTTTCCATCCCCCCTACCCCTACCCTTAACCCCCTTTGGTTGCTACTTCTCTCCCGCTGGCGCTGATTTGCTTTTGTTGTATTCTGATCCTGATTTCTACCCGGTTTGCTTCCAGTCTTTTCTTACTCAGCGCAGCGCAGCACAGCATAGTTAGCATTGATGTCTTGAACGATGGGAGTTACACTTTTTTTTAATGCCCTTGATCTTCTGCTTCTTCCCATGATCGTCAACGGTTGGCCGAAGAAGATATGACGACAATAACGGAGTCAATCATGTGTAACGAGTCACAGCAGGTAGTCTTCTTATATTTGTCTTTATTCGAAAAAAAAGGGAAAAAAAGAACATATATTGATAGCTAATCTTATATTGCTCTTGCAGCCTTGACGCACCTTACCGTCGCCACATCTAACCACACAATTCGCGGGATGTCATGCACCTCTGATTGTTTGTATACGGCATAGCCTACCTATCCATACATAGTATATGCATTACCTACCACCCTCTCCAGCTCTGCCAAACATCAACGATACGATCCTTCTCACTTCCCTGAGCGGTCGAATCAACAACAAGCAAATGACTGAACCCTGCACAGCAGATGCAACAGTGATTCGGCCAAATTCGCAGTTTCTCACCAATTCGCAAGGGTCGCATATTCTCTCGCGACCCGTGCCAGCGCAAAATGCCGTGCTCCTGGCTTATACGATCCAGAACCCATCCCGTTCTGTTTCCGTCTGGATCATAAAAGCCGACTTCTTCATCCGTTGCTGCCTGCTCCCGCCAGGGTGTAACTACACCCCAGCCAGAGTAGCTACGGCACGGCTCGCGCCCGACGGCCAGCAAACCACATGCAACAAGCGCCTCCGGGTGTTCACGGTGCATGTACAAAGAGCCAACTTCCGCAAGGACGGTAAGCGCCAGGTCATCAAATGATAGATGTGAGCTGTACGGCCGCGCACGGGCGGCTAACTGCTGCATGTCCAACGTCACGTATGCACCCGCGTGCAGCTCGACGTCATATCTCTGTTTGGTCTGATCAATCAGTGCCTTGGTCTTATCTGCTCCGGGAAGGCTGAGGGTCTGGGATTCCGTCAGATTCTGTGCTGCGGTGGCACTGGGCGTTGCGCCGACGGAGAGAATGAAGCGGCGTTGGGAATAGTTGGTTTCCCCGTCGAACGGGATCGGTGGCGGTATGGCTGAGGCACGGTCCGCCGCGAGCTTGCAGCCTTCAATTTCCGTGCGAAGGTAGTCCATTGCATCTGACGGGTGGTCGGAGCTATAACTATGCCCCATATGGGAGTAGAACCCGCGGAGGGTGAAGAGGTGTGGCTCCTTTCCCTCCACGGTGTAGAGTTCGCTGACGATGGCATCGAACTGTGGACTATTGTAAGCTACGCCAGCGCGACCATAGCCAGTGTCCATCTTGACGAAGACGCCTAGTCTCTTGCCACAGAGAGCATGGTAGCGAGACAGATAGGGGATGATCTCAATGCTGTCCACCAGGCATGTCACCGCCCCATGGCCGAGGGTCTTACCCAACTCAGCAAGACGAGGGAAGCATGACGGTTGAATGGGAAGACCGTAGATCAGCTATATTTCGCACGTCAACCATGTCACTTGAGAATTCCTTACGCCTTGCTCCAAGGGCGGTGGAGGGGGGTATGGAGGACAGAACATACGTCTACTTTCCGCCCTTTTGTTTGGCATTCTTTCAGAAAGGGAATCAGCTGCTCTGCCTCTAGCAGCGTGGATGCCACCAGCCGTACCGTGTCCGACTTTTCTCCAACTTGGAAGCGAGTGAGTTCCGTTGTCTAGCAGCAATGTCAGCCATCAAGAAACCGCCCCCACCACGCCGATATATACATATATTCCGCATATACTCATGTATATATGATAGACGGGGGGGTGGGGGAGATGTAACGGTACCTTATGCGTCTTTACGTGCGCCCTAAAGTCCACCTCCAAGGCAGCGACAGTATCAAGCATAACCTGGCAGTTACGGCGTGCCACCTCACGGTCGATGACTGGTTTGGGGCCATCGATATCTTGCAGCATACGACCGACATACAGGGCCTTTAGTTCGGCAGCCTCAGCGTTCGACGTCATCGCAGGCAGTTTCGTTTCCTTGTCTTTCTCCGTCTCTGCTCTCTCTCTTCTCTCTGGACCCTGACGTGGCCTTGGGGGTCTTCTTAAGATATCTGTCCGGCGGATGATGTGTGTACAGATGTGTGGATAGATGTCTGCCCGCTATCAATATGCTTGGGCTGGCGTGGTGTCCAACGGCAGCGGACCCTCCTCCGTGGCCAGCGTCAACCGGAAAAAGCAAAGAGATATCTCAAGAGGCTAAACTGGCTGGTGTTTACAAGCGTTTGCTTGTTGGATACGTTAACTCGGTGTCTATCGTACTTGGTGGGGAAGATGAGGATGCTGTCTGTTGCCAGGATGAAACGAACTCCTCATGTTGAAGCAAACGGAGAGACAAACCGGATATTTCTCTCCTTCATCCTCCTCCCCCTTCTCCAACCACAATCCATGTAGGAAAACAAAGAGGCAGCCCAAAGACCAACTACTGCAGGACGACCGGATATAATCAACTTTTTTCTCTTTTCTTTTCTTTTTTTTCAAAAAAACAACCTTGGGTAAACTGCTAGAGTACGAGGGGAAGGAAGATGCGCAGCTGACTAACTCGTCTATCAAAGTTGACCCTTCGACTATCCCCCCCCCACGCTGTGTGGCTTTCTTCTCTCCCGACAGAACTAACAAGATAACGAGAAGAAGAGACGAAAGAAGATACAATAATGTCTGCCAAACAAGCCGTACTTACAGACAAGGCCCCCGCGCCGTTGCCAGTGTTCTCGCAAGCCATCGTCCACAACGGCATCGTGTACTGCTCCGGCCAGGTTGGCACCGATCCAGCTACCCGCGAGTTGGTCGAAGGGACCGTCAAGGATCGCACTGTATGTTTGCTCGTTGTCAAAGGGCCAGTTTCTTCCAATGATACGTCAAGGGAAAAGAGTAAAGCCTGGACTGACACGACATGATAATTGGTGTATCAAAGGCCCAGATCTTCCGCAACATCAGTGCAGTGCTGGAGGCTGCAGGGTCGAGCCTGGAGAAGCTGCTCAAGGTCAACGTCTTCCTCACCAACATGGATGACTTTGCAGCCGTCAATGAGGTCTACGCACAGTACCTTAACTTTGAACCCAAGCCGGTAACTTGCTTTCTCTCTATATATATCACAACTATTATTGGACACTGACCCCTCTTGGAATAGGTCCGAACTTGTGTTGCGGTCAAGACCCTTCCACGAAACACGGATGTCGAGATTGAGTGTTCAGCTTATATCTAAATAGCCCATTATCTTCGCTCCTTGTTCCATTCTCCCCCTGAAGGAAGATAACGGGGGAAAAGTACAAATGTATCTAGCTAGCCTACAATCAAAAGGAAAATTAAGCGTGCGTTGTCCTGCTTGTCAGACATGAACTGGAACAGAAGCAAATATCTCACTAACTTCCACGTGGAAAATAGCGAAAAGTAAGGGGGAGGAAGAATTAAGAGGAGGCAAAAAATGAAGAAAAAGGAAAGAAAAGAGACGAAAGGAAAAAGAAATCAAATTCTTCTTCTCTCACCTTATTCTAGACATATTCTTGACGTCAACGAGGGTTGTCCCTCAGCCACCAATTCTACCTCCAGCTGGGCGGTCAAAGACAAATTCGGCTTCCCACGAATAGTCGCCTCCAGGCGGGCCCGTTCATCTGTTCAGCTGCCTTAAAACACACGAAGTCAGGCCCTGGCAAAGCGGCCACAAGCAGGATTGCCATGATCTAATCCTCTTCCCCCTGCAAGGCCCCTCTATCTCATCCAACTACTCAGCTTATAAAGAGTGAAGCGTTTTAAAAAAAGTACGATATACGGATCACCCAACGCTAATTTCAACCAACATCCACGATCCATGCAGGTCTTGATGACCCTCTTAAAGATAAAAAAAAAAAAAAACGAACAGCAGCAATTCCCCGAGAGCCCCATCCCTGATCATCGTTAGAGTCCTCCCATACCATCCCATCCCACATCCATGGGTTGGATGCAGCGTTGTCCAAATCTGGGGCTTAATCCCGGAGAATCCTTCTTGAAGACTTAAATATTCGCCTTCTTATCTACTAAATATATATTAGCTAACCAGTTTCTCCAGCAAGCACCAAGAAGAGTAACGATACGGGAGAAAAAGATCCAGATATAGATAGTGGATGGGGCCGTTGTTTGTCATGGCATGGAACAATCACACAGCAACCAGATATAGGCCCTGTATATGGATACCGATGCTATCATAGCATGGGGGTTTCTCACCCTTCAAAGGGACGGATTATATAAAAAAAGAAAAGACAGCAAAAAAAAAAAAGAAAAGAAAAGACAAGAGGTGAACTGAAAATAGCCGTTTGCATTGTATCTTTCTTTTTTTTTGAGAGTTTTTGCTCATTTCTTCCTCGTTTGGTTCAACGAATTGGATATCGACTTTCGCCTCCCTCTCTTGATCCCTTTATCATTCCTTCGTTGATCTGACCTGAGGGTTTTCTCCACAGTGTCACCGTTTGCTTTTTCTTCTTCTTCTTCCTCCCTTTATTTTTTTTTTCTTCCTCCCTGGGCTTGCTTTGCAAAAGCTAACAACTCGAAGCTCCGTAGGAAGAGGTCTCAAAGGAGGCAAACAATATCAACAACTCCCACAACATCTCACCATCTCCGAGAAACCATTTCATAGAGACGGAAAGGAGGGAGATTGATATGACCAGAGATTGACTGGAAGTATCCACAAGCCGCGCCCATCCCACGGCACTCTCCGTATAATGGAGTGACTATAATATGTATAATGACCAAAAAAAAAAAAGTACAACCCATGCCAATCAGCCGGATCGTGAGCTAACGTTGGTCTTGACAAGCATGGCCTTCCACACTATCCTTTCACCGATCTTTTGACCTTGTGATTCGCTTCAAACTTCTCCCTTTTCTTTTAGCTCTGGGCCCTCGTTTTCGGGTCTGATGGTTGGGCATAACAATTCGTTGTGACATTGTTAAGGGCCCGGCAGCTCTCCGCAAAGTCTACGCGAAAGCCGATGCGCCCTCCCTCTGCTACTCCGTTGCGTTGGCCCTTCAATCATATCACTTTGAACCCTTTTTTTTTTTTGGCTCCCAGGGTTTGCCATGCACAGAGTGGAGGCATATATAGCCAGGGGAATATCTTGTTCTTTTTTCCTTATTTTTTTGCTTTCATCGTTTCCATATGCTCCTTCACTCAAATACTTACGATTGCATTGCTCCTGCTCCTTTTTTTTTATTATTTATTTTTTTGATAACGACAGATATATTACCGGTTAACGCCCCGATTCCTTTGATACCTCATAAGGCCTCATCTCTTTTTTTTTTTCTTTAGGCTCTCGTCAGCTTATCCATATATATATATATAACTTGCACCGCGTGTCGAATTTGAATGCCGTCAACTCAATCTTCTGCTTCGTCCCCTTCACCCCTATCAGCAATGCCTCCGATGCATAACGACAACGTCATGGACCGGAGTAGCCTGCAGCCGGTCACTAAAGGGATCCGTACCCTGGTTCCCGGCTTTTATGTCCCAACAATTTGCTTCTTTGATCCCGACACAGAAGATGTTGACCTCTCTATCACTTCGGATCACGCTGTAAGGCTGGCTCAGGCTGGCGTGACGGGCATCACCGTCCACGGCTCCAACGGAGAGGCCATACATCTGTCCTCCGAGGAGCGCAACTTGGTCACAGAACATACCCGACAGGCTCTAGACAACGCGGGCTACGCTAGCATGCCACTAATGGTTGGCTGCAGTGCGCAGTCGACGCGCGAAACCATTCAGCTATGTTGTGATGCGTATGCAAGCGGGGGAGACTTTGCCCTTGTACTCGCTCCCTCGTATTACCGGGGCTTGTTCGCTGCGGATACGATTATGCAATTCTTCACAGATGTAGCTGACGCTTCACCCGTCCCGATCGTGATATACAACTATCCCGTTGCCGCTTCAGGGCTTGACCTGGATTCAGACACCATCACCGCCCTGAGCAAGCATCCCAACATCGTGGGATGCAAGTTCACATGTGGAAACACCGGAAAGCTCAACCGGGTTGTTACAGCTCAGCGAGCAGCGCACCAGGGGACGAAACTGGCAAGTATCAGCAATGGCAATGGCAAGGCTAGCAGCAGCGCATTCCTCTGCTTTGGAGGTTCTGGCGACTTTACGCTCCAGACCCTGATCGGTGGGGGGTCCGGAATTATCGGAGGCATCGCAAACCTGGCTCCCAAGACATGCATGCTGCTTTTGAGCCTGTACGCAGAGGGCAAGATGGAAGAGGCCCGTGAGGTGCAGGATGTTCTGTCTAGAGGCGACTGGGCTGCCATCAAGAGCGGTGTGGTCGGTATAAAGTCAGCCATGCAGTCGCACTTTGGATATGGAGGGTATGCAAGGAGGCCACTTCCACGGCCATCAATAGAAGCCCGGGACTCGTATACGATGCAATTCAAGGAACTAGTTGACTTTGAGAAGGCGTTGTAGTGGTACCTATGCCCTTGTCCTGGTCGACATCTATACACTAATGATCCTTTCTTCTTGTACTTCTCTTTCTCTCGTTATTCTGGGCTCTTTCTTTCCCTCCTGCATCTTTCTCATCCCTACCCCCTTTTTTTCCAACTTCCTGGTTCTTCTGGTCGATGTCTGGTGTCCGGTTCTTCTTCCTGGCTTCTATGGAGTAATAATAATAGACCTCCTTTTTTATCCGACTTTCTGTCACATACTATGTAGTAAGACTTCCCCCACGCTACGCTGTTAGCACTTCTTATGCTCAGCCGCTGTACTTCATAAGTCCATCCGCCTTATAAGTTTTTTAAACGATGTACTATGCAACTACATAGTAGAAAGCCACCCAAAACTCAATCCAACAAGGTTTACTGGGAAACCCGCAGTTATGGCACTGTCCCGCGTTCTGTGGGGGTAGAAAAAAATAGACGAGAAGATAGTGAAGAAGAGGGCGAAAAAGGGGGGAGAGAAGAGAAAAGGTGGTTGGAAGGAGAAGAAGAGCTCAGGGGCTAAGCGGGCGAGCTGAAAAGACATGGAGAAGCGAAGGAGGTCGTCAGGCTTTGGCGAGGATGCAGCAAACACGAATATGAAACCCGACCAGATTATCAGCCTGAGGAGTCAGAGGCAGAGAGAGAGAGAGGGAGAGAGACTGAAGATGCATTGCTGTATCCTGCATGAGTCTGTCTGTCTGTCTACCCGGAGTATCTCCGTACATGATTCGGACATCAAAGACCTGCAGCAGGCCTAGTTATATGTATGTCCCTACGCACATCTCGGACATGCCCTTTTAATACTAGGTGCAGGGCCACGAGTCCCCATCGAACGGGAGGGACGCAGCGGGATCACACGTAGGGAGAAGAGAGAGTGGGTGATGGTGAGCTGAGGGTCATGGACAAAGTCGACATGGATATGGACCGGGGATGGGATATGTACCTCTACCTTCATAAGCCCTAAGGGAGCATGAGATGCTAGGAAACCCGGACACGGAGGGAGGAGAGATGCAGTCTGCACAAACATCTGCGGCGGAGCTCGATGGCTGCATATATAATAGGTACATATGTTATACCCCCTACATCCATATCCTGTCTCGTCTTATCAAGGTACCTATATAACTAACCCATTCTATAGGTTGGGTCTGGAAGACCCTTGTCCTGCCGCCGTTATGCATGGAGCGCCCTTCTCTAGTTGCTGTGTACACCCAAGATAACTCAACATCGGCTCTCGTATTATCTATGGTAGCTGCAGGATCTTCCGCCGGTGACGACCTTGCTGCACTCAATGGCTCATCACTTCATACCTTGCTTTTTTTATATCTCCAGATCTTCGTTCTAGCCATGAAGATAGCACAGCTGATACCACGAATAACGTCATATACTGCAACTGTGAACACAGCAATGCTCTTGAGGGCGTTCTAGTTCCGTGACCACTGCCTACCAAGCCGCTGCTACCTCTAATATACATGGAATGCTCAGCCACAGCTGCTGATCATGTTGGTTGAGTTAAACATCTTGTGTCAGGAGGGCAAATAACACGCTGAGAAGCGGAGGGTGGCTGGTATCAAGTGCGACCTTGTCAATATGAAAAAGGATACCTCATGCATTATCAGCCCCATGATGGACATATATAGAGGCTGGCAGATGGGGCTATCACAGGCTTGATAAAGCATGCAGTCAAGACTTGCATTTGCTCAAGGTAAACATCCCACTGGCTTATGGGCAATTGTACCTGGCCTAGAACCCTCTAGGTACATTCTCCGTCAAGGTTTGAGTGTAGGGACAAGTTTTCCTTCACAGCATACCATGGATAAAGACAGGTATTCGGGACAGAATGTAGGATCAGGCTGGTTTTAAATCACTGTGCTACCCCCTTGAGTTCGGGTGACAGAAAACGAGATAAAAATATATCCGACCTATCTTAATTCTAAAAACTGCTCTGATCTTCAACTATTCAACTTGTACAAAGAATGAATATTATTCTACGGCTGACACTTTTAACTTGATAGATTTAATCATTACCAAGAACTAAGAGGCTCATTCTGTGGTTGATGATATCCTATCTGGAAAAGACCGTCTGTGCTATACATATAACCTCTCCAAACAGCCTTCGGGGATGGTATATGAATAACCAACAAAAAAAGGTCATAGGCAAGATATCTCTACACAGTAAATGATATCTTGCCTACAAAGCCCTGCGGAATTGATGTGCAACAGGCAATGAACCATGGATCACGGCATGACTGAAATATCAGCTGTGTCTCCTCGCAAACCTGCAGAGGCAACATGGTGTCAAGCCTCTTTATTGGCCTTTTCTCCCATACTTGATTAAATATTCTCAACTGGCTTCCACTTCAAGCCACAATATAGTATTTTGTCTACGTGAGATAGACAAGACAGTCACCAGCGTCTGGTAATAACAAGCCTATGCTCCCTGATGTTCATCCCGGGTAAAGGTATTATTGAGCCGGCCAGCCACCTCCTCCCTGAAGAAAGCTGTGAGACTCCAGCCAAGGATGGCGAAGGACAAGCTGCCGATGATGATGCAGTGGCTAAAACCGTCGGCCATGTAGCAGGGCGAGTACTTTGTTCTACACGGGATGTTCGGCTCCTGCCCATATCCGCGGTAATGTGTAGGTTTGCTGCACATACTTACTGCCCTTTGCCACCACCAGGGACTAACCGGTAGATCTTTTCGATGCATTGGATAAAGGGGATATCAGAAACGCGCAGACCCACGGCCTCGACATGAGTAAGATGCGCTCTAGGTAGTTTGGTACTTTCACCAGTAACCCTAGGCTAACTATCATGTGGTCCCGCTCGTGTCCCGTTGATATGCATGTTCTGTTTTAGCCTTAGCTCTCCTCTCCACTGCCACTTACAATTTATCGACGAGGAGAGCTCGCTTTATAACGCATCTAGCATGCAAATGCCCTTTCCAGCTTGCTTGCATTCGGAGTATTCCAGGCTCCCCGCTTAAAGCTGAAAGGATGGCGCTATCTCTTCATTGTTGAGGCAGCATGTATCCTATGCTTCTCCGTTTTTGCACTCTAATATTTGCCTCGCAAACTAGCTGGGGCAGGGTTCCGCAGTGGAATACTAAAACATATCTCGATGAGGATGAAGCAGTATGAAGTTGGATGTTTGAAGATTCGAGGGCAGAATTTCTCATTGATGGTAGAAGATGATCACCACCAGCAAAAAAACCAATTAAAGATCCCTGTATCACGTGATATCGCGTCCTCTTCGCGTTCCACTTTTCTGCTTCAGCCACGTCAACGTTGATTTCCCGCAGGGAAGAGAGCAAGAAACACGAGAAGAAAAGATGGGCGAGAGAGAGGAATAGAGAACGAGAGATGCCGTATTCCGGCGATGTGGATACGGAGTGAGTCACCCGTTGTTGACATGTTGCTGGAGATATATCAAATCAGACACTGATGCCCTTGAAGACGACAGTATGGGGTTGGTGTCCACCCGTATCCAACCATGAAGTTCGCTGAAGCTGCTATGAGCATAAATAACCCCATAGTCCTTCGATGGTAGAGGATGTTTTTTCGAATGTTACAAAGATTTCTTTACTCGTACTTTTAAGAGACAGCTTCAAAAGGAAAGCAACACACATTCCCTTTCTTCTACAACGCAAGATCAAACGGTAGAGATGTCTCAGAACGATCGTGCGCTCTTCCTTCGCAGTCTTCATAAGAAAGGCGATCCTTTAGTCCTTTGCAATGTCTATGATGGTCGGACCGCAGACATCGTCCTTAGCCACAAGGGAAGCAAGGGTGAACATTCAGCAAAGGCTTTGGCAACCAGCAGTTTTGCCGTGGCGGCCGTACACGGGAAACCCGACGAAGAACTCGAGCCAGAAATGCTCGCGATGGCAGCCAAGGATATCGTTGGTGTAATTAACCGCCACATATCCACCAGAGAAAGCAAAGATCCTATCCCACTCTCAATCGACATGAGAGACGGATGGGGAGACAGGCTTGAAGAAACCATCACATCACTCATCGACGCTGGCGTGGTAGGATGCAACCTTGAGGATGAAGACAATGAAACAGGAAAGTGCATGCCTTTACCTCAAGCAGTGGATCGCATTAAAAGGGTCATGGCCAAGGCAACTGAGCTGGGTGTTCCCGACTTCGTCATCAATGCGCGAACGGATGTTTTGGGGCACGGTGGGACAATAGAAGAAGCCATTGCAAGGGGGAAAGCGTTTATGGAAGCTGGTGCCTTTTGTGTTTTTGTCTGGGGTGGCAACCACGGGCGTGGGGTAACGAGGGAGGAAGGGAAGATGTGTGTTGATGCATTTGATGGATTGTGGAATGCGAGACTGAAAACAGGGCCTGGTTTCCTGACCGTCAAGGAATTGACAGACATGGGAGTGAGGAGGATCAGTTTGGGAAAGGAGCTGGGTGATATTGCAATGGATGCATACCGTGTTGCTGTGGAGAAGGTTTTGGCCTGAACACTGCTATATTTTTAAAATGTTACGGACATATATACGGAGTATATATGAATGTGATACGTTTGAAGAATCCACAGTAGGAGTAATATTGCAACAAAAAAATTGATAACATGGTTTACTGTATTTCTCCGTAGGTGTTTATACACTTGTGGTGACAGAGAATGGATAACTAGAAAATAGCGGTAGTATTTGCGCGAGTACTCACTCCACCTACACGTATTACAGGAATTGGTTAGCCAACGGAAAATAGCCCCTTCGTGCAATATTGTGATGCATGACATCTCTTGCCCGTAAATAAAGCAGGAAAAGTAAGACGCTGGACGTGTAACTCACCTGGAACGTTGGAGGGGGCGCTGGTCAAGAAGAAGAACCAGCGGCCAGTCTCATGGCATTTCTTCGCCAGTCGCTCGAGATCCCACATTTCGCCAAGTGGCATCCCCCACAAGGCAAGAATGTATTCATGCAGATAATATGATACAGGGGTTGGCCAGCGCTCAAAGGCCGGGGCATCGCCAGCTACAGCAGCGAAGTAGCAGTCATGCAGCCAGTCAAGCATCGCATCTTCCTGTGCAACACCAGCGTACTTTTGTCCATCATCGGCTCCGGCAATGTGTGGTCGGAGAGCCAGCTCCGTACGCTCTTCGGGAGTTCGCTCGTGATAGCTTTCCACCCATCCTGACCGAATCAACAAGATATCACCGACTTTTATATCTCCACCCTGCGCCTTTGGTCGGATATCGATGCCTTGGGCCTTTCCGCATTTGCGGAGATCCTCGTAAGTGATTGCATGTGGAGTATAGGGGTCATAGTCGACCCCGTTGGCTTTTGCGTATGATCGGTAGTCTAGTAGAACCGCGCGGCCTGCGATACCGTGCTCTGCCCAGTGGTGAATGCTGCATTTATGGTTTGCATTTGGACCAACTATATCTTCTCCTTTTGTCTGTTTTCAAAAGATTAGAGTATAACCAAGTATGGCGTTGTAAGGGCTACTTACACCGTTGTAGAAACTGGCGGAGGCCAAATGAGCAAACTGTTGGTAAAGATCTAGAGTTAGAATGAATGGTCGTATAACAGCGGTTAGTACTTACATGTCTGAATCCATCCCATTGCGTCCCAAACTGGGTATTCAGCTCATATAAATCATCGTAGGCAATACCGTCCACGATAGTCTTAATAGTATGCACGAACTTCTCCCGGGCAAAGCCTGGAGTCTCTGGGACGTTAAACGGCAACCTATTCCCTGAATGTTAGACCTCTTTCCTTAGGGCATAGGAAATAAGAGACTCACTCCAGAGGGATGACTTCTCCGGTTTTGATTTCAGCGGCTGCTGCCTTGACCCGGGCTGGAGTGAGTAGATTCAACCTCCCGATCTATGATCAGGCCCATTAGTCCAGAAGAACGCAAAAGCTTGAAAAGAGAATATAAGTCCAGCTCACATTATCATCCTTACCCCATACCCAAGCAGCGTCTTTGGGAGCTCCTGGGATATCAGGGAGATTTTTGCGGGTAGGGAAGCTGGTATGGTCAGGATCCCAGGGAAGCTCGTCTGAGGGCTTTGGGCTTGATTCCATGAGTCCGAGTACCTGAGAAATCCTCCTGCCAATAGACGACATAGAACGGGCTTCTCTTCGACGATAAACGATAGAGCAAAGGAGGAGCTTATAGGAGGGAGAGAGAGCCGTTAAATACGACAACCGTTCGGTACATTCGGTAATGCCGGTCCACAGACTATCCCCACGACCTATCCGGCTTCCTATCCAGAGACCCCAATGACTCCTAGGACATAGTTATATGCCCGGCCAAGCGGAGCCCAACTGCGTTTTATTTTTCTTTTTTTTTCCCGCAGAAACACATCAGCTTGCGCTGGGGGTGACGATTAAGACGTGTATCGACATATACTATGTATGTAAGCTGGTTCAACCACATAGGGCTCGAATGAACCAGTGGATGATTCGTCCTTTGTTCATCAAGTTCCCTGTTGACCAAGATGCTGAACCCAGTGTTGTCTGCAGGATGCCATCATCGCTGGAGCTCCCCGAGTTCTGGCCCGATCTTTCGGCAGTCCACCAAGGGCTTTACCCCCCAGTCGCTAGAATCATTCTGTCCCGAGGCCCGAACGCACCTGAGGCCAGTCGATAACTAAAGCACGGAGGTCAGTTTGTACGAGGTCAGGTCGTGGGTTTATAGCCTCTAAGGGGCAACTCGTCGGTCTTCTTTTTCTCTCTGTATATTCCGTGTGAATACAGTGATCTGATGTCCAAGTTTGGCCATGAGAAGAGCCCAATCCTTTGACCTACAATGATACGTATCCAAGCCCCTGCATGCATATATGCAAGTTCGACTCGCTCTTTAGTGGAACTTTGGTCACATATGCGTCGAAAGAGAATCGCTGCTCGTATTGGGATTTTTATTCTCAGTCCAACTGCCCTTTTGAGGATAAGGGGTCATCACTTATATCCCTTCTTGCATGACAATGGTCAAAGAGGAGAGTGAAAATACATATAGATGAGATGGGACGACGTTATCTTTACTTGCTTCTTCTGCAATAGCTCCGGACAAGGCATCCAAGTACGTTCAAGATAGGGTATTTCAGAACTCAGATGCTCCGTTCGATCTAGCATGATTTGATGGTGTTATTAAAGAAGAGTAGGTGAGTGTCCTTACTCTACCCTCATATTCCAATACCTAACTGCTGGAATACTAGCTCATGGCGATGATGTAGAGCCTGAAATTGAATCTGCTCATTATAAGCGTGATGGAAGCCGCTGCTATATTTCAGGTTGTGTTGCGGGCATTAAACCCATATATATTATTGCTTCGACCACGAGATAGGAAGAGTGATCTCTAGAATCTTTTACTCTTGGAATCCTCAATCCGTCGTGCTTTCGTGGTGGCCCGTTTTGAAATCATTAAGCAGCGTATGTAAGGCCGCCATACCTACCAAAACACACTCCTAAATCAAAGAATGGAGGTGTAAGTTCCTTATGATGGTAAATATGACAATGAATTGGACGTCGAGGCCTTCGTCCTCTTTAACTCGCCGTAATCATAGTATCTGGTGTAGTATAGATGTTAAACTTATCGTCTCTACAAATCCTGCGGCAGCCCAACTTGGTATGAGAAGTCAAGACCTAACAATATGTAAAGACCAAAAAAAGACATACGAAAGTCGGGATTCGCTGGTGGTCACCCACCCAACTACTAACCGACCGGCAAGTGGCTTAAGTACAGCTGAGCGGACGGGAAGCTCTGTTTTCCACTTCCTATGTTCGTATGTACCAGACACAAGGACGGGGGGGTAGATATCCAGTGATCATCTTATCATCTTGCATTATTATATCTTGATTCCATGTTCGACATGCTGTTCTTCCGGCTTCGATTTAATATCCAAAGATATGACTCCATCCTCTATGTGAGGCACTGTTGTACCGGACAACACACCAGCCTCGCCTTTTCTAGCATCATCCATGGACATTGGGGGACCTGTGAATGCTTTGCGCGCCCTGACAAAATACCAAACCACGCTGATGGTGGCGAATCCGGCAAACACAACACTTGCATAATTCATGCTCGACGGCGTGACTGGCAAAGACACCGGCAAACAGAAAAGGAAGGTAGAGAAACATATCCAACAGACTGTTGTCACATTAATCACATATCCAAACTTACCCAGGGAAAAAGGCGCATTCTTAAACATCTTGCGACGGCGAACGAGGGATATCAAGATCGGTAGACCGTAGGAGGTTGACAGGCAGATTGTAGCCACACCGGTAAAGGAGTTGAAAGCCGCAGCGGAGCCAAAGTAGATCAATCCTAAAAGACAGTCTACCGAAGTCGAGAGAACGATCCCCCACAAGGGGACGCCGAATCGACTACTTACCCTTTTCCATATCCGAGATCCTGGGATAGCACCATCACGAGCGAATGCATAGGTGCAGCGACTGGCGGCAGTGAGAGCGCCGATTCCGGCAAATATCTGGATACCCATGATCAAAAAGAGCATTCCGAAGCCACCAGCTGCTGAGCCAGTGACTGTCTTGAATAAAAGGCCGATCGGTTGGCCGTTGGCGACCGAGAGGAGCATCTTTACCTCTGGTAGGACGAAAAGAAGAGTGATCAGGTATACGAGACCAGTTACTCCGGCGGCGACGACTGAGAGAACAATTGCCTTGGGGACCTCTCGGTGAGGATTCTGTGTTTCTTCGCACATGGCTGCAACCATCCCGTATCCAGTCAGGGTATAAGCAGGCTGGAGCAAGCCAACAAAGAACGCCCATCCCGTAGGCCTAGACGTGGTCAGTATTTGCATAGTAAAGAAATATTTAAACGTCGACCAGAGGGCGTTATGCGTACCATCCACTAGCAGACGCATCGTAGTGCGTAAAAACAAATTTCCCGCTTCTTCTCTGATCAGCAAGCGAAAGCAAGGTGATCATGATAATAAGCACGCTAGACGCTGTCCAAAATATGCATATTTTATTGATGAGATCTAGGTATCGCGATCCAAATATGTTTACCAACGCGCAGACCAGCATAACCGCCCAGAACATCAAGATGGTCTGCCACTGATTTGGGACAAAGTCTTCCTTCCAGAGCGAAATCGCACTCAGGATCAACTGGCCTCCAGAGAAGTTTATGCTCAAGGTTACGGTCCAGTTTCCCACGAGCGTCAGCCACCCGTCGATAAATGACATCAATGGCGCCCACTCCCGCGTTGACAGCATCGCACTCCAGTAGTATACTCCTCCTGCGGTTGGATATACAGAACATATCTCCGCGAGTGACGCTGCGATAGCGATGGATATCAAGGTGACGAGCACCCAGCCCCAGATTATAGTGACCGACTGTCCATCGGTAAGAGTGATATATAGCGTGGTGCTCAGCCCAAAGGGAGCAGCCATGATAGCAAAGGATCTATTGAAACGGGCAAACTAGTTAGTTAGCCAGAGATTCACATATAATAAGTAGATAAATATGACTGAACATACAGGCCGAGAACACTCATCATGCCCAGATTTCGAGGTAGTTCGCTCTTGTATCCCATCTTCGCTAACGCAGCGTTAGCATTTGCGTCCTCAGACGCCCTCTGTGTCCTCCCGTCATCGTCCTCTGGTGCTCTCGCCATTCTCCTGGGAGCCGGTTCAAGTATGCTGGTTAGCGGAGTGAGGCTTCCATAGAGCAAGCACCAGGCAAGAGGTGCATCAGGAGAAGAAGACGAGCCGAAAAGCTCGTGTCTTGCCGGGATTCGGTAAAAAGATTAATATGAAGACTTGGCCGATGCGGAGAGCCTCATGAGTGTAACAACGTCGACTACGTCTACAGCTTTATATTAACTACATGTATAGGTCGACGGCAATACCTTATAAGTTCTGGTAAACAGTGTGCATTATGAAAACTGCTTTCTGGCTAACACCTCACAATAGACACCGTGGATGCTCGAAAGAGCCTTCACAGTAAGGTAGACCCTAAGCCATCGACCTAGAAGACAGTGAAACTGACATTGTTCTCTAGTAATAATTTCACACATGACCCTGGGGTGGTCAGTATCTGCCTGGATTGGATACCCGCTGCCGTTAACAGCCTCTATATCTGTCGTCAATGGTATGATGAAAGACTCAGTGACGGCCAAACGACGGTCATGTAATGTACATCACCACTCGTTGGTCAATATTTCTCTGCCCATTCTATCAAATTTTAAGCAATAATTCCTATATTTAGTAGACTTATTTTAAGATAAGAATGTGTGGCCTTGATAATGTGGTGATGATCCAAAAACAAAATACTTTAGCCTAGAACTGTATATCAAAACATTTATGATAGTTACGCATACTATATGGAAGGCGATACAGTGATAAACATCGTCGGGGGATAATTATGCCTACTCTAGGGCTGTTTTCCTTTTTCTCTTCTCCCCAGTGTTGTAACTACCTTCGTCTTTTGGTACCCTGGTGTCCAATATACCCTTCATTGACCTAATGCAATATCTCTGGTAACAATCATCCCCCACCTAAAGCTCGGCTGCCCTACACTAATAAGCATCTTAAGATCCGTTTGAGCCCTTGACATACGGTATCCTATAGTTGTATGGTGGAAGCTGGCCGTTATAATAGGGATCGTACGTCAAGAGGGCAAATCCGGGGTCTGCGGCAGCGATACCCGAGGGCCAGCAGGGGTTATCGTTTAACCCATCATTAAACGGTGGATTAGCCGACTGTTCCCAGCTGTCAAAGAGAAACTCGGGCCGCGAAGTGACGGTGACGAGCGCGTAGGTCCGCGTCATCGCATTGTTAGCTACTGTTGACGTGATTCTCGCAGCCTTGACCTTGACCGCGAATTCACTGTTTGACAGTTCTCGGACTGGGCCAAAGAAGCAAGCGCCCTTCCAATTACGGGCAGCTCCTGAATTTTCATTGTGGGGAAGATATCGGATTAGTTGGCCAACCACCAAATGAGACAATACGTTTAACACCCTTTAGAGCCTTAAACTCTTGCCTTCCATAATGACTGGCTTCCAGGTATCAGGTTCAATACCAGCAAAACCCCAGTGGATATGGGTATAGGAGCTGTTGGTATTAGCATCTTTCGCCTTAAGCCATAAACAGTCACATTTAAGCCCATAAGCCTCATAATAACCTATCCGCTGGAAAGCTGAAGGTGGTCCCGAAATCTTCTTAATTTCCGTACTATTTTTCCTGGCTATGGCATCGCAGGTATCTCCGTTCTAGATAAGATGTGTTACGCAGGTGCCATCTGCCCGAGCCTGTAGTGCGGGGGGTTTTGGGGGTTCATGTTGGTCACCGGCCGAGCACCAGACATAACTCCCGACCTGAAGACCTGTCGAGCATAAATTTGGCTTAGGATTATATTGTAAAAAGTCGTAACTCGAGATCTTGCATCGTATAGCAAGGGAACTGCAGCTGTCACCGGGCATGACCTGAATCTGCCGATGGGCATCACGCTTGCCCAGGAAGCTTCTGTGCAGTAAGTTGTGGATAGTTCTTAGAAGTCGACGGCTTTTGTGAGTATCTCTATGAGAGACGGTAGTCGTGTTACCGATAGTGCCAACAATATCCATCACTTTAGCGCCTGTAAGTTCTCCTACAGACTCCAGATCTAATACACATTTGCCTTTACTCCACTCCAAGGCAGCCTTCTGGACCGCTGCAAGATTACCTGTGGTGTCAATGGAGATGCCAAAAACTCGCTCAGGCTGGCGGCCCCTACCGCAGAGCTGGACGACCACATTAGAAACAGTATCACCATTCCGTAGGCGGCTAGCTAAAGCTTTAAGCGCTGATTGTGCAGTAGCTTTGCCTAGGCCAGAACCAATATAGACACTCACAACTGTCTTATTGTGGTAGGAAAATAAGACATTCTCATCACAGTTGTCTTTAGCACTGAAAAACTTCTCCATATTATCGAGTAGGCCGCCAATGTGACCACCGTATCGTTCACCACTGTTATCTTGTTCAGTACCATTGCCGACAGCTAGTTGCAGCTTCTCCGGAACTTCAGTACCAGTAGTAATACAGGCTGGTGCAGTTTCGAGGCTCCTCTGGAATAAATCCTTTGAGTGCTTAGGGTTCGGAACGGGCTTCGCAGCACGTAAAATGGCTGGTGACGAAGCATTACCCGCATTGCAGCTACGTATGAGTATAGTCGAGGCTGAGTCATCCAGGGGCTGCGTGATAGAAAATTGTAGTAGCATCGGCTCATGGCAACGGTGTAAACGGGCCACGGAGAAATATGGGATCCAGCTATGGGTATTTGCATAATCGACACATGGTAGCGGACAGTCATGCTGGTCAGGATAATAGGTAGTAGGGTCACCAATTGGCGAAGGATCGTCCTTACTTAAGGGTTTCGTGGCGTGGGAGCCGTCGAGGTTGATGGCAGCGTGCGCCAGACTGGATGCCCATAAAAGGGCAGCTGTGACCGATCTCATATTGAGCATCGAGATGATGCGCATATAAGATAGTAATAATCAGGAAGAGGTAGATAACCAAAGGGATGAGGTTAACAGGACTATATATATGTATGTATGTATGTACATACTCACCAAGAAGAGCGTTCCCCTTGGTATCCACGATTTTTAAGGGGTATCCGGTTCACATTCTTAGCATATAGGGTATATACGATGTAGGATTCTTAAATTGCCTCTAGTCGTAGGCCTCTGTATCTTTGATCCCAGTAGTATGCCAATGCCCCGATGCAGGTCCCAGGGATGACTAGACATACCTCAATGGGGAAAATCCAAGCGTCATTTTAGACAGCAGCGTGAATATCGCTGGTAGTCAACGACTGTAATTTGAGAAGCCTTAGAAGACATATGATTATAGACAGGGTTTAATTAAATGTGAGAATTCAAATAACGGCATGTAAACCTGGCGAGTACGTAAATACAGGCTAACTCATGCATCGCGTGGCTCCATGTCGATTGCCCACTCGTCAATGGTTACCTATCTGCGTAATCGGGATATTTGTCCTCCAACACCGCCAGCACCGCTGCCAGACACTTCCGCTTATTGTAAAGCTCCATATTAGGCCAGCCATGCTTTCGATACATCTCCTGTAGCATCGGAATTATATCTTTTAAGTCGCCAATGAGCTGGATATAGGTATCATATAGAGTACGCGAATTAAGCGGAACGAAATATAGCTGGCGAAACTCGTTTTTAAGAACCTCGAAGAAGTCTGTAATTGCCCAGCTACCACCACCACGCCAATCCGCTTCATTTTCAGGCGCGTAGTCATATGCATCATCCTGGATTTCATCCCGGAAGGCGTGACACCGTATCTCCACAGGGCATTCGGGCCAGAGTATAATGCCGAGCTTGGTATCAAGGAGGATGGCAGTATTATGCCGCCCACCACTCGTGAGACTGACGACGTGAGGGGGCACCCTCTCTGCATCAAGATACGACTCAGATGTTTCCCTCGCGGCTTCGCCCGTCAATCGACCAGAGTTGATCTGAGCACAGTCCTCCGGCCAATCAGCAAAGTAGAGGTACGGCATAACTTGAGCTGCGGATTCGCCCGCACTAGTGGTAGCTACGTAAGGCAGATAGCGGAGCAGCGAAGCAACTTCCTCGTTCTTGCCCACAGCGCGCATGGCTTCATTGGTGACTGACGGCCAGCCCCCTTCTGGCGGCTCAAGGATAGCATCTTCTGCGAGATACATTGTGGTAAGGAAATGGAAGTAGTCACGGAATGCTGCGATGCAGTCCTGGCGCGAGTAACTGACCTCGCTAAGTGTAGGCATGTTGATATAGAGAGTGAGGGCGAAAACAGTGGAAGAAGAATTGGCATAATACAGTGACGGAGTAGAAGTTGACGTCGAGGCTGGAGAATAAAAAGAAACGTCCCCGACTTGGCGCCAAGACGAACAGGTCATCTTATATACTACAACACATTGACAACGGCCTATATCAAACTGCATGTTACGCTCTTCTCTCCCCTTATTATGTATTACATACATTAATTCAACTGGGGGCGGGAACGGGTGGGCACTCTTTACAGGCATACTCCGTTGCTAAATTATACCCCCCCCTGGCTTATAATCATCCTTGATCATGTATCTTAGATGCATCCACCTTCACCGTTCGACTTTTCTCATCTAGGAGTAGTTATCCCCGGTTTTATCTATGCCATCGAGTGTTGCCAATATATATATATATATATATATGTATATATTCTTCACCTTTGATCATACACCAACCAAAACGGCCGCCTACCCTACCCAAGAATACTGTGTATATATATTGTTTCATTCATCGACTTCAGAAAAGGCAATGAAGACAGTGAACCTTCTCCTCCTGGCGGCCTCCACCGCAACCGCCACTAGGGCATTCGACGACATCACCACGATCCTGCCCAGCCAGTGACCGACGGTTACTATCGATTCCTGGCAGTGTCTGACGCACAATCTCACCAAGTTCTTTGATGTACCCAGGCCGACGGGTGCTCTGTTGACGGCCATTCACTCGCACGGCAGTGAACTGATCAAGGACTGCGTCTCGGCCATCCAACCTGGGATGGAGTGTCCTTTCCCTGAGTCCTCCGCCTGGTGTGGCCTCAGCACCGCTGGACCCGCGTCTTTGCTGCGTGCCCTTTCATCCTACGGCAGCGTGGCCTCCGTGTGGTGGTCATCGCATAGCTCTGCGGCCTTCTCTCTCGCTGAAATGTGCCCACTCCGCTGGTACAACGCGATGCTTTCGATTCCTGGGGGCTGGGTTTGGCTGAACGAGACCATTATCTATGGCGGATGCTACGCTGAAGCGCATCCCACCCCCTCCGGCACCGGCTCTACAGGGAAGCAGACTGCAACTCCAGGGGGGGAGCCGGCGCAACAAACATGATCCCACCAACAGCAACCCCTAAATTAAACAACGCCGTCAGCTCATGGGCTATTGCTGGCGCCGGGTTAACGGCCTCAGTAACCGCACTCTTGTAGAAGAGATATCATATTGTGTGGTAGCAATATCTTTGAACGGACATGGAGGGTACGGACGTCCTGTTTGGAATCTGTCCGGAGCCTAACCCTAGTCCTTTTCCCATACATGTATATGCCTTCCCTATAGATAGAGACCCTTGTTACGGTTATTTATCACGCTTTTGATACTCTGGTTAACTAAATATGTGGCGATGAAAGGGTTAAGTTCAGCCCAGCCGTTGGACTGGGCTCTGGGTGTTAACCATGTATATATTACGCAAGATACAATCAATATTAGTTGTTAAGTTATTAATTTAAATTCGCCTATATACCTTGCTACATGCATTAGCGGACTCACAGCTACTCTCTGTACAACACCTAGTTGGTAAGTCATACATCTAAGGAGGGATTAGCCATCCCTGGTATTAATGATATCGTTTATAGAAGGGAGGTTGTTTTACGTCGAACATTCGCTAACTGCATGAGAGTCCCGAGTATAACAATCTTGGCTGCTTGCTTTCATCCAGGTATAGTAGCACTTCGGAGGAGAGCGGAAGCACATGCATATAAAAAACATGTAAGAAAAAGAGCATGCAGTAACTAACTAGTGAGATGTATCAACGCTCGCTCAATTCATAGAATAGTTAGACAGCAGAAGGATTATTAGCTTCCTCTTATGTGTAGTTATAAAAAAGCCTGGGACGGTCTAGCCCTTTGGTAGCTATCAGCATCGTCTTCTTTTGCTATCTCCAGCAGGAAATATCCTCCACAGTTTTCATAAAAAATGGTTGGCAATAAATGCGTTATCGTCCTGTCTCTTCTAGCCATATCAGGTGCTCTCGCAAAAAATGGGAAGCTCAGAAGAGATTGGGAGCCAAAGTATCAACATGACCCCAACACAACACCATACTGTAGCTGGTGGTACGACAATGATGGGTCAATTACTTGTAAAGTATACCAGCTAGTTGGGATATAACACTGGATGATTTTAGACGATGGGTAGGTGGCCTTCCTATCTTAAACGTTGTGTTCTTAAGAGATAGCACACTAATAGCTGTTGATAGAATCCTTCTATCACCGAGACCTGTGGTAATTTCTTCAAGGAAAGGTCTTATTGCGTCGAGGCATTCAATGAACCAAAGGAGACAATGAGCTCAAGCCAAACACCGGTTCCAACAATTAACTTTCTGAGTATGTTTACGTAACAATGACTAATTAAAGTTCAAAACGCCAACACGAGCAGGCGTGTATCCAAATATGCTTAGTTGTGATTATTCCTCGGCTTTCCTACTCTTTTATACCACCCAATATATATTTTCCACCTGAGTTTACACTGGTGACCCAGAGTCCTTCTTCTGGCACTTGCTATCTCTCTCACCTTCAGGACAAGGGCTTGGCCTCTTTCGTTGCAGGTTATATTGTCAACCTCCAGCACCCTGTCCGAGATCTCATTTGATTGCTCTCTTTCATTCTCTCTAGTCGAGTCTCCTCCAGCTCCCTTATTAAGAATTTCTAGAACTTATATGTTAGTGAGTGCATTTAATAGAAGAATCGCATATAGCTCCACGAAAGCATACTTTCAATCTCCTTGTTCACTTTATCGAGACTCTTTTTGAATCATGTAGTTGGTTTCTAAATTCGAGCCTTTCTTTTGATAGGCGGATGTTTATCTATTACAATAGTTAGCTTGAGGGTTTTCAGGATTCTCTTGACCACCTACAATGATTTCTTGTAGTTCAGAAGTAAATTCTTTTATTCCTGTGGATTGTGATTTGCTAGAACTGTGACTAGCCACGGAACGCTGGCAACAAATCCCATACGATTTCCATTCTCTTCGAGGAATTTACGAAATGGTGCGGATCGAATCACCACCGTATCGTGTGGGTCTGAGGGATCCTCATGCAAGACAAATGGCTGATCAGCCATGAGTGTTCGAATAGTCTCGGTATCGTCGACCAGCGTAGGCGCGGTGGAGAGTGTATCTTCTTCGTCATATCTGTGGCGGTCAGAGGAGAGGTATTTTGGAGGACGACGGGGCAGCATGGAGACAAGAAGTTTGTATGTATCGAGAGTATCACTGGTGAATATGGGAGTGGGGGATCCATCGAAGGTGGACACGGCAGCGCGATTTATATCTCGAGGTATCAATGCGCCCAGCTATATCCCTATAGGGTATATGAACTGATAGACTAGACTACCTAGTGTAGGGCTCCGGAAGTACAAGAATTTACATCCTTGCTAGATCCGAATAGGGATGTTTGTGGAAAGGGAGGCGCGCAGTTAGCATCAAGCTCATCGCCCATTTGAGACGTATATCTGTTATACATGGTGTCTTACAGGCTCATGCATACTTGGTCTACAAATCTCAATTGGACGAGATCAAAACATGGCGGCCTCCCGCTTGATAAAGTTTGTCAGGAATATGTGGCATTCGAGCCAAACAAAAAGGACGACGCGACTGATCTGTAGCCGACAAGTTGGATTCAAGTACCAGGGGTTAAAGTGCGGATGGGCCAGTTGCATCAAGAATATCGGCCGATGAAAAAGGCGGATATATTGATGTATCAGGTGTAGATGAGTGGGGGTCAGGTGATAGAATAATGTCAAAACTTCAACATCTGCCTACTATTAGTGTGGGCTCACTCCTTTTAGTGTAGTGGTAGATTCTGATAAATAATTCAGATAAGCATTTACTGCCGCTTTTTACCGCCTTGGGTGGGCTATCAGCATCATTCTCTTCAGCCCCTCAATAAACATACCAAAAGATCCCGTACGTGATATATGAGGGGCAGCTCCAGCTTTGCATTCCGCTAAACAAAGGAAGTCAACTAGCCTTTATATTTGCGTCGTGATTACTCTCATTCCCTACCCAATTTCTCACCATGGCAAGCACCCTTGGATTCGAGGTCATCAGAAACGCTGTTCCTAGCGATCTCGTTAAGAAGGGAGCAGACGCGCTGCCAAAGCAAACCCAGCATCGGCGAGAAAAGTATGACGCATATGAAGTACCGTATGAGTGTCATGTAATAAGAGATAAATTTATTAGCGTCTGTGAAGCCCGCTTGAGAACGTTTAGTGACTTACTGACAGTTAGAAGGATGCAGACAAGGTCGCTCTCATTGAATTATTGAAACCGAAGCCCATTCCTTTAAAACCCAACTATATTTTCGCTGGCATTTTTCGAGAGACGGACGCAGACCCAAGTAAATTAAAAACAGCAGAAGAAGGCGAAGTATACGTTACGATCGCGCTCACGAACCTCAATTCCAATAACGGCTGGTACACGTTCTATGCAGGTTCTAGAAAGAATGAGCCAATGACATGTTCACACCCAGTTGCTCTTGATTTAAGAGCAGGCGACGCTGTGATATGGCGAGGCGATTTAATCTATTTTCATTCTCCCGGGGGCGGTGGTGCATTTGAGACTCTGGTTTATAATAAATAAAAACTATGAATTTGGCCATGGAACCCATATCCCCCCTCCCACCAACCAAAAAAAAAAAAAAAAATTAGGGGTGAAGCTGGCTAAGTGGGGTGCGACTAGATGGAGCTGTATTATAGTTCTGGTCCCAGTTGCCGAAACCCTGTGCCTCGTTGAAGGTCGGTGAGACGGATAGTTGGGGCATGACATAGTTTTGATCCCAATTTCCAAATAGAGGTATATCATAATCCTGATCCCAGTTGCCAAAAGGATACTGAGCCGTGTTTGAGTAATTGGTGTGGGTTGGAAGAAAAAGTTCGGGCGATTATATCATAGGAACATTAATTTACGAATATCGACAGTTCATTGGCCCTGCTCCCTATATTCTAAGCATCTACCATCGTCTTTACTTAGCTTAGACTTAGCGTGGGGAGATAATACCAAGTTATTTACAATTGCCTACCGCTGGAACGCGCAGAATAACGTTTGCTGGGTCATTGTCGTACTATAGAGTTTTTCCTTTAATCGTGCTGCTATTGTAATATCTGAGAATCTAAGCATTGTTTAAGGCATGTAGTTCTAGAACGTTCTGTGCCTGACTGCCAAGGCTGGACAAAGTTGTGTCGCATCTAAATTTTATACTTTTTAGCATCTTAACCACCCGCTTTCTGTGAAGTAAAAGAACCCACATGCGATCTGCACGGCCATCATTCGAATATAATATCTAATAAAGGCGTCGAGAAGAGTAGAAAGTTAGCCTTACCGCTAACGATAAATTCTATATCCGGTTCACTTTCTTGCTTTTTATAAATAGTTGATAGACTATTGATATATGTAGATACGGGTGAGCGATTATTCGTCTGTGCTAAAACGGGGTATATTGTCAGTTCAGTCTTTACAATTATTTCGCAATTACTTTGTCTAACAACTCATAGTAAACCGTCCTATCCGAACAAAAGTGTGGCCCAACTTCAATACACCACGGGTAGACTTCGTTATTATGGCAGAGGAGGTATGTGAAGCTAATGCCTGCAGCAACTACAAGCCGTATTGCCTTGTCATCTAGACGCCCGAGGATCTTAACGTTTCCGAAGCTCTTCTGCAGTTTATATACACTTTCGTTGACTTCGTTAGATAGATAGAATTTAACCTCGATTTGTCGTTCCTTTCAAGACCATGGACAGTTTCTCGAGCAAAACGAAGCAAGGACACAAGCTCTTCGTTGGTAACACTTTCGTAGCCATCTCGACGAGAGAAAGACTCATTGGCTCTTGTTCTTAGGAAAATACAAGGCAGTTCCATCATGTACCAAGAGATGGTGACCTTGTCGTTCCAGGCTGGTTAGTTCCCTTAAATTGGAATTTATGCACTGGCCAACTAACTCTCATGCAAGCCATAAAACTCGCACATAATACCTCATATCTAGAAGAGAGCTGTTCTGGGGATGGCCACGGCTGCATGGTGCAGGTCAATACCCATGCGAGCGAGGAGAACTTGATACAATCTAGGAATGGTTGTTTCCGTTCTTTGCAGCATAAAAGGGAGTAAGATGCCCCCCTGGCCGGATTGAAAGATCTCCTAATGGAAGTCCTCCAGGAGCTCAAGGTTGGCCCCACCGTGGTTCAATCCGAGGAAACTCCTGCACCCAAACCTAAGCCTGCGATCGCGCCACTTGGCTCCAAGCTCGAGTTCAAAAGGGTTGAACAAGTGTACGGCCCCTTTTTCCGCACGCCTCTTCCTAGCTAGCTGGTTTGCAGGTGGGATAAGGCAACGCGGAGGTATATTGACAAGGAAACGGTGAAGGAGGAGCTCGATGAGCTTGTTATACCGACTTAGACGCACTTCATGATGAGCAGATGCAGAGAGAAAGAGAGCGGGTGAAGAGCGATGGCGCAGCAGCGTTTGACATGAGTGATGACGACTATCTAACCTGCTGTCCCACGATTCCTGGCTTTAGCTTCAAGGATAATGCTTTCTGTAAGGCCCCCCCTCCCATGTGTTATGATGGCATTTCTATAAATATTTCATCAAGGCGCTGACATGGTAATAGACGAGTTTGCTGTTGAAGACATCAGCGATATCAAATGGGCGCACTCTCTCTTCAAGAGCTTAACGATCCCAGACGAGCAAAGAGCCATCCTCATGGCCCTCGCGAGGACCCGGATGGGTGTAGTCCCCGCCATCCCATTCGACGACTTTGTTGCGGGAAAGGGCCGTGGCCTGAGCGTGCTTCTATAGTATGTGTATCCGCGGCGCTCAGATTCTTTTTCGCTGCTAACAGGCACAGGCTGCGGTCTCCCTACAGCCTCCGAGATTTTACTGCTCCGTTGTGTCTTGCAGAGGCTGTTAGTAACCACCTTTCTGCGTACTTTTATATAGGGACAGAGTCTGGCTTGATAACAATCTGTCAGAATCTGCCATTCGGCCAAAAAGGCGAGTCCGCGCTGATTGGCGGCAGAGAGACCGGTTCTGGTTATTTGACAAGTTACTATCACCAAGAAGAAACAAAACTAGCTGGTTAACTAGTTAACGCCGGTTGATGTCCTCTATCCCACGTTTCAACTCCTGGACAAGGCCCTGAAATTTGAGTACTGGGTTTTCTTTTGCCCATTTCTCGAAGTTTGCGAGTATTTTAGCTTCATTATACCGGAAATGTGCCCGGATCTCTTTCTCCCAGATTCCATGTCTCCGTCTTGGTTTGAACAACCAATGTAGCATGCCAGCAGCAACTATCTGCGGTTGGATCTTCTCCACGTATCTCCGTGCTCGAATACATCATGGCCAGAGCTCTACCATAGTACGCATGGCTCGTCTCAAGGACTCCCTCGTCCCGGGAAACTCCATGCTCCTGGTGAAAGGCTTCCCACTTCTCGTGAGGGCTTGCTTGTGGGCTGGCCTCGACGCCACCCTACGCAGCCCCATCCTCTGAAATGGTAGTGTAGATAGAAAGGATGCTCTCACAGCAGCTAAACAGATCCTCTCCACTGCGAGTGGTAAGATCGTGGCTCTCAGCAGACTCAAGGACAATAGTGCTTTGTCGAGCTAGCTGTTTCAATCTTTTCCCCAAGCACAAGCGGAGGACTTTCATGCAGTGGCTTTGATGAAGAAAGGGGTTTGAGGCCAGGAGTCTGCTGCTTATGATACCTGGCCCCCTTGACGAGATCAATCAAGTCTGGATGCGAACCCAATTTTGCAACAAGGCCAAAGGCGGCTTTGTATACATGTCTGCGCTTCGTCACGTTGTCCAAGGAGTCGTTTCTGAGTAAATCGGCAACCTTGTCCAGAAGCAGCCCAAGCTGCAACATTGCGTGAAGCTCAGAAGGCAGATTCTTGTTCGCAGGTCCAGGTATCATCCGGCCAACGAAGTCGAATACCTTACCTACAAATTCATCTTCCCTCTCGTCGCTGCCCCGAAACCGCAAGGGCCTATTCAACGATACAGACGGCGATCCTGGCCCGTCATAAAAAAGAGTCGCAAAGGGGCTATAGCGGATCCTGCTGTTATCCGCGTACCCAATACCTCTTGAATCCTGTGTCTTCCGGCTACTCTCACCGTTTTTGTCCCGAGCTAAGGTGTATGTATTCTCTGTAGTAGACGAGGATGCCTGCCAGCGTATCTCGACCCTGTCATATCTTGCCAGCAGAAGCCATATCCCAAACAGCCTCCCGTCACCGCAGCACCAGTCTATATAATACCCTTCAATTTCATGGGGGTTTTTGGATTGCCGAACTTTCCTGCCGCAGCCAAGGCATGTTAGAGCCTTACAGCTAGAGCAGGTTGCTGCACAGAGGTAACACCCCTTTTTGGGATTACCTTGGGCGCCTTCTGGCCAACGGCGCATCCAGTCTCTGACACAAAAGTTATCAGTAATATTTGATCTGCAAGAGTGGCATTTCACCGCTAAGCGTGCCGCAAGGAAGGTCTTTACGGCGTGGACGCTCTGCTTGATGTCATCAGGGTGCTCCCTCAGGGCTGTAGCCATTATAGCTTTGTTGCCATCCCCCCTAGCTTGGCGCCGTCTACCTATGAGCGGTGTATTTGCTTGGGATGCGTCTCCATTATCAGGTGAACTATCATTATCACTACTGCTAGCTCGATGTCGGAAGTGGATGCCTTTGAAAAATGACATATTAAGGAGACACAGGCAAAAATCAAATAGTGGGTTTGTTTCTGGCCTCTTTCTTAAGGGGTATTGAAAGGAACGAAGGTTCTAGAAATATGAGTATATTGTGGAAAGTAGAAGGTGGCCGTAATAGAGTGAGGAAGGGTATATTTATATAGGAGTTTGCTTCTCTTGGAACGGTCACCGATTTCAAGTCTTTCCACCAAGGTTACTGCCGAACACTAACTCATATGAATAATTCGATGGACAAGTTCCTGCTATGAGTCTCCTGTTCACGATTCTAGTAAAATCTCACCGCTAGGAATGCATTGGTTGTTAGTGACTCTAGCCGTTGCCATGTAGTTTGAGTGAATATATTTGGTTGCATGAGAAATAGGTCGCTAATATTCCCTATTCACTCATAGAAGTCTTCCGAACTATTGGGATATTTATTAGGACTACGAAGGGTACGAGATGCTTATGGGAATGATAGAAGTCATTGAAGAAAATTTTATTGTTTTTTGGATGTGCCTTAAGAAACAGGCGCTTATTTTGATAAATTCCGTTTCCTTCGCTTACTCTCGACATTCTTGTTGTGTAATTCCATCTTTTCATTTCCTCTGCATTCAACCTGGCGGTGAAAATCCCGAGGACTAAAAAGAATAGAAGCAACAGGAATGAAATGGAGCCGCAAACCAAGAAAGGAACATAGAATAAGCAGACGGGTTTTAAAAGAAAAAAGGAGATGTCTGGGGGTAGATCGGTGGGGAAATTGGAACATACAAATCAACCAGGGGAAAAGGACGGGTAGAGATGGGGCTTTTTCTCTCTTGTTAAGAACCACCGAGAGGTTGGAGTGCATTGATGCATGCCATTTAAGGGGAGGCTATGAGACCATAGATAGGGTGAGGGAAAGGGGAAGAAGGAATGGGGCTAGAAGTGTATGGGAAAGTACAACTGGGGTGTCATGAAAACAAGCTTTTTATCTTCTTTTTTTGTAAAACATTGGCATAATGAATATAGTGGGAGCGAAACGCTTCATGAACGCAAATGTACACAAGGGACTAAGGAGACTGTGGTATTCGTAATGGCATTGTCGTGGGTTCATGGATGTAATGGGTGGGAGTGATAGTCATCGTTGGAGAGAATGGATCGCACGGGTTGGAATCCTTTTTTATATGTAGCATTGTTGAAGCCGTCCTGGCAAGATTAGGAAGACGGGAACCGGGGGCGGAAGAACTAGACAAGAGTTGTTGAAGCTTTGTTTTCTTCGCTGTCGAATATCTGAAGGAGGAAGAAGAAATGGATAGGGTCCTAGGTATTTTTTGGCTCACGGGGGTGTATGGAAACCACAAGCAAAAGGATTTATCCCGCCGGGCCCATTGGACAGGTACAAGTAGACGGAATTGCCGAAATTAAGCCAATTGGCGACAGGCAACGTATGAAATTCAAAAAAGGAAACAAAAGAGGCTCTATCGTAAAACATATTTAACGAAGGTAAGAAGTATTGACGTGATGAAACATGCGCGAGAACCGAGGTATGTGCATGCCATTACGGGCAGAGAGTAATCAAGTACAGCATGAGTTGCCAGGCAATGAGTAGATGAATTCTTATGGGCTAGGGTCTGGTAAGAGATCATCCGGCCCATCGAAACCAAATCCAGCCATATCCATTGAATGAAGTGATCCAGGCCCCTTGCCAAATTCCATGTCCGATGAAGCGTACTCGTGCCCTGGTGGGCGTAGATGAGGACCAAAAAATGGCCTATGCTCCTCATCATGGGACTGAGTATCAACATCATTCCACGGCACACTCCTCTGCCAAAACCGTGTGTTTGCTTGTTGATCACCGAAGAGATCATGGTGGTCATGGAGATGGCGTGGTAGCAATGAGGATTCGTGATCTATGTGGCTTCCGAATTCCTGAGGAGATTGGTAGTGGAGTGGGACACGGTTGAAACTCGAAGCAGGAGAGTCGGCGCGGAGGGCCACATCGAACGCGGATAGTGGATGGAGGTGGCTATCTGGGATCATGGCCGCGGATATATTAGGCGCAGTAGTTTCTGTCGTAGGGAATAGGAGATTCTGGTTTGCAGGGCCATGAGTTGCTATTATCGAGCCATCCAGGGTTGAGAAGCTTTCCGAGGCTGGGGGAACCGGCCCACAAGCCTGGACTATCTTTTCCTGGTCTTCTGGAGATAGCTTAGCAAAATAGTCCGCTGCTAAAGGCTCTTTTCGAGATGATTGCGGAGTTCCTACTAGTCCATATTCTTCCTTGGCATATTCCGAAAACCCAAACCCGGGTGCATATGGCGAGCAGTAGACCGGTGGCGCTTGACGCCGTTGTATTTCCAGGTACGTCCACCTTCCGGTGATTGATTGGGCGGCGGGTTCTTGTGGTGGGGGCTGGAGGATTTTTGCAGGCTCTTGTGCTACTACTGGCTGTTGCTCGGGGGCCTTGGGTTTCTCCGGTACATTAACGACGCTAGTGAGGCTGTTCACGGCGAAACGAAGCATTCGAATGAGATGGTCGACGTCATCAGCCTCCATGTTCAAGGGTTGGTAGGAGACCGTTCCATCTACGGATCGAATAGGAACCTGTGATTCGGACATGGACGTTCTGAGCTTTTCCAAGCCGTTCTTCGGAATTGGCGAAGTATCATCTCCTAGAAGCGTCTGCACCACAAAGTCAGGATTCACAATAGTATATCCAGCAGTTGCATTGGCATGTTCAGTAATAGAGGCAATAAGTCTACGGGCCATAGTGGACTTCATTGCACTGTCGTTTGGGCTCCACACAGGAAGACTATCATTAGTCTGCGGATTGGAAGCCTGGGACTTTGCCGGAGACGCTGCTCTTGCAGTTTGGGCTGGCGCTGGTGGCGCCGTTGTAGTTGTCGATCCTAGAAGTGGCCGGGGCAAGGATGGCGCACTGGAAATAACTGGGCTCGAATTGTACACAGGGGGACGACCGGGTGCCTTAGCCGGAGCAGTGGGTGCTCTAAGTGTCCTTACACTCTCAAGGAAATTAGACCTAGGGTTATGAATTGAAATATCCACATTATGGGTATACTGAGCACGGCAGTCCGTGGAGGACTTGCCCATATAATACCATAGTGTCTCCGGTTTTGTCAGATCAACTGCACACGCGTCCGGATTAAATGGGGGTTGCTCGCAAATAAAGTCCTCCCAGCGGTAACCCGAGGAAGTATCACCGAATACCATTCCATGAGAGGGCATGGAGGAGTCCGAACCGTTTCTCAGGCTGGGCTTTCGAGAGAGATGGGCAGGGAGTGGTAGGATGTTTGGAGGTAGTGGGGGAAAGTTTGTCTTTTTAACTATTAAGGTCCACCGGTATGGAAGCTCGATCACGTCACTAAAAGGAAACGAAGAAAAGAAGTACGGTTAGTCCGTGGTCAGAAATAATAATGTAAAAATACTTACCCTCGTGGAAGCACTTTCAACATCAATGAGCGCTCCGATGGGCGGTTCTCCAACACCACGGCTCCATTGATCTCCTTATCAGCCTGGAATTGCATCAAGTCTCCTGGCTTCAGTTTGAGAGCCGTCTCCATAACTTTGGAGTCCGTATCGAGTGACTGCGACGGCAAGGAGCCAAATCGTTTCTGGCGATGGTACTTGCATTTTAGGTCAATGGCAGGAACCGAGTACTCCTGGCCGTCGTCTGCAACAACTGAAGTCTCGCCAAATTCTACCTGCACACCAGCAAGTAACGCACATGTTGGATGATATGCCCTGGCGCATTTTCCATACATACACTGGAAACAAGCGCCTTTTACCTCGCGGCAAAACAAGCATTTTAACCCCATACGGGCTTTGGGGATCTTATCGATATCGCAGACAACTTCGCGGCCAAGGTCATCTTTGAGGATGGAGGTCTCTTCAATGAATAAGGCGCAGCGTCTATGGGCTTGTGATAGGCCGCCCTCAGTGGGCAAAAGTTCCTCGTAATCCATACTATTTGGACACAGCACACAAGGTGGTTTCTTGGGGTAATCTAAATGCAACTTGGCACGCTTGGATTTAGATTCTGTGCCATCAACCTTCCTTTTCCTTGGTCTTGTAGATTTTTCCGGGACGCTCCGAGGGGGAGTAAGAAGGTCAGAGGCACCTTCATACTGCTCACTTCTAATCTCATCGTAGTACTCAGGAGTAGACTCGCCCCGTAGCTTTCGTTCAATTTCTTCAACATCGATCCAGACGGTGTCCGTTTCACAGTGGCATTTCTTGGCAATACGGGCATAATCAAGCCAACTTTCCGTGGCAAAATTGACTGACTCTGCACAGTTGTATCCCAAGTTGAACCCAGAGTGATAACCATACGGGAAGGTGATGACGAACTCGCCTTCATAATGAACTAGCTTATTCGCGGTGATGCCGTACTGTGACTTGAGGACGGTAGGGGAAATCAGGTAAGTCTTGTGGCGTAAGAACTGACTGCAGTTCTTCGAATCCGTTGGCCAGATACCTGTGTTCGTGGTTAGCTGTCACGGTTGCACGTCCAGTATGAAATATCAGACATCGGGACTTACTCCGCATCGCAGCCTCGAAACGTGGGAGGTCTTCCTGTGAGATGCTGTACCACTGCTTTGGAGCACCAAAGTGGATGTAGTTAATACTGTAAAGATCAACATCTTCTAGATGCCAAGCAAAAGTGGCCTTCCACATGCCAAGGTAGACATAAGCAGTATTCACACCAGGGACTTTTTGGCCGAGAACATCCAGGAGATTTGGCAGGTTGGCAACATTCCATGAAGTTACGGCGTCATCAAACAAAGAACCCGGCATATCAGCACCGTACATGGGATTGTTATACATAAGAGACTTCCAATAAGCGGTTTCGAGTTCCTCACACCTTTCGGCGGTGAACTCTTCGTTACTGGAGAGACGATAGTCAAAATCGATGAAAGCTTCTTCATCAATATAGTCATCATGCTCATCCCGGTTATTTTTCCGACGAGCAGAGACAGTCTTGGGTTGTCTGCCCTTTGGCTTGGGGGCTGGTAATGGTTCCCCATCACTTAATTCCTCGGATTTAGCTTTGACGGGTTTGGACACTGGAGACACCGGGGTGGGCGGGCTTTCAGGCTTGGATCCTTCACCATCATCCTGGTGTTCGGGAAGTTCCTCACTGGACTTACGCTTGTTTGCAGCTGGTTTGCGTTTCTGGGTTTCAGGCTTATTAGTCTGTCCTTTGGCTGCACCTCGAGCCTTTCCCTGAGTCCAACGCCTCTCTCCACGTCGGGCAGGAGGCTGGTGGCTAATTTCTTCAGACAAGGCTTTCCACTGTGGAAGGTTATATGACCGCTGTTTCTCAATATTTGCCTGAGTGAAGGTTCCGTGAGACCCCGTGAATTCTTGGACGATAGGGTTCTTGATACGGATAGTCTTGACGGCTTCATCTAGGGCGGGAAGTGACTCCGTCCTGTTCGTTGTCAAGAGTTAGCAAGACAAGTTTAAGCCAGTCAAAAGAGTGTGGTTCTAGAGTGTGTTGCAAAGCCAATGATATGCCCTTGAAGCCTGCAGTACTCACCACTCCTTTGGAGGAACCACTTTGACAATTCCCGACTTCATGCCATATTTATCAATACAGCTAATGAAGGCCCGAAAATCTCGAAACTGGTCCATGGTCTAGAAAGAATACACTCAGAATTAGTACATCATGGTAAAAAGAAGGCTTACGCAGGGTAGTTATGGTATGCAACGAACCGGCTTGAAGACCGGGATTCTCCCACCCTCATAATAATGGTCTGGTTGAATATCGTCCAGAATGGAAGAGGTACCGTCATCCTCGATGGAAGGACGAGGTGAAGTAGAGGAGGAATTGATACTATGAGAATGCATCTTCTCTCCGTCGGCACTGGCAGGTGGGGTCATCGACGCAGCTGTGTTGCCGCCTGGAACACTACGTTGTTCCGCCATGACTGGTAGGCCGATCTATGCGAACATGTGTCGCACCTTTCTTTCCCTTTCTTTCTTGCCTAGATAGTTCTGCTTGGTTCTGCTTTTTGCTCACTTGTTTTTTTTTTTACCTTCTCCTTCTCCCTTGTTAGCCCTAGCACTGCCCTAATATTGTTGAGAAGGCGACGATCGACGGAAAAATAGGCGCCAACGTACTGTGAACAACGAGGTGAGATCGATCGATTCTCACCTCCCCGAGAAACGTCTCGTGGTTGACAAGAGAAGCTAGGAAGGAAACGATGTATGGCGTAGGATCAGGTTAAGGACGTATGTTGGAAGCAGCAAAGACGTGCAGTGTAGTAAATATGGTTGGGCAGAAGAAGTCGACCAGGATTGATTATGCGGGTTACTTCCGGGTGTTATGGGTCACTTAGTACGTGAGGGTAAAGGAGAAAAAAAAAACAGAAACTCGAGACAGCCGAGTCTGCACTGATGACTGGTTGATGGGTTTTTTTTCCTCTTGGAAGGGTGAGATCCGAACTTCAGATGGTACGGCGAGGAGAGAGCGGCAAAGACACCATTGGAGGGAAGAGGTCTTGAAGCCAGCTCCCTTTTTGGGGGGTTTGAGAAGAGTGAAGAACTTGAAAGGTTAGATTGGTCGTTGCTGGTTCCGACCCAAGGCCCTTGTTAATATGCGGTTTGGTGGTTTGTTAATTATCGCAGGGTCTGGAAGTACCCTTTTTCCGTTGTGTCCCCTGCCAGTTCAATGCCTGACAACCACCATCCATATATGCGAGGACCAGCGACAAAGCACCACAGCGCCCAACTCTCAGCACTTCTCACAGCGTCTGTTATAGTTTCTCCTTGCAGCGATTGTATAGCAAGAGAAAAAAGAAGAAGTTGAAGTTGAAGTTTTGCTTGGAGTTGCAAGAAGTTTTTCCTTGGGCGTCGAAAAGCCCGAATCAGGCAATTGGCTGACCAAGGGATGGCGCTAGTCCTTATCGGGTAATTATCAGCTGTGCTAGACTGTTTACGGCAAAAGAAGTGGCTGCTTTAATGATGACGTAATAAGTGTCATGTGATGGTTCGTTTTGCTGATTAGATAAAGAGAAAAGTTTAATTTCTTAATCAGATAAAAAGCAAAGAAAAAGGAGAAAGAAAAAAAAAAGACATTTCAGATAAGAAGACGAAGAAGAGGAAGAAGAACAGGAGGAGAAGGAGAAAGGACAACGCATCACCTCCAAATGCGACCGCATATTTGCCCAATTACTAACGGTGGTCAGATGTCATGCAGGCAAAGAAAAAATCGGATGACTGGGTCCCCTCATGTCTTACAGTTTATATCGCGGGGAAACAGACAAGAAGTATATGCAGTATTCTATGCTGTTCGACCACTCATGTTTTAAAGCATTTATCCGCCGTCTCCTCGTTTATTCCCACCCTCCAACTAGTATTCGTTGAGCTTCAGGCTCTTTCCCACCAGGCGTCGGGGAGACGATGCCTTGCCGTCCTCCTTCTCACCCGTTCTCACTTCTTTGAGCGCATGCAGGAGCATTCCCGCATCGAAGAATCCATCTAGACGCTCCAAAGTTAGTCATCAGATAGAAAAGAAAAAAAAAAAGAAAAAGAAAGAAGAAGAAAAGATTAAAATATGAGGAACTGAACGTACAGCCGCCCATCCCATCGTCGTCACCACTCTCCATGCCATCCATGTCGCCCAGGGATTCCGTCCTGATCACTCTTCCCTTTCGTTCGGACTTCCCTGCGGCCTGGTTCTGTGCGGAAACGGAGACGGTCGCCTTGCGTTTCTCTCTCGATTGGTCTGTTGCTCGCAGTAATTTGCGGATCTCAACCAGATATAAATCCAGCGTGTCCATGAATCTGCTGGTCTGTCGATGTTTAGAGGACGCGCAGATGGATATAGTGTCCTCCTTGATGATGTATCCAATTCCGAACCCGTCACCGGACGTCGGTCCAAATCCAAAATGTCGAAGTGACGGGTTCCCACAGTTCGATGTCGAGAGAATTGTGTTATTGATTCTCTCCCAGCCTGGGTCGCTGAACAGCGCAGGTGTCCTCGGTGGCTGACGGCTGCTGCGGGAGCTGGGCGTGCTGATATGCACCTCCTCTGGTGTATCAACTGCGGACGACTGGTCGTCTGTACTAACCAACACCGCAGTGCCATCCCCAAAGGACCTCTGCCAAAGACAGTAGAGTGCGTAAAGATGCCTGTCCTGGCCCAATCCCTTCGAACATGTCCTCGTTGAATCTACATGTTTCTCACACGCCCTTTTCAGGGCCTTCACCTTCTCTATCGCCGGGTTATCGCCCCAAAACGTCTTAACAAACTCCGTTGATTCGGCGGAGACTGTGCGAATCGCCTCCGTCCTTCCGTGCAGGAAGAACTTCGTCATCGCGGGTTCATACGTCGTCTCGATACGTCCGTACAGCCCATAATAAGCTGCTTGGAACGCCATCTGCACAAATGCATCTGGCGAGAAGCCCATGCTAGTTATAAAATTCTTCCCATACCCGGCGAAGTCCAGGGCCTCGAACTCATGCTGGCGCAGCAGGTCTGCGAGATGAGATTCAGCGAACCGCAGAGCCGTACTTAATTCAGGCCCCATATCCCATTCGAGCTTGTGAGGCGTCGTACTGGCATCGTCTAGACTGTTAGCCGTGTTGCGTTTGCATGGTGTAGGGCTGCTAGATGCCCATAGGCTCGGTGCTTGGCCGTTGATAGTCCTGGCAAAACGAAGGATGGTATCCGTGTAAACATCGCTAGCAAAGCGAAGGACGGTATGACCATCCACACCAGTATGTTCAAAGTTAATCCCTGCGCTGCCGTTTTTGCACACGATAATCTGTAGCTTATCGTACCATCTGTTCATGCACGTTCCAATCTGCACCCCTCGAACAATCTCACTTGTGCCACAGAGCATGTTTCCACAGAGTTCCGCCACGTTGGAGGGCTCCGTAGAATCTAAACAGAGAACAAACAAGGCAGTGTCAACGATATTCAGGCATTCTGCATTGTTTGAGGTGGCATCATGGGTCAAAATATCTCTCAGCTTTGACCATACTTTCCTATTCTCTGTACTCAAGACACCTACAGCCCCTTTAGCCGCCTCCTGAGCTGGTGTCTGCTGTGCATCATCAATAATCACCTTGAGATTCATCGAGATATCTTTTTCACTCATCAGGTGGTCGTTGTTTTCATCCAGGACGTCGAACCAGTAGAACTGACCCCGGCATAGTACAACGAGATGTCTCGATGAAGAGTCTTGACCAATCACGCATCCATGAGGTGTTGGAACTCGTGCCGTTCCAAATAACCGCGAGTATTGGAACATGCAAAGCGGTTTGCCGCGTACCGTATCCGGTGCAAGCTCCTCTTTGCGTACGGCACGAACAAACGACAAGGCAGAAACAACCAGGGAGGCAGCTCTCGTTACTTGATTGTTTCTTGCTGGTGTTGGATCGTCCGCCAGCAGAAAGAACGGGTTCAAGTTGAGGACAACAGCTAATCAACCATTTTAGTTTATTATGGCCCTGGTTATGAGGGAAGCTTCAGACAGGTCTTTCTCACGGTTATCAAAATTCAGATAAGAGTCATACCCTGTTCCGGCAGTCAGCTCAGCACACAATTTCACCGTTGCCATTGCCAGTACCTACAAAATTGTTCTATATAGCTGGACTTTGAAGTAGCATATTTCTTCAGCTTTTCCTGAAGTTCAGGCCCTTCGACCTCCATGAATTCTTTCACTGCAGCTTTTGTTGCTACACGTTCTTCTGGGCTCTGCAGTGGGGCTAGAGTCTCCAGATACTTTGCACAAGTCGACTCGAGGTCTGGTATAGGTAGCTTGGGCAACGAGTTCTGGTTCGCAAAGGTAATCCCTTTGCTTTCGGCTGGCTCGTCTACATTGCTAACTTCTCCGTCCAGGGGAGTCTCGTTGGATGTTGACATATCTCCGCCGTTGTTGCCCATGGATCTAATTGTGGGTGATAGTTTAGGAGAAGGGGAGACTGAGCGTCTCTGCGTATCGTTATGAGAATCACCAAGGCACCCTATACGGCTGAAAACCTGGGATGCCATGAATAAGTATTGCACCAAAGAAACAGGATTATAATAATTTTTCTTTTTCTTTCTTAAAAAAGGGAACCAGGTATCGAATAAATCGAGCAAAAACTAGAGTAGGGATGGATAAAGCCGTAAAGCACTGTGGTAGAAATAGTGACAGTCATGGAAGCTAAATGACGGCATTTGGGGCTATTTGCTGGGGTTATATATTTTCATGGATAGCGCGCAACGGCAATAAAGAGGTAGCGACGAACACCAACTAAAGGGTATTGACGAGAGAAATGTGATGCAAGGGATGATATATATTTATGGGATATTAACCATGGTGCATCCTCGCCGCTTCACAGAAACGGAGCTCGTAGCCAAACCCCGCGGCTGTGACCCACGAGATGAGATCACGAGCTTCTTCTCTTTCGCTCAGCTTCTCTGGCCGTCCATGTGAGCGTCAGGTAGCAGCGGAAAGGGTTGACAAGTGTGGAGGGTATGTAAGATAGATGGCACTGCATGTAAAGTGGATGGCATCCCCCGAAAGAGAACTAGCAGGCGAGAGCCCAACTTGAATTTGTTGTATTGAAACTTAAGAAAAAGCCGTAAGATGCCATAACTTACTGCACTCACTTTTAATGGATTATATGTTAATATGAATATTATCCTGTACAGCCTTCTAGCGTTATTATATGCAGAAACAAAAGTGATGCAGCTAGTAAATAGATATCATCATGAACTATCTCATGCTTGCCGAGGATGGAGTCGGGATGGCGGAGATGTGCGAAGGCAGCATTTCTTTAAGCGCCTCCCCAGCCTTCACGTAACTTTGCATCGTAACCCTACCCTGCAAGCAAGCACCATACCGTGATTTGAGGGTTACACTGCCCAGTTATCACTTCTACGATACAATAACATGTAGGTGAAATGGAGATATCTAAATTAAACATCTGCAGTAATGCCACTCTCAGCAATAGTTACATAACTATATCTAACAAGTGAGGAGAAAGATAGCTATATCTATATTTTTCACAGTTTCTCCCTTCGCCTAAGTGCAACCTTCTCTCGTTCTTTCATTAGACGTTCCGCAAATTCCGGCTTCGCAGGAGTAGCAACCTTATGGTGCTCTGCTGTTGCGTACACGATCTTCCCGTCTACTGATTCTATGACACCACGAAGCATCGCCATCGTTCTTCCGTGTTGCAGGGTGGTACATTTAATTCGAATTGTAGTTCCTGTAATCACCCGTGTTAGTAACAGCAGCCCCAAGAGCCTAGGAGAGATCAATATAGCTGCTGCAGACATACCAGTCGGTATACCCTTAAGATAGGACAAGTTCAGTGAACGTGAGACGCCTTGAAGGAAACTGCATGACATTACAAAGCCGCAGAAAGGGAAATTCATCAGCGTTATTAAAGCAAAACGGAAGGGAGAACGACGTACTACCAGTACCCGGGCTTGGTTATCGGATTCATAGATATAGCAGTGCACATATCTTTAATTGAATGGGTGTATTAATTGGCCGCCTCTCGTAGTGACTCGAAAAAAAAAAAAAGGTAGGCTAGATGAAGGTCTCAACGCACCAAAGATCACAGCATAAGCACCTCCATGCATGACTCCTACATCATGATACTTGGTTAAATCCCTTCTCTCAGCTGCTATACAGTATCGAAAAGAAATCAAGAAACATGGAGATGTTAGTACCATTTAAATTTGACCAGTATTCCGTCACATCCATCTCCCAAGTCGCTCCCCCTGAAGGGTCGACATCAATGAGGCGGATATCTTCAAAGAACTTTCTATCATAACCCTGTTGGGGAGAGGTATCAGTAACCATATTCCATTTAATAATAGAAATAACGATGCAATTGTGTGCTCCGACTACTTTTCGGCCAACAGCATTTTATGAAGGGTATTATATACTTGATAGTTCTTCTCTATGGTTAAGTCTCCATACCTGTAAGAACGTCAGTACCTAGAGGTTAGTTGATGGATGTATGTCCAAGAGTTGGCTTACACCTTAAGGAAAGTCTCGACTGACTCCCTGGCCCTTTGCTTTGCTTCAAGGTCTGTCATATCCCGATGCGCCAACAAAAAATAGAGAATTATACAATGAAAACTCAAGAAAGTCGAGAGAAATTTTGGGGGCTATGGGCATATCAATGTATGAAGCAAGTTCTTGGAGAGCTCGGACGAAAGGTTGTTGCCGCGGCAGAATTTGACCGAGGCTATATTTAACTACTCAGTGCCTTACTATGTAACCTTCCCAACCTTTTCCATGCATGAAACTAGCTAGTTATCGCTATCACAGGGATAACCCGACCAGCTTTTTCAAGAGTTTTACTCAAGCTCAATAAAGAAGCCAAGTAGGAATATTAGTTCTAGATCCAGGAATGACATATCCTCCAATTAGAGAACAAATTTACTTATAACTAACATTGATCCCACGACCTCATTAGCAAATGAGAGTAGGTATAGAGGATACTTGTGAAATGTCATTTATGTGTTTGAGAAGCAGTCAGTTATTCGACCGCTGAAGTACTAGTAGTGTACCGCAACGCCCCGAAGGCACTGATAGGCCATAGGCTGCGGTCTTTGCATCATAAAGCAAGCTCTAGTAAGATCATTTCTTTAAGATTCATCGTTATTGGTTGTAAGCAGCCTGGGTGTTTAATATATTTATTGGCAGTTGTTGAAAGGCGAGTCCGCACCAATTGGTGGTAGAGAGACTGGTTATATTTGACATTTCCACATTTGGGGGTGCAGGAAGCTCGTGCCCCCTTTTTTGACACGGATTAACTATGATCCATAAACTCGGTATGGATGACTAAGCGACGATCGAAGGTACCTTGGATAAAGCTTTATAGGAGATGAAGAAGTTTAGGAGATAAACAAGCAAGCAAGCCACGCCGTAGTAACATCCAAGCCTTGAAACCTAACTTTCAAATCTTGTTCCTGGATGGCGGCTGTCAACTTGCCAACGTTGAAAAATGCGCACAAGTTTGAGGGATCTAAAGAAGCCGCATATCTTGCTAGCCTGGAAGTATGCGAGCACAACGTGCGCTCCCTAGAAGATCTTGCCGTATATAGGGTATATTCTCCTAAATACATTATCTGTTTGCCTGTATTATTTTTGTTGCTGACTGCAGTAAAGGTCGTGCCTATATATCCGTATCAAGGATGCTCGCCAGTCACCATGTCTTACTCCATCCTTAGAGCATTTATATGTCTGTCTCCACTGGCTCACCAGCATGCAGCACTAGCTTTGAAGTGTCCCACTTCCCCCCATAGTGATACCATGAAAACAAGGGATAGAAAAAACTTTAGCTAATATTAAGGCAAAGCCGCTATCGAGGCTATTGATAATTCAGTGGCGGATGTCCCAAGTTGATGGCGGTTTGGCCTTGTACACCACCAGCCGCCCCCCTTGAAAGCCTGAAGGATAAAAAGCTGGAGCGTTTGGTCTGCAGAAAAGACCAATTAAAATGAAAGAACGATGAGAACCATACTTCCATCCTCACTCGTTGGACACTCGAAAGCACAATTGATGAAGAAAGTCGAGAGATGGGCTGGTTTCGGACTACGTAATTGGCTTCTTACATTCATAATACCCACCAGACTTTGTCTCAACCTTGATTAATCTAGCTCGGACCCTCTAGCTGTATGGAATAAGGGTAGGGAATTAACTTGGCAGGCGTTATCTTGTGTTGCTTCGGGAGAACGCTTCCGCGACAGAAAGTTAAGGTGATATTACTCGCAGAGATGGGAAACTGGCTTGAACAGCCTCTGCATCACATAGTAATACCTTCATTTTCGTGGTGCCCTCACATTCAACGTTCATACAGGGCATAAAGTTCTTGGCGTATACGTTCACCACCAGGTCTACGACGCCGATATTGTCGAATAGCAAAGCAGAATGCCATCCTGCCCCATGGATAGTAGAGCCTCGCCGGAATCTATCGGTACATTTCTTTCATTCCATTCTCCCCCAGCCTACGCTGCTTGCTCAGCGCAAATTTCCTCAAAAAACATACTAATAACCCCCCTCAACTCATCGTGTGGGCTTCCTATCTCCACATCACGAAAAGGTACCGCACATCACCCGAGCATATTTTGCGCCTTACCCTCATCGGTGTACATAGAGAACGCATATATACTTCTAGATTTACCGCCATGATGCACGCAGTAATCGCTAACACCAATGATTAAACAGTGATTCCCGCCAATATAATAGCAGTCGCGGTAGAAAGTGCCGTCTCGGAGGCTCCATCTTTCAGTGCAAGCAAGATCTTTGAAGAACAGGAGAAGAAAGGTGGACAAGGCAATCTTGATAGCTATTACGGATATATTTATCAGGCATAGCATGCATATGAAGCTAAGAGCTGGGCTTCTTCATCGCCAAGATACACTTCAAGGCGGGACTGGGATGTTCTATGAGGTCCAATCCCCCGAGTCTGCTATACCAAGGTGTCTTTCGAGTATTGATGCAGATAAGCTTGCCCAGCCCTGCTGGCAGGGAAGACTACATTGAGTTCGCCCATTCTAGTGGACACAACACTATCGGTATTCCCCTCCACCTTACTCCCGAGTAAGAGATCGAGATGAGTGAACCTGTCATCACTGGGTGGAGCTTCCATGCCAATGAAGATGGGGTTGCCTAGGGCAATCATTCTTTGGGACTTCCCTATTACCTCGGAAACCGACATGGCTCTTACTATGTAGTATTTCGAATATACACGGCCTAAGACTCGCACGCATCACGATCCCGTCTGGATATTTAGCTAAAAAAGAATATAGACTCGTTCATGAAGGATAACCCTTGAAGATGTCCATCTAGATAGGGCTTACCTCGTTCGTCTTGAAGTTGAGAGGCCGCTCTACGCAATACAATAGCATCCCAATCGCTTTCTATGATTCCAGTTGCTCTTTTATTATTTCCACGAATTCCTGTGCAGCAAGACTAGCCATAGCCCGACCGTAAAAGCCGTTTCGAGTTTCTGACGATCCCCCGTATTCTATCAACCTTTAGGGGCCATGAACCGAAACGATTATCCATGAAATGAAATTTGGCCCAACTGGAAGGTATACAGCGCCATCCTAGTCTAGTACAGCCTGGACGCGGCCCGTGGGTTTGTCAATAAGGTAATTGAATGGGGCGAGATCCTGGTGGGTAAGGGTGACGGGAAGAGCAGCGAGATCATGTAGCCGGGGTGGGAGTTTGCCGATGCAAGCAGATATGCTGCTTCTGAGAGTTGTGTTTCGAAAATCGTAGTTATCGACTATATGGTGGATTCCATCAAGAGTGGAGGTGAGTTCGAACATGACACTATCGGATATGGTAGTGTTCGCTCTGGCTCCCCGACTACCAAGGTCTGCAAGGTCCATGAGAGTCACCATCTTCTTCTTGAGCGGCAGTTTAAAGTCCTCAGAAGACATTAAGACACTGATATACGGTGTCCCTTCTGTAAAGGGTAATGTATACACAAAGAGCCCTTCATGCCCTGGTACGTAACCATAGGCAAAATTGAGCCATGGATGCGGCTAGCCTCAGTGACTCCTGAGAGGTCTTGCTTTTCTTTTCGGAACTGGATGGCAGCGCGATGGTCAGTATGCGTAGAATGAGCATGTAATATAGCGGTATAGCTCATGCTTCCCTGGAAAGGACTGGATTGAACGTCTATCTTTCCGGTAGTGTCGGGAAAAAGGATTGGTGCAATATGGTGCAAAGCGAAATGGTGACCTGAGAAAGGTTTGGCGGTGGCTCGAAAAATTGAGACATGACGAATCTCTGGTAATTATCCATTGTGAAAACTTACCCTCTCTCTACGCATTAGATTTACCCATTCCACCAGACGCGAAAGCAAGGAGTCTGAGACGAGCCTCCTACGGCTGCTAGGGACGACTTCACTATGTTCTGAGAAGTATTATTCATCCAGTAACCATGTGTTTTATTGGGTGTTTGTGTAGATGCGAGGGCGCGCAGCAAATGCGGCATTAAATTTCTAGAACGGAGCGTGGCTGACATAATTCGTACTTTAAAGCGGCGAGAAGAGGCCATCTATAGCGTCTCGCACTAGCAAGCTCTTTTCCCGACTTGGCACGCTATACCAGATCGGGAAATTTGGTGACGTCTAGAGAACAAAGTACACAGTGCTTACATACATACTATAATAGCCAGCTTGCTCTATAACTGCACTATGTAGTAGTTATATACTCCGTACATTCAGTAGGTGTATGGAAAGCGCATAGTTCGGTGTGATGATAAAGATGTCGGTGAGAATACTAGTGGGACTGCTGAACGTGGGATAGATATGCACCTACCCCAGCAACATCCAGAGAACAAGGCTGGAGAAAGTCATTCCCCTTTGGCATGCTCATGCCTATCACCAAAACCCCTTAACTGATACTCCGTACTCTTTGATCATGATTGTCGACGTTGGTTGTGGTGCTCCTCTCTCAAAGTTGGCCCGTCTGGTGGAGCCAATAGTCTTTTACCCCTTTTGCCCCACAAACTCAGTTTTTCTATAGATCGCAGATCGCCAAAGCCACATTATTCTTTTGAACCCAGCGCAAAAAGACGATGGCGACGACAGTGATATCCCGCAGGTGGCTATGAAGAGGAGTTGGGAAGCCCAAAGCGAGTGATGCTGCTGATGTTGTTGTTGTTGTTGTTGTTGCTGTTGCGACCTATACGCTACAGCTGGGATTCACACCGTATATCCAGGGCGGCAAAAGTGATGTATATGGCAGCAGTGTGTGTCTTCCGGATCCTGGGAGCAAAGACCTCCCGTTGGAATAGGTTTTGGGCTATTGATATGAAAAGTGACAAGGGGAGTGGAGCCGGAAGTGGGCTCTTGCAGACGTGACTAGCAGCTTTGCAGACGTGGACTACCAGCTTCGGGAAAATGTCCATAGTAGTGTCTATGCGGATCGAATATGCGGCGAATAACACGAAAAGACAACGGTTATTCTTTTTATTTTGGTCGCACTAGAGGGTACGCCTCCAAAAAAAGGAGACACGAGCTGTTGCCTGGATCTGCAATGACGGGTGAGTGAAGGGTGACATATCGAAAGAGGGCTGGAGAAGGATGGAAAACATAAAAGGATGGCAAAGCCCTTCTGGGTACAATTCTATTTTTTTTCTCTTCTATCCAGCAACCAACTTGAGACATTCAGTCATTCCTTCAATCTCTTCCAGTCTCTTCAGTCATTTCCTGCTGGTTCCCTTTTCTTTTCCTTTGAAACCACATTCCTTCACATAACAAACTCGAAATGCGTTTCTCAATCGTCTTTTCGGCCGTGATGGCCAGCTCTGCCATGGCTGCCCCTACCATTGTCGGTGGAGTAGGTAGCAATGTCCCAGGAGGAGCCGGCCCTGTTAGAACTGTCAACAACGTCGCTCCAGGAATTGCTAGCCGTGATATTGTTGGTCAAACCGCTGGCCAGACTGTTGGTGTTGCCGGCGGCGCTGTGCATGGAGCCGCCGGTGGTACTGTCGATGGTGCCACCAACGGAGCTGTCAAGCGTGATATCGTTGGCCAAACCACTGGTGGAACTGTTGTCGTTGCCGGCCAGGCTGCCCACGCAGTTGCTGGCGGCACTGTCAACGGTGCTACCAACGGAGTTGTCAAGCGTGACTTTATTAAGGGAGAGACCGGGGACATCAATGTTGCCAACGAAGTTACCCAGGGCACCGTCGGCGATATTTCTGGTGGGGTTTTCTCCCGTGATATTGTCGGTGGAGCAACCGACGGGACCGTCGACGTTGCCAGCGGCGCTGTCCAGGGTGCCGCCGGCCAGACTGTCGGCGGTGTTACGAACTCTGTCAGACGCCAGCTACCTAATGTGAACGGAGTCACTGGTGTTGTTGGCACTGCAACTGGTCTCGTGGGTAATGTCGTTGGCGGAGGTGCTCTCGGTGGAGTCGTTAAGCGTGTGGAGGGTGTTAGTGGTATTGTCGGTACTATCTCTGAAAACACCCTTGGAAGAGCTGGTAGCATCGTTGGTGCCAACACCGGCGGTGAGGCTTTGAAGACTGGCTCCAGCGCAACTGGCCAGGCCATGAACGTCGTTGGAAACATGGTCACACCTCAGAAGCGTCAACTTCCAGCTGTCGGAGGTGTTACTGGCACTGCTGGTCAACTTGTTGGCTCCGTTACCGGCAATGGTGTCGGCAACGTTGCTGGTGGTGTTCTCGGCAACTGAACTCAATGAATGCGTCAAGAACGGTGCCGCTGACATGGCAAAGTGCGTTGGCTCTTCTCTGTAAGTTCTCCCTTGATTTAACTATACTGCTCGAAGCAACAACACAATACTAAGGCATCTATAGTGTTACAACTTTTGCCAGCGTCCCCCGGGATTTTGAGATAGCACAGGTCACCGAAGAGTCTACTTCGACCCGTTTTTAAAAGAGACTAGGAATGCATGATACTTTGATGTTTGTTTATACCTTTTAAGGATCGTTCTGTGGCTTTTCTTTTCTTTATCAGCCTCAGAGGTTCAGCTCATCTACTTGATTATTAATTCTTTCATTTCAATGACACGACTCATCCATTGTGTTTATTCTTGTACCTTTTTTGGCCGTCGGATCGTTTTTGAAGAGAAAAAATCGTTCTTGGTATATACCCGAAAGTGGCAACGACGCTGTGTTTGTACTCATATTAATTAGACATAAATTTCATTGTTCACGATTTATCTTTCTTCTACAGCTACATATCAGTCCTTAACGGGTAGATAATAGAACCGGGGGACCAGAGGCGCTATATGTAATAGGGTACCCTACCACTAAATCGATATCTTTTTCTTATCATAATATGTGGAAAACAGCCTGATGAAACCTCCATGCTTATTATTCGCTCGAAAGAGGTAATGGAAAGATTTATATAGTAAGAGTCGGCTTAGGGGCAGCTAGCGTGCATAGAATTAGATACACTGGCACAGATTGTGTCAAGTTGCTCAGCCAGGAACACATAGATCATGTAAATATTTGTTTCAATTGCGGGTATCAGTTGCCTCCGTCGTCTCCAGAGGCTGGCCTGAGGCAGCGCTTTGGGCCATATATAATAATGCGGAGAACGATATAGACAGGGAAGTCTGGCAGATCTTACTGGGGAGGTTATGGTCACCACCCTTGTTCATGATGAGATTCGAAGCATGGGACCTCTGCAGAGCGAGAGTTAAGCTGGGACGACCCCGTGAAAATATGCACAACTAATATTACTCCGTATATATACGAGCTAAGCAGTTCAGTTTGCTATATTGCGTGTGTGGAACTGTCTATCATGACTGTTCACTGAGTTAAGGACGTGCAGAGCAATCTCGGCTTCACGTTTGAGAGGCCCATGACCCACCGCCAGCTGTCCATACATAGTAGATATATACGGACATGCCATGTACTTACATAGTACGGAGTACTCCATACTTAAATAAGGTATTATGTATGTATGTATATGCAGCAGACGGGAGCATACTTGGTGGCTCAGGGGTTTGGTTTTACGTGGTATACATTCTCCCTTGATGTGAGCCCTTTTGCAAAGCTCCTTCATGAGAGATGTGGTTTAACTGTACGACAGTGACAGCCTCAAATACTACACATCTTCATCATATTCTCTTTCTCCTTTTTTTTCCCCTTTTTATCATCGTCTTCTTCCTCTTCTTCCTCTTCTTGTAAGTTTACATAAGTTTAACTTTGGTGAAACATCCTTGACTAGGGTTGGTATGTGTATTACTGTAATATTACACAAACAAGTACTTATAATTTGCAGTAAATTTCTAATAATTAAAAGTACACTCGTATTTTAAAGCCACCTTTGTATGAGACAATACCGCCCTCTTCCTCCTTCGCCCAAAAAGGCCAAATTAACGTCCAACTTTGAACTTCAACGAAAAATCGAACTTCTTCGCATTTTGTGGCTAGAAGAAGACCTTGAACGGAGCATAGCTATTAGCCTCAGAAGACGAAGAGAAGTGACTAAGTAAGCAGACGGGATGCTCGATATACAGCTCTCTCGTCCTCCCATCCTTCGCGGTAGGCGCCATCAGCCTTGTTTCTAGGGGGATTGCATATAGCTAACGCAGTATTACAGAGCATAGTTATACTTAATACGTATCCGCTGTAAGTTACTGCTGCGACCCCAGCCTTGATCTCTCTTTCTTCCCAGGTCATAGAGCCCTATACGAGCAGCGGTATATTATATCGATATAATTCATTTATATATCACCAGGACCCTTTGGTATGATAGACCAACAAGCACGCTCTGTGTGTTATCAAAAAGATATATACACACAAGGGAAGAGGGAAAACGACGCTTTTTTTTCCTTTTTTCCTTTTTGCTTTTGTGCTGCCCCTTTCAGGAGCGATTGGTGTGTTTCGCATATTCTTGGTTCCTTACGGTTTATTTATATTTTTATTTTATATATTTTTTTTTTCGCTTCAAGCCCATCCAAGACAAGCTCGTATCCTTCCATCTTCCTCCTCAGCTGTCCCCTGCTTGCAGCCCTCCTTTTGTGGCTGAACAGGCCGTCGTTTGCGTCTCCATCTTTCATCTTACGCCCATTCTGGCCCAAAGGGGTGGCTACACAACAATTACTTTACTTTTAGCAATCACGGGTCATATCGTGGCCCTGCTAATCTCGACCGCTCAATACAATAGGAGCAACCCGAAATAGCCATATTGCGCTCCCTGAACCTCAACTCTGATACATCGACGTGGCCCTGCGGTCTTGTCCCCCGTCCCTGACATCGCATATTGATCGCCCCCGCTTCTCGCCCTCCTAACACCTATTGAGTCTTCTTCTTTTCCATACTTGAATGGGGGCGGTTTAACAACCAACTGTTACCTCTCATTCGACAGATATTCGGTCTATTTTGGACTACGCCCAGTAGCGGTTTTGCGATTATAGCTGAAACAAATTGCAGCCCGGATAATTCTCACCATCGAGGGGATCAAAAGCTCGGACTTTCTTTCCCTCTCCCTCAGATGCTTCATATCACAACATCGATAGACCCGCCTCTAACATTCACGTCCTACCAGACCTGATCCCGATCCCCCTTTTTTTTTCGATTTTTTGCCCTCGAAGAACTGAACACAGTTGTTGGCATACGGTCGAGGTCATTGCGAAGATGGATATGGATGCCTCAGCCTCTACCGAATCGCCAGATGACCAAGATGACTTTCCCATTCACTGCAAAGGGTGTGGTGAGGTATGAATATCTATGGATTGTTATTGGTATTCTTTGTTAGATATGCTAAAATCTTCTCTATCTTCAAGATCCTTGAGGAAGGAAAGGCTTTCGAACTTGGTATGTGAATTTCTCTTCCCTCTGTGGTTCCAGCGACCAACTTCTTCTGACCATGTTATAGCCGGAAACCGATGGCATATCGACTGCTTCCGATGCCATACCTGCGGCGCCTACCTCGATTCCGACGTAAACCTCCTCATGGTTGGCGATGGCTCCCTCGTTTGCCGAAATTGCGCCTACAGTTGCAGCTCCTGCGGCTCCAAGATTGACGATGTCGCTATTGTTACAGGCGAACAAGCCTTTTGTGCTGGGTGCTTCAAGTGCCGCAACTGCAAGAAAAAGATCGAAAATCTCCGCTATGCGCGAACTTCACAGGGTATATTTTGCATGGACTGCCACGAATCGTTGATGTCGAGACGGAGGAAACGGACAGCCCGAAATGCTGCGCAACGACAGAAGCCTCCAGCTCCCAATATGCATCTGGACAAATCACTTCCTTCTCTCCCTCCTTCCATGATGGTACCTGAAAACAGTGCTCCACCGCCGTCTTCTTCTGACATATACTCTGATTCCACATCAGAACATCTTCCTCAGTCTAGACAAGAAGAGGACCGAGGAACTAGATCATACTCTTCAAATCATCAAGGTATGTTACAATAACCCGCACAGACTTTCAATGAGCCTTAGCTGAGAACTTATTCCTGCTAGATAACCAACTCCTCCCCTCAAGCACTTATAATAGCAATCGTCACTCAGTAGCAACCCACAGGTCAGATGGCTCCGGCAATGAAGAATTTCTCATACCTGTTGCCTTTGACCCTACGCCATCTGAGCATGCTTCCCCACACTTAAGCTCTCCGAACTCATCCATGACACCGAATGATGGTCCTAAGGATTACTTCGGCCGGGGAACCTCCAGTGCACTTGGAATAACAGGAGATGGGCCATCCATGCTATCGCCAAGTCACATCGCATATCAGGATAAGCGACAAATTAATCCTAACCCGCAGCAGTGGCTCCAGGAAACGGTCACGCCGCCTCAAGCTCAGCCCTCAATTAACTCTAACCAACGATCTGACTCACATAGTGCTCGAACTAGCATGAACATAGATACTTCAAGGTTGTCACAGGAAGTTTCGAGAAGCAAGGATCAAGTCAACTCTGATCGACTTACCCCGGGCGAAAGGTCGTCTAATCGCCATTCAGTTCCTGGAAAGGATGCCCTTGTGTCTCAATCGTCTAACTTCAACCAAAGAAAAAAGGTATCAAACGAGAAATCCAACCCTGGGACGATATCCTCTCCCTCAAACCAGCTTCAGTACCCGCCCAAGAGAGGAGACTCCTTAGAAAGCAGCAAACTCCACCAGAATATCCAGAGGAAAGATATACCACCACCCTCGCTAGACCATGCGGAAAAACCCGAGGGCACCGTTAGGTCCTCTACTAGCTCCGATTATGCATCGGTAACATCGAAGGTTATCGAAAGCACTCCACCAACTCAGTCAAATGCAACCGCAACGGCAGCTCCATCACGTACCAGATCCGCATCTGGAAGTGCGAGCACTTATACTTTACCTTCGGACACCCAGCGTCAAGCGTCTTCCGGATCGTCTCCAGGCCTTCTCCGTTATAGTGCAGTTGGCGACTTCTCCCTGGATGAAGATATGGCACGAATACTTGGTGATGATCCACAAGCTCAGGACTCGTTCCTACGTAAAGTATCGAATTCTGTTCGACACGGTAGAAGTTTCAGTGACAAAGGTTCACGGTTATCTCGAGAGCTCAAATGGCCAGCTAAATCTCCCCCCGGCACAGATAACCCTGGAAATGACATTAGTAGCCCAATCCCTAGTGGCCTTGAATCCAAGGATGAATTAATCTGGCTCAGAAATGAACTGAAACGAGAGCGCCAAAAGGTTATTGAGAAGGATCAGAAGATTTTGGAGTTAGAAACTTCGCTTAATGCTACTGTAAATATTAAGCAGGTCAACACAGAGCTACGGGAGAAACGGTCTACCATGATCTTCTTAGACGCCCAGAAGGAGATCATCCTTCGAGAGCTTGAAGTATGGAAGGAACACATTGCAGCTGAGAAGAAAAATAATAAGCCACTTGATCTGGGAAAGATGAGCAATTCCGTTCTTCGAGATCTTGCCGAATCTCTTGAGAGCCTGAAAAATACCTTTGCTCCACAGATCGAGGAGTTGATTCAGAAACGCAACGATTTGGTTGAAGAATTAGCTAACATCGGGAGGATGAAAGACAAGAGTTTCCAAGAATTTGAGCAATTGTCATTGAAGAATGCTCAATTGGCAGAGCTAAACAATCAGTTGGTACATCAGATTCAAGAGCTGTATAAGGCAAATTCAAATACATCCAGTGGTAGTAACCGGCAAACTCCAAACGGCCTGGGAATATACTCTCACCAGAAGGACAAGTCTAGCACCTCTTTAGAGGCACGCTCAACGCCCTATGAAGCGGTAGCATCCAACTCTAGCGTGACGGTGCCGGAAGAAGCCGAACCAGCAACTGTCATTCAAGGCCCTCATGTCGTGAATATCCGCAAAGGACAACCCAAGAAATTCACCTGGAAGAAGGGCCAGAATGTTGCGAAGGGAGTCACCAAGGGTCTCAAGGGTGCATTCTTATACCAACGAGAAGGTCAACTTAATGATAACTCTTCCATTATCTCCACATCTCAGCAAGAAAGTAATGGATCAGGCATGCCGCGCTCGCAAACGCAGGACCCATCTCGGCAAGGGTTTGGATTCTTTGGGAATCAGAAAGGTAAACCTACTCCATGGAAGGGGCAGTCTAACGGCAGTTCTCCGGGGTTAGATACGCCAACGAGTAAGCATATATACCTTATTTATTTTCCTCTCTGAGTAGTGCTAATTTGTATTAGGCCTTTTTGGTGGAGAGCTGGAGCAACGGTTGGAAATTGAGAAAGCTGTCATACCTAGTATTGTCATGCGTTGTATCGAGGAAGTTGAGCTTCGAGGTAAGAATCCTCAGGTCGTACTGATGTATACAGACATTTGCTTATATATTTTTGCAGGAATGGACGTGGAAGGCATTTACCGAAAGTCTGGAGGAAGTTCCCAAGTTCAAACTATTCGTGAAGGTTTTGAGCGTTCTCGCGACTACGATATATCGGATCCCGACCTTGATATAAACGCCATCACCTCCACTCTCAAACAGTATTTCCGAATGCTCCCAACTCCCTTGGTCACATACCCAGTGTATGATATTCTTCTTGAAGCAACAAATGTGACGCCCATTTCTGCAAGAATCGAGATGATTCAGCAGGCTCTTCAAGAGCTCCCCCGCGTTCATAGGGACGTTTTAGAGTTCCTCGTCTTCCACTTGAAACGTGTCGTTGATCGCGAGAAGGAAAATCTCATGACCAGTCTTAACATCGCCGTTGTTTTTGCACCTACAATCTTACGTCCGGAGAGCTTGAGTCGTGAAATGACGGATGTCCAGAAAAAGAACGAAACGATCCAGTTCATGGTAGAGAACTGCCAAGACATATTCATGGGTATTGAAGAGTGATCAATGGCAATAGCCGAAATCTCAAGATTACCAGAGTGTTTAATCGTGCTTATGGCGAACTCAAGCTAGGGCAAAATCTATAGCTGCTCAAGTTACAGCCTCTCAAACAACAGTATTTTTTTTTTCCTTGGAAAGAGCAAAACGGCTGCGGGAAAGGAGGTTCGGAGAGGATAATTCTGCATTACGTTTTTTTAAAACCTAACTATTCTTATCGATTTTGCACTTGATCATTTGTTGTCCTGTCGTTTTTTTTTCAACAGCGGCTACACCGTACCATGCATTCCCCTTCTCCCCTCTCCGTCCATTTTTTAGCCATATTATTCCATTTCAGTTGTGCAAGGCAGAAATGGAAAGGAAGTAAGGGGCTGAAATACAAATTTGGGAATCATACCAATTTTCTGCTGGCCCAGACTGGAATGTGATTTTTACCCTGCCCCCCCTTTATATTATTTATTTATCCCCCTAATGTCCTTCTGCAGTCATGACGATTTCACTTGTTCTTGGCCTTGTTCTTGTGCCTGTTGGTTTTTTTTTTTTTTTTTTTTTTTGACATGTTGTTACCCCTTTTGTGCTACTCGTTTATGCCTTTCCTATCCAAATACCCTTCACTTCTTTGCTAGCCATTTAGTCGCTAGGGATTAATAGCAAGAATGATTAATTATATGATAGTAGATCTACTATATTTTTGCACTTTGCCTGTATGGATATTTTCCATAGAAACTACGTCTTATAAAGGGTCTGTCTTGTATATACTTGGTACCCCTAGTTTCCGGGTATTTAATACACGTTAACGCGTCAATTACCAAGCCAAGGGATATTCATATTGCATTATGATGTATCTAAGTTCAGAATGTCTCATCATCTAGGCCAGAGCGGCGAACGATGCTTGGGCTGTTGTCTGGGTTATCATAAATGTTATCCAGATCATCAGTCAGCTCACATCCACCAGCAGTGTAAAGTAAATCCGAAACAATGCGTTTAGAAGCTTCCTTTGCTATAGTGTTGATAATATACGTAAGTAACATTCGATATCCATAGGGAAATTTAGGATAGCATACCTGGAGTTTTCAGCAGCCGGCTTTGCGGTACATGGAACTGCATAGTTTTCGGGGGACTGAAGTCAACGGGCGCCGTATCATCTTCATCGCCGTCATCTGCATATCCACCATGATTAAATTCCTCATCGCTATCCCACTGTTTTGGATCTCCCCTATTCTTATTTGAGGGCGTAGCTAATATGCTAGCCGCAGGAGTGCGAGTCTTGCTTGTGTTGCGTTTAATAGTGCTTCGACGGATCATTGGGGAATCGAATAACTCCGTATGTAATTTGGGGGCTTCTAGCTCTGGACTCGAGAGAGGGGACTCATCTAGTTTATACCGTGAAGTAGGGGGAGTTGTAGTGCCAAATTTACTAGTTCCCTTATTGATGGTAGACTTGCGTGAACTGGCGAGTGGGGTTGCCTGAACCCGGTATGTTTTATCCAGAACACGGTGCATAAGAGGGTCAGCCCTGTCTCCCTTTAGAGCCGTGGACAGGTTAAATTTCGATATAGGATTAAATACGGTGGATGAAGAAGTATTGGGTGTGGCAATATCATTATATTCGGGCTGCTTGCCCTTCCCAGGTGTTCTTGGTTCTGGGCCACAGAGCTGGAGGGGCGACTCAACAGCAGGTAAATCTTCTTCTCCATGTTGGTCAAAGGCTGAGGAGTACTCCATGCGTGACGTGGTGTCATTGTCATCTAAAGCAAGGGGCGGTATACTTCTGGTACGCGGAGGGCTATGCGACGGTGATAACGAAAGGGTCGAAAAGTCGGGGTCATCCTCGTTTTTAATCTTATGATCTATCACTATATGCTCCGAAGACGGCGTGGCATATGACCCAGTCTCTTCTTGATATGTCGAATCAGCCGTGGCAGTTGTGTCGGCATTAATGGTTGTCTCTTGGCCTTCTTCGTTCGGTGGTTGTTCCTCATAGCCAGACAATGAAACGTTGGCACTTGCTTCAAAGAATTGTTTCCAGAACTAATAGCTATTGGGTCAGACGGATATTTTGGGGCCGCTACGTTGCAGTAAATTGTGTCTATACCTTTGAGGCCTCCCATACATCCTTGGAATTTTCCGTGTACTGTTCAACAATTGGTATAATGCTAGATGTGACGATTCGATGGGCTCTATTGAAATTGGAGTCGATTTCTGTGTTTATATAGGCGAAATATATTAGCTGTAGCTGTCAAGACCAGCTGCTCTATATTGAAACCTGATGTAGCATACCTTGCAATGTCAGAGTAATAGACTGTTCAAGCTTCTCTAACTCTTCTGTTAGAGTTAGATTCCGTTGTAATGTGGGAGGGTGGGACATTCTGTCGGAGAAAGACACCAAGATGTCCTTTACTTGTTGATGTCTTTTGATGCGCGTCAAAACGTTGTAGATTTAGGGGGGGGGATTAGAGTTTGGCGTTTAGGGCTGGCGATAAGGGCTTATATAATCATGACATAAGCCGCGGTTATGACGATGGACGGCAAAAGTTGAGAAGCAAAAGGCAACAACCATTAAACCACCCACTGAGGCCGATTGCTGTTAAGTGACTGGTGTGAGAGGTAATTAGTATCCGAAACAGCTGATACTGACTGCTGGATAAGGAAGAACGTCGAAAAGTCTGACATAGAACCGTTCCCGTCCAACTCCGCACCCCATACTCTCCGATATGACAGCCCCTCTGGCAAAAGGTTAGTACTTGTCGAAGGCTCACTGTCTCATAAAGCGTCTCCCCATTGTGTATATGTGGTGTTTGGATGATGTGGTAACAATAGCTTTGGTATTAGGCATTGTGATTACAGTTACAGTCATTGTTGCGGCTGGAATTGCAGCTTATGAGAGTCCAGAGGTAAAAAGATGGCTCGACACATCTCGACGCAAGATAGCTCTTGCTCTACATAGCCTAGGGGACGGTATCAGCCCGGAAAAGCAACGTACATCTTTGAGAGATGACATATCTATGACCGAGGCCACTGGACTAGAGGCTGAAGAAAGACGACGAAAAGCCAGAGAAGAAATCATGAGACGTCATGCTCTGCTGACGGCAAAACGACGTGCTACCTCAGAAGGCAGCATGAGCAGTTTTGATAAACTTGTGGATAGCGAGGGTCGGCTGAAGGATACGAAAGTGTTTGACAGGGAACCCGAGAAGTTAATCTCCAAGTCTTCAGCGATTGACATGCCTGACATGTCGCGGGTAATTCCCGTGAATGTAAAACAAGGCGATCCAAATACTACTTCACAGTCAATGTCCGTGGTTATCCCGAGTATTGATCCAGACCAATGCCGTGCCCTTATAGAGAATGTGCAAATGGGCTCGTCTCGTGCCTCTACGCTAGGCTCAGAGACACCCTCCCACCACCCTTCCGAATCTTTGATAAATTTAACCCCAACGTCTGAATTCCCGGGTACCGACTTCCAAGCTTCCATTCACATAAGTGAACAAGAAATACCCGTACAGGATAACACCGCCCATACAGAGGACGGGGAATCAGATTTTTACTACGCCCATCCGGACCATCACAACCAGGCAGCCTCTCAGTCAGAAAGAGTTATCTTTGATGCAGATGGCACTCACACCCCCACAAGTCAACCTTCATCTGCTCCATCCATTGCTTCAAATCTGAGCCATATAGACAACGATCCTTTCGAGTCAGCCTCGGACGACTCAATTAGTGATCTTGGCCGATCGCGAGAGGAAGTCTACACACCGGTCAGCTGGTCTGAGGTTGGTAGTGTCATCAGTAGCAATGATGGAGGCCACGCTTGAATAGCTTATTTTATTTTATTTTTGAATGGAGAGATATGGGCCAACAACACATATCATTTCATTTACATCTTCGGCACAACATACAGATCCCAGAATCTCTTCATCTCGTGCCAGTTTTCCTCTTTTGTTGGGTTTCAAATATGCTCGGTGTCCTGGATTTAACAGGTGCAAAACTATATAGGATTCTTCTTTATATATTGATAGTAGTTCTGATAGTTGGATTGTAGGTTCGGTCATTCTTTGTATTCGTAGCGTTACTAATAGCATCGGTCTGAATTCAGAATTTATACAAATTACCTCATACAGTACCATATCCTATCGAGTTTTCTTCTTGCCACCTCTCTCGTTTCAAGGAGGCAATGTACTGACCTGGTTGAACCAAGTTTTAACCATGCGAGCCAGCATTATAGATCACCTCTCACCTATGGAATCAAGCGAGCTGGTCGCCTTACCGTAGAAACTACGGCTTAGACCTGCTCTGAACCATGGTCGAACAGCACCTTATCTGGAGGTAATGGCAGAAGGAGCACGCGACCATGTGAAGCATCGTTGGGGAAGACACATAATGACGAAAATACTTACAGAAGACTCATTCTTTCTTTTGCCCATTTATTGTTACTTGTGTATGCCTGGGCCTCCCATGCGAGGACAATTATCGTTTTGAGACATTGATATCCATATACTTATTTCCTGCAACAGCAGGCAGTGCTACCAGGCCACCTCCTAGCAAATGCCTCCAGAAATAGGCGCCGTGCGCTAGTACATCTAGGTGTCTACGGAGCGAAGATGAAGGCTATAAGGGCGTGTTTGTTGTTTGTGCCGTTCTTTATAAGTCATGTTATCATGGCCGTTTCTGAAGCCACAGCGAGTCCAAGGAAGAGGAATCTTGATAAGTATTTCGACGAACCGGGAATGGGTGACACTCTTCGCCATTATGATAGTAGATTCTTCAAAGGAGTAGTGCCGCCGGCAGATCGAATTGAGGGCTTGACGGATATGATTCGAGCGTATTTGCAATTCTTTCAGGAAAACGGACTAGAAACCTGGATAGCCCATGGAACACTACTTGGTTGGTGGTGGAATGGAAAGGTAAGGAAGGACTATAGGTCTATCCATCCGATCCTTTTGTTGGAAGTTGATGAAAAATGCGAGAATCCACAACAAAATAGAGGCTAACCTATTTCTACGTTAACAGATGCTTCCATGGGACTGGGATGTGGATACGCAAGTCAGCTCCGAGACCCTCGAATACCTTGGTGACTATCTTAACCAGACGGTTTATAATTATACTGGGACAATGCCGAGTCACGGAAATAAACGGCAATATCTACTAGATGTCAACCCAGCTTCGAGAGAGAGAGGACGCGGTGACGGCCAAAATATCATTGATGCGCGATGGACGGATATTTCCAGTGGTATCTTTACCGATATCACAGGGATCAGCGAATTAAACCGTGATACAGAGCCTGGAGTGCTAGGTGATAAAAACTTCCACAGGTATCGAGAAGTTGACATCTATCCATTGCGCAAAAGTACATGTGAAGGAGTCCCTGCAAGTGTACCTTTCAATTATATTGATATTCTAGTCACAGAATATGGTAACGCTTCTCTCAGGAGGACTGAGTATGAGAAGTGAGTAGACACTTTCACTACCCGTAGGCTTATGACCAGATGCTAATATGTCGTGGATAGCCATTTCTGGAGTACGAGCCGGCAAGAGTGGGTTCCGGTTTCACCTTAGACAAACCCAAGACGTTCTATAGTGAAAGACTTATATTCAGTTCTTAGAAACCCGGCCAGTGGTGCCAACGAACCTGATTGGGTAGATGTTGGGATTGGATATGGTAGAGCTTGCTGGTACTCAGGATGCTAGTTATATGAAGTAGTCCTGCGACTAGGTATATAGTCAACATCATAGATATTGTTATTTGCGAACTCCCTACATTCCCTTCTCCGCAAGGCACATTTTCATCGTCTTCGTAGATGTTTCTGATATTCTTCCCATTTTAGGCAAAACAAAACCTCGTTTTGAGCCTCGGCAAGCTTAAATCCACTTTAAGTCCGAGTATTACTAAGCAGTCCAGTCCAGCGTTTCTTCAAAGGCTTTCGATATCTTTCTAGTCAACAGCCATGATTACGAGGTCAAGATGAGACTGATTCTCTGTATATATAGCTGATATATTGACTGAGGGAACAGTGGCCCGCACCAAGTACTAGCTTTGTTATGAGAAATCCGCTTAACTAACGCTTACCATGGATCCCAGCGATGTGCAAGCCAGCTCAGACGAGCAGAGCAGTATCACTATAACGGTTCACCATCAAGGAAGCACTCACTCTATATCGCTGCCAAACGACTCGACTCTTCAAGACCTCTCAGATGAGCTTTCAGAGAAACTGTCCATCCCATCACAGAACCAGAAACTGCTTATTTCACCTAAACCAGGCCTGCAAAAGCCTCCGTTTCCGCCGACGCTCCTATCTTCCCTACCTCTACACTCCCCTCGCGGCAAAATAACACTTCTTGGTAGTACCAGTGGAGAAATAGATTCATTAAAGAGACCCGTGTCTTCATCTCCCGCTCGCAAGTCAATAATTAAGCCCGCAAAACCATTTTCGCGCCAACAGCCGTCATCGTCATCACAATATACATTCCATAAGCTACTACCACTTCCATACCTACCCAACCCCGAACGCAGCCTTGCGTTTCTAGCCCGTCTACGTGATGATCCCGGAATTCGCAAGGCGATGGCTCGCCACCAATTCTCAATACCCCTACTTACTGAAATGGACCCAGCCCAACACACGACAATGTCGTCACGTACGCTTGGCCTGAATCGGAATAAAGGGGAGGTGATTGAACTCCGCCTTCGAACGGATGCGTATGATGGATACCGGGACTATAGAACTATACGAAAGACTCTCTGCCATGAGCTAGCGCACTGTGAATTTAGTGATCATGATCGAGATTTTTGGAACTTGACGGGACAGATTGAGAAGGAAGTTGAGAGGGCTGATTATTGGGGAAATAAGGGGCGAAGTGTTAGTGATCAGGAATTTTATAATCCCGTCGATTGGGAGGATATGAACGCCCAAGGGGTTGTGGACCATGGTGGGTGGACCGGAGGTGAGTTTGTTCTCGGTGGTTTATCTGGAAAGCCGAGTAGTTCTGAGAAGGGGCTGAGCAGGCGAGAGATTCTGGCCAACGCAGCCGAAGCAAGAATGGCGAATATGGGGTCTAAGTCTAGTCACCAGGAGCAAACCGGCGACAGCTCTGGGTCTGGCCAGGAGCCAGACAACCCCTGATGAATATATATATACCCACATTAAGAAAGAGAAGAGACGATGGAAAGAACATAATTCATGAATTCTATATCCAACAGGCACCTTTTACATTAAATGAATGAACGAAGAACAATAATCTACTGCTCATTAACAAACAGTCCAGCCATTCCTTGTCCGGTTCCAATGCACATGCTGGTAACCAGGACCTTTGCATTTTGCCTCTTGGCCTCGTTCATGATGGTGCAAACTTGTCTTGTGCCAGTGCAGCCAAGTGGGTGGCCGAGGGCAATAGCTCCTCCACATGGGTTAACCTTAGCATGGTCAAGGCCAAGAGTGTTGATGCAGTAGACGGCCATGGAAGCAAAGGCCTCGTTAATCTCAAAGATATCGATATCTTCCTTGCGTAGGTTGAATTTAGAGAGAAGCTTGGGGATGGCAATAGATGGGCCAATCCCCATGATGCGTGGTGGGACTCCAGCAACAGTAGCACCGACAAATTTGCCGATAATTGGTTGACCGAGTTCTTCAGCCTTGGAGCGCTTCATGAGGAGAACGGCAGCAGCTATTTCATGGTTAGTTTTTGCGGTCTTCAGCATGTGTAGAGGGATACTCACCGCCATCGGTAATCTGACTAGCGTTACCACCGGTAGTTCGAGTGCCCCATTGGGGGAAAGCCGGGCGGATCTTGCTCAATGCTTCATAGGTGGTTCCGTACCTTGGCCCTTCATCCTGAGTAACGGTGACTTGCTTCATTTCTCCGGTCTTAGGATCCTTGACTTTAGTGGTGACCGGAATGATCTCGTCGACAAATTTGCCAGCCTTCTGAGCCACTTCCGCACGACGGAAAGACTCGACCGCATATCGGTCCTGGGCCTCACGAGAGATGTTAAAGTCGGCGCCGACATTCTCGGATGTCTGACCCATAGGCTGAGAGCAGTCTGCCGCATCCTGGTTGGCGAGAACTTCCGGCGCAAACGAGTCAGGCTTTCTAGCGGGTCCCTTGGTCATGGATTCAGCGCCAACAGCAATACCGATCTCAATTGATCCGTTGGAGATTTGGTTGGCGACATCTTGAATAGAGTAGAGGCCGGAGGAGCAGAATCGGCTGACGGCTGAAGCGCCAGAGGTATATGGAATTCCAGCTGCAAGAGATGCAGCGCGAATTATGCTAGATGCGCGCTCGTTGTTGGACTAGTTGTTGGGAGACAAGTTAATAATCGAACAAAACGGTGAGAAATAAGAGAAAAGAAAAGGAAACGGATTCCATACGCATCCCATAACGACATCTTCAATGAGGCTTGGGTCCACTTTAGAGCGAGCAACCACTTCCTTTAAAAGAGAATATACGATATAATCAAGCTCAGTGTCCTTGAAGCTTCCCTTGAAGCCGCGGGCCATAGGCGTTCGTGCCGCAAGGGTGATGACAATGTCGTCCGCATTCTTTTGGGTACTGCTCAGCCATAAATCAGCAACTATTCAAGCCTATGAAGTCAGGTTGAAAACGAGTGCCTACATCTTCTGGACAGCACTGCTTCCGCCGGTAGCAGGCTTAAGCTGAGCTAGTACAGCATTCAATCTTGCAGTAGCCATTTCGACAGGTGCTAATTATATATACCGTAAGATAGAGAAAAGGAGAAGATCGAGAAGAGAACGAAGAAATAAGAAGAAAATGGAATGAGGGGACCTCGGAGCTATAAGTGCAATACGAGGTGGAACTAGTCAAAAACTGGGGTTTAGAACGGGGGACGGTCACTCAGCAAGTAGCTCAGGTATATATGGGCGAAGAGATAGAAGAAGCATATGAATTTGTAGACAGAGACAGAGAGACAGAGACAGAGAGGAAGAACGCGGGCTTGTCAGTTTTGATATTTATATTTCTTATTCTTTGCGAGGAAAAAAAGTTGCCGTGAAAGAGCCGAGGCAATTTCCTCTTTCGGCTACTTTTAAACGCCGAGATAAAGCCGGGGGAGGAGCAAGAGAAGAGAAAAGCGTCTACGTATGTATAAGCTGATGTTACGATGAGTTCTAATAAAATTCCATTCTGCATTCCTCTATCCGTGTAAAGAAAACGTTGTTTAACACTTTTTGACCTTTGTGGTTGTGATCATTATACCCGTCTTTGGCGAGTGGTGAGAGGATGACGTCGATATTAAAGAAAAGAAAAGCAATAGCAAGAAAAGATTCATTGCATTGTAGGGAGATGTGGAACAGATGAAGGGTAGGGTTGCAGAGCCAGGGGAACGGTGGGTTGTGCAGGTAGTATAGAACAGCAGCCTCCAAGAAGTCATGAATGCTAAAGAAAAAAAAGAAAGGTCATCTCATAAACATTTTATCATATGTGTACTTTATTCGACTTCCTCCATCTTGGAGTCACCGTTCGCATCGGCGTCGTCCATGCCGGTGTCACCCTTTATTTCAACCTGTTTCTTTGGGGCGGCTGCTTGCCTTTCTGCCTCAAGCTTGTCGAGATAGCGTTGCACGATAGGCCCAGAAAGGAAACGGAGGTCATCCATCTTAGACATGTAGACGGCCTTGGTGGTATCTTCACCATCTTCATAAAGCCAGTCCTGGAAACTTATATTAGCCAAAGCGGTCCTGCAAACATGAATTATATAATTGAACATACCTCCGTGGCAGTGAGTTTGGCCTTCAGTTTCTCCTTTTCTTCCTCGCTGGCGTGATCGGCGTAGATGCCATCGACCTTATCTCTGAGCTCATAAATGAATGACTCGAGCTCGTTCTTCTTATCCTCGGTGTCGGCGACAAGTTTGTCCTCCATAAACATGGCGTTCTCTTTCTCGGCCAACTTCTCCTTGACGGCAGGGTCAAGCGAGGCAGAACCGATAACAACAGGGAGATCGCCCTTGCGGAGTTGCTTCTTGACCTTGCGCATCTTGGGTTTGGCTTCGGCCTCGCCGTTGGCATCGTCTGTATCCATGGTCTGTTTCCACAGTTTTCTTATGTTAGAAAACACGCTCTTTGTCGTGGGGGATACCGGAAAAGGGATATGAGTTAGCGGCATGGGGGAAACGCCGGCATAAAGGATAAACTTACCTCGCCTTCTTTCTTTTCCTCAGGAATCGGCTCCTCGACCTCAACATCTTCCACGTAGTATCCAGATTCAATGTTCAGAATACCGTGCAAGTTGAGTCTGGCTTTAAGTTTACAGATCATAAAGTCAGAGTTGGGGTCAGCGGTGACACCCTTGACAGAGAAGCGTCCAATCCAGGGGTTGGTCTTGCCGGGGAGCAACTCTGGCTTGGAGTAGCGGGCCTCCAAGTCGAACGGCTGCTTGCGGTAGAAGGTAAGGATCTTGGTGGATGGCATGATATTGCCCTTGTTAAAGACAGTCAAGAGGTGGCCTCATCTGGGATATCAGGGGATTGCTCCCAGGTGAATTCGATAGGGTAGTTAATAACATCGTGCACGGAGAAGTCACGGACACGGAAAACTGGAGACAGGATAGCACAGCTGAAGGCACAGCCACGAGCAACAGCCTCATCCTGGTTAAGGGTGAAGGAGAGCTGTTTGCCGAAGAATTTGCTGATGGCGTCCTTGACCGAAGGGACACGAGTGCATCCACCAACCATCTCGATGCTGTCGATCTCTTCAGGCTTAAGACCGGCCTCGGCGAGAGCCTGCTCGAGAGGGACAGTGATGCGGTCAAGTAGCGGCTGGATCATCTCCTCCAGTTCCTCACGCTTAACCATGGCACGAACATCGACATCGTTCATGATGGACTCGATGCTGATAAGGGCCTGGGCATTGGCGGACAAGATCTTCTTCAGCTTTTCGGCAGCTGCAAAGGTTCGGGTCATTGCCTTGGGGTTCGTCTTGATGTCAATCTTGAACTTCTCCTTGAATTCCTTGGCCAGGTGATCCACGAGGACCTTGTCTAGGGCTCGGCCTCCAAAATGGCGGTCCCAAGCAGTTCCCTTGACGTTGAGCTCTCCCTTCTTGAACTCAACAATGGCACAAGAGTAGTTGCAGTGACCAATGTCGACAAATGCAACACGTCGAGGGGTCTCGCCTTCGGCTGGGAGGTCCAGTTTTGTGATACCATAGCCGAGTGCAATGGCGGTAGTGTCGTTGATAAGGCGCAGCATGTTCAGGCCAGCTATCGAGGCAGAGTCAATGAGTGCACGGCGCTGGGCATCAGTGAACCATGGTGGCACACTGAGCACGACATCAGAAACAGGCAGTTTTAGCTCTGCGGCTGCGGTGGACTTGATCTTTGTGAGGTACATAGCCACGAGTTGGGTGGCAGAAAACTGCTCCTTCTTGCCCATGTAGCTGACCTCGGCACCAGCCTCGCCATTGACGTCTACGAGTTTGGCAGAACAGAATTCCTGTTCCAGCTGGACGTCAGGATCATTGAATTGCCTGCCGACAAGCAGTTTTAAAGAGCCAACGGTGTTCTTCAAGTTGGAAATTTCCTGTGTCTTGGCTGGCTCGCCAATATATCTGCTCTTTGGTCCAAATCCAACGAGGGATGGGGTAGATCGATTGGAAACTTCATTTGTGACCTAAGGGGCTCCGACAAAGAGGAACTTTTAGTCAGTGAGAGATGAACCTAGCATCGACCGGAGATAAAAAACGTACGATATCAATGCCCTTATTCCTAGCAACACCGATCTTAGTGCTAAGAGCACCAAAGTCGATACCGACGACACTCATAGTGGCAGAAGGTACGCTTTAAAATATGTTCACTTCGGGTATCTAAAAAAATCAAACTGGGGCTGGTTAGCAACGACTGCATCCGGAAGAAAGGTAGTGATAATCAACACCAGCCACCATGGAACACAAGTAAAATTCGCAGAGGGATGAAAAAAGACAGAAATAAAAATAAAATATCGACGCGGTTACGGTGTGGTATTTTCCGCTTGATCGGTGTGAAAAGGCCAACGCCACACACAACACGAAGACCCAGACAATATCAATTGCACTCATTCCTCAAATCCATGTCTCTCCCTGCCGTTGGTTTTCCCGTTATAAGCTGGAAGACTGGTGGACGGACGTGGGAGAGGCAAGAGGCCATCGTATCAACGCGAGAGATAACGATGGTCCCCCACCCTCGCATTGCGAAAAGGAGACATAGAAAACGAATATGCGTCCGTAATCCCTTTCTCGATGCCTCTTAAACGAAATTCAGATTTCCAGAAGAGAAGAAGCCAGCGCTAACGTCGGTAGCTGAACCATCTCCCAGATAACCAATATCAAGATAGATATCAAATATGGAGGGGCAACCAAAGAAAGAGGCGGCGGTGGACAAAAGCAGATCCCACTTACTTTTTTTTTTTTTTTAATTCTATTCTCTCTGATCAATCGCCGGTCAAGCTGTCTGTAACGGACACTCAACAGTGTATGCTGAGAGAAGACGCCCTTCTGGTATGAAGATGAGCTTTCTCAAGGGTTGGAAGAAGATGTTTTTTTTTTATGCGGCGGTTTTTCTTCTTTGCTTTGTCGTCACAAGTTTTCACTTTTTTTCACTTTTTTGCTGGCGCTTTAGGCTTGGCAGCACGTGATCGAAGCTTCTGGCTGTCGCTAGAAGGAGGAAGACGAAGATAGAAAAGACGCTGATGGATAGAGATGGATGGAGGATACGTCCTAGGTATACATCTCACATTATTCTAAGTCTACTTTTGAGCAAGCTGGTTACAGCCAAGGAAGAAAAAAAAAAAAAAGAGAAGAAGCTGCTGCGTAAGTCTATTGTCATCTCGTCGTGATATCGTCCGGAGGAGGCTTGGTTAGACGCCTTCGACGTCTGCCCCGTTTCTCTTCCGATGTCCCTTCGTCGTCAGTCTCCAATGCCAGGCTCTCGCGGCGAAGGCTGGCGGAGTCGTGTCTCCTCTCCTCAATGACAGGCCCGTCCGAGTGCCGTCTGGAGAGTGGGCTCCCTGCCGTGCGCGCTCGTCTGGGACGCTCTGGGCTGGCAAAAGGTGCACTCCCCAACGGCCCTTCAGCGGCAGGGAAGTCATAAGATATGCTCCTTAGGCTTGCTGGGGAGCTAAGAGCGGGTGAGCCCGGGCGTTCGCGGCTGGGTGAGACTCCCGTGTCGAACTCGCTCATGGAGAACTCACGGTTGCCGCGGATGCCGCTTCGTCGAGCCATTTCCACCTTCTTCTGGTCCTCTGCATTCATAAACACGTTTCTCCTGTCCTCATCTATGAGATACTCCACACCGCATGGCCAGCCTATCGATGTGGCCCTTGAACCCGATGTGTAGGTAGAATCTAGGGAGAGGCGCGATTCCAATCCACCGTTTGTATAGTGCGTAGGCAGAGTGACTCCGGATGCGTTGGTAGTCTCATAACAGCCATTCGGGCCCAGAACTGGGGCAGCAAAACGACCCTCGGCTACTTCAGGTGGCTGGACTGGAACCGGCTCTTTACCTTCAGCAGTAGGGGGGAATGTGCCCAAGTCTACGTTGAGCTCGTCCCCAGCAGCCTCAGCTTGGTCGGCGGCCTGAGATGGAGATGTATTGTTATCAGCAGCTGCCGCATCAGCTCGCGGACCACCCCATGTTCTCTGGCCGGCAGTGAATATTCCGTTAACCATATAAAGCCAGTTGAAGAATGGGTTCAAAAGAAACATGATCGGGTATAACCAAGCCTTGAATCGGCGAAGCTTTAATCCAAAATAGAACATGAGTAAGTAGTTCAATCCAAGGGAGACGGCAATGAATCCAACAGGAAGATTCTGTATCTTGTTAGACGTGGTTATCACCGAGATGACCATGATAAAGAACAGTAACGCGGTGGTTCTGATTGTGTTCTGCATGAACCTGACAACGCATAGCAGTGGGTATCGGCGCCATAGCCTTGCATCGGTAAGCATGCACACCTCGTTAGTGATAAAACCCAAGAACCAACGCCTTCGCTGTTTCAGTAAGCTTCTGAAAGTTTGCACTGCTTCCGTTTTGCAAAATGCGCTGGTACACATTTGAATCTGGTACCTTTTCCTAGCTCCAATCATAAACAGGTGCGTAAGCCAGCGATCCTCTCCCAGATGACATTTGCCAAAGTCGAAAAGATCGGCACATTGTTCAGCTTTATCGGCAAAGTAATACTTTGCCATCTTCCTGAAGGCAGAGAACCGAAGCATCGTAAGAGCACCGGGAAGACAGGTAACCGCACCACAGCCCGACTCTACAGATCGTTCAAACAGCTGCCCATGGATGTATTCCATATCTTGTAGTAGTGTGATCAGTGTGTTCTTCTGAGTCGTTGATGTGATCACTCCAGTCATCGCCAACATGTTATGCTTGCTTCCTGGTTTGAGCTCCATGTCATACATAAAGTTTTGCAAGCACACACGATCGAGGATACAATCAGAGTCTATGAATAGGACGAATAGGTTGTCATTTTGTATCAGATATTTTGCGTAGACTTTATCAATCAGCCGGAATGTTTGTTTCTGACAATGACGTTTTCCTCCATGTTTGAATCGAGAGAGCGTGATTCTTGCGCCTTTGTAGGTTACATCTATACTGGTTGGATATCTCCTAAGGTTGGGTGGAATGCCGAGATGGCCCGCAACAGCAAGGTATGATTCATCCACTTGGTCACCGTCATATGAGAGGAAGACATGGATGCATTGAGGGGGGTAGTCGCATTCGACGACAGAATTCACAGCTTTGAGTAGGACATCCGGTGCCTCCTTGTAGACTGGCATGACGACAACTGTTTTGGGCGCTGTCTTATCATCGAGAACTTCCTTGATGCGCTTAGTCCTACCAAGTGAGTTCGTAACCAGCCTATAGACGCAGAACAGCCACGGCACGATGAGCAAAACGGCAAATGTCCAAAAGGCAAACCACTGTAGAAAGGATACCAGCCGAGCTGGGAAATACTGTGTTATCGTAGATGGCAGCGGCAGTGTGACGACCATCACTGGAAGAAATATGCCTCTAATCATCCTCGTTAGATGTGAAAACTTCAAGGGCTCTAGGGTGTGAGAACTAACCGTAGCGCAGTAAACGCTACCATCATCACGATTGCGAGAACCCGGACGCTTGTATGCTCTGCTTTCACAAACACTTTATATAGGCAGTATAAGAAGGCCGCAAGCCACAGAAACCATTCCAGAAATGCAGCGAGCATTACAGGCCCAATAATTGCCACATAGATGATCTGAATAAAGATATCATTAACCCATGTACTCGATTCCTAAGAGGTATAGGCGAGGGGGCAGCATACATCCTTGAGAGGCCATACTGTCAACAGTTCGTCGTAGTCTACCATCGTGTAGCGCTGCGGAAATGGCGAATATCCTCCCTCCAAGGGCCCTCAACGGCTAGTTAGCTCGCAGGTGGCGTCAATGTATAGCCCCGTCGTCCCCAAGTAGTTCGGATATCGATACTCGCTTTTGAGATGATTGTGTGGTTCGACCGACGCAGACCTTCAAAGGCTATCCAGAGATTGTGGCCCCAGCTGCAAAAAGTGGGAGGTTTGGCAGAAGTTTCAGTAGAATAAGAAAAGTTATGGGGCCGTTAAAAGATGTATGTTGGTATCTGTATCGCTGTTTATGAAAGGAGTTTGGTGGTGTTGTAGGTGAAGTTCCGCTTCGATGATGTCTCTTTTTGGTATCAACAACGTCCAACGTCGAAAAGAAAAGCCCTTCAAGCCATAGTATTCATCAGAAACAACATTCAAGCCAAACAGCGAAAAGAAGGAAGAAAATAATAAAAGATCCTTAAGAGCTATTCAACTAGGAATACTAGTCACCCTTCTGACCGATGGTATACTCCGGAGCGACAGGCACAAAGACGAAGAAGTATCTCAACGACGAAGCCCGAGGACCAAAGCTGCCAGGCCCGGACCAGAGTCCATCCCTTGAGTTAAATATAAGAGCGAAAGAAAGCGCAGGCCTCGCTGCTGGGGTTGCGACTTTTTAAAAAAGAAAAAGATATCCAGAGGCTAAGTGCATTATAGGTACGATCCGTGGGCAATCGCTATGGAGATGTTTCACTTTCCGCTGGCAGCGTGCCATCGCAGATAAATATGCATCTAGAATGCTAATCAGATCTTTCGCTCTCAGGGTTCCCGTTATGTGACAGGCCGTCTTTTCTCCATAGCCACCCAGGTTGTGGTTTACCGGCTTCAGGATATTATATACAGGGGCCCCGCAACGGCCAGCACATGAACACAGCCAACAAATCATGGGGCCAGGGGGAAGATACAAATATTAATTCGTTATGCATTTGACTTGCAACTGGAAAGATCGAAGCCCGCTTGCCACCAGCCGGTAACGCAAAGTCGCAGGCCATGTCTCAGATCGATCTCGCAGACAGGCCGCATTGGTAAGAAGTCTCTTGGGTGCGGGTTTATTTCTCGTTGGGTTTTGCCGTCTCGATGGACTCTGCCAGCCTGTCAGAAAGCCCAATGATAACAATAGCCAGGTTGCAGTGCATCGCACACGATGCATTGGTCGAGTGTCAATTGCTTGGTTCTAGTCGAGGATTTCCATCAATGTCGCACATGTCGCCGGGCCAATCACCTTCGATACCTTTGAAGGTTTGCATCTCAACGAATGAACGAGTTACTTCTTAATATTTAGGCCCTGACAGACTCCAAACAATTCAATCCCTTTTATCGATAAATAAAGTGGCCAAGGAAAAATACATATTTGTACGGTACTGTAATATACAGCATGAATAATGTAATCTGCACTGAAATATTTGTATTAACGTTACATCACCAAAAAGAAAATCTGTGTGTCATTTTTTTTGCAGCTTTCAAAGCGCGAAGCTTTGCTCTTCTCTATAAAACAACTGGAGAGAGCATTGGGATATCACTTCAGCCAACAAGCAGAAGAGATAAACCATCAAATACATCTATAAAAGGTATTTGCATTCATTTTGATCTATTCTGCATCTTTAGTCTGCTGCACAGGCATTTGCGTGGCTGTGATATCAGTTTTCTTTTTTTTTTTTTCGGGTGGTGTTTGAGCTTCAACTAACTGAACACATCTACTATAGCAGCGCAAGCTCACTTACCCAGGATACAATTAGAATGGCGGAAGAGCAGAAAATAACCGCCGTCACAGAGGCGACCAACCCAAATGCCGCCGCCGAACAGGACGTGAAGGATGTCCTTGCAGAACTCAAGCCGGACGAGGCCAGCAAGCCAGACAGTGCAGACGCTGAAAAAGCGGAAGAAGATAAGATTGTTGAAGCTGCGAAGCTGCTGGGTGAGGAGGCCCTGTCAAGTGAAAAGGCAAAGGAAGCCTCAGGGACTCAGAAGGGACGGGGAAGCGGACGTGGCCGTGGCCGTGGAGGGGTGCGCATTAACTACCGTGACAATATCAAGTCGGATGCTGCCTCCCTAGAGGAGACAGATGATCCGGTCGAGATTAGAAAACAGGTGTGTTCTCCTGTCCCTTGTTGCATTTGATTCCGCTTTTGCTAATTAATATATCTACAGGTTGAATTCTACTTCTCTGACTCCAATCTTCCCATGGACAAATTCCTTCTCTCCAAAGTGGGTGGTAGTGAAAATAAACCCGTCGAGCTCTCGCTTCTCCATTCATTCAAGCGAATGCGCCGCTTCCAGCCTTTCAGTGCCATCGTCGAAGCCCTCAGGACCTCAGAAGTTGTTGAGCTGGTAGATGACGACAAATCTGTCCGCCGGAAGATACCTCTTCCGGATGTTATCAAGGAGACGCCTGATGTCTCTGCCGTTAAGATCTTCGAAGATAAAGCCATGAACCGCAGCATCTACGCCAAAGGTTTCGGTGAAGAGGAGCCCAGCACGCAGTTTGACATTGAGGCCTTCTTCACTCCCTACGGGCCCACAAACGCCGTTCGTCTTCGGCGCGCCATAGACAAGACCTTCAAAGGTAGCGTCTTTGTCGAGTTTGAAACTGAAGACCTTCAGAAGGCATTCTTGGCTCTTGACCCAAAGCCAAAGTGGAAAGGAACCACTGAATTAATGATTAAAAGCAAAAAGCAGTACTGCGACGAGAAGATCAAGGAAATAGAAGCTGGCCGTCTAAAGCCCAGTAGCGGTCGAGGCGGTCGAGGAGGCCGTGGAGGCCGTGGAGGTCGCGGTGCTCGAGGAGCCCGAGGCGGTCGTGGCGGCGGTCGCGGCCGTGGTGATCGAAACAATGGCGACCGCAACGGAGAAAGGGAGGCTCAGGCAAAACGCCCAGAAGCCGAAAAGGATAGCCGGTATGTGCTTAAACTTCTTTTTTTGCAAATCGATGATGTACAATTCGCATAAACGTGTTTCTGACCTTTTTGATATATAGTGGCGTCCCTGTCATTCAGGTCTCTAATAACAAGGCCGAATCACAACAAAACGGCAACTCTAATAGCCAGAAGCGCAGCCGAGAGGACGACTCTGGCGCAAAGGCTGTCGATAACACGGAGGAGAGACCAGCTAAGAAAGTTGATGCCAAAGACAGCTAAACAGTATCCCTGCCTCCTTACCACTCTATTCCTGATTTGCGCATCAGTTTTGCAATTTCAGAACATATGAGGCTAATTTTTAGTTCCATTTGATGTACCTTCTTGCCATGACTTACCTTCCATCATATTGGCGGGCCTGATTTTATATGCATCTCATACTTCATTCTCATTAAACTGGCGTGATGGGATTCAACTTCATTTTTCCAAGTCAAAAAAGCTTACAAAAGAAATACCTGGGTCGGCTTTGGGGTTTCCTCTTCATACATCAATGTATTTGTTTGACCTCTATCTTGTACCTATATGACCTAGGCCTAGTGGCATGCAACTGATACCTTTGTGACTTACAGGTTTAATCGCGAGCGTGTGACTTGGAATGCATTGGGAAACCAAGTAGAAAGGGATGTTCTGTCATCATTAAACAGTATGCTTACTAGCGCTTTTGCGCATAGAAAGCACATCACCATGCCTATGGTATGAAACATGTTAGTAGACGGTGGATAAATGAGAAGCCAGCAACAGAGGAGGAAGCAGCATTACCGTGTCCTTGGAATGAGGCAGAGATATACAACCCAGGTTCTCCGGCAACGTCACCAACCCATGGGAACCCATCAGTGCTATATCCCATAATCCCGGTCCACTCCCGCCGTACTCTACCCTCAGGGTCGTCCTGACCCCAGTTATCGCCGAAGAACTTCTCCGTGCTCCTGGTCAGATATTCACTGATCTCTGGTGCAAGTGTGGTATCATCCGTGGTTCCATATTCAGATAATCCTCGGTCTTTACTTTTAGTAAACCCGCCTCCTATCACGATATCTCCCGCAAACTTGGATCCCTTTGGACGGGGAATCATATAATCGAAGCCGCCAGCGTATATAAAAGAGTATGTGTGAGAGAGGCCATCCGTTGGCATGTTTGCTCCAGGTCGTTGTGCAGTAATATGCCCCTTTAATGGCACAATCCTGCCTTGCAGCTTAGGATACAAGGCAGCTGTATAGCCATTCGTCGCCATAACGGCCTTGGAAGCAAAAAGTCTGCCTCGTGGAGTCGAGATGGCCCAACACTGTTTATCATTGTCCTCTGAAGCTGAAGTGATGCCAGTGACAGGAGTTCCGGTCTGTAGATTTGCACCCTTTTCCAGACACAATCTCAACACCCCGATCACAAATTTATATGTACTGAGACTTCCAGCTTCGTAGGTAATGGCACCAACGGCTCCTTTGCATAGAAACCTTTCCTCTGCATCCTTGCTGCTCCAGAGTGTATACTTGCTAGCAGGGTCGTCCTCCCCCATGGCTTTTCGCATTACATCGATGGCTTGCACCAATTTACCCCAGACCGTTTGGTCGTAGATAATATCCACGGTTTCTAGTTCGCGGCTATCGCAAGAAATGCCATGCTCCCTAGCAAATGCATGAACTTGCTTGATGGTATCGTACTCTAGTCTCGCGATCTTGACTGCTTCGTCTATTCCCACGGCAGCCGCATGTGTAGCAAATGTTATATATGAAGCTGCTTTCGTATGACCACCTAAGTATCGAATCTGATTAGAACAGTTTTTCTCATCTGGAGATGATATGCCTATCTATGAACCATTACGGGTATAAGTACCATTTCGTCCACTGGCACCGCTACACGCTTGTCTGGCTTCTAAAATGACCACTTTTGTATTTGGCGACCGAGCAAGGATATTGTATGCAATGCATGCACCACTAATACCGGAGCCGATGATAACTATATCTGCATCCTGGGGAAGTTCAGCGGTCGAACGAAGGTCAGCGATCTCATCTGGCGGATCCTGCCAGTATGAGATAGTCGGGTTATCTCGTGGAAATGTCACTGGTATCAAGGCTCTTTCTTCCATAGTTGAACAGGTGTATGTCTTTCGGGAATCCTACGCAACTAATATCAGTCAAGGGAAATTGATACAAGCCCGTTATATGGCGGTTGGTAGAAATATGGATGATACAACTATAATATTGTTATACCCAAGATCCAGAACTCCAATAGTTAAGAGATTGATTTGATATATGAAGCCGAGACAAATATTACCAACTGTCACTTCTCCAGACTAGCATAAAGACTCACATCCGTCTCCTTTGTATTAATGATAGCCATTTTGACGGTGGCAGCTCGGCCGCGGTTAGCTAGAGAAAAGGTCGCCTATGCAGCTTCTCGGCGATCCCAGCCTACCAAACAGCTCCTCTACCAAATATTCGCATAGACTTCCCGGGTCATCCTCTAGGGTGAGTTTTTTCTTGTAAAATAAAGAGGTCTTAGAACCAGAATTTCATCTACGGACTATGATGATACCTGCTTTTATTAACACAGCCAGACTCAGGGCTCTACATGGCATTATGTAGTTTATGCCTGCTGGCTTTAGAACACTATTCGTCGCATTTGGCATTTGAAGGGGCGTTGCTATTGCCATCGCATTTGCAATTGATTGCTGGTTATCTGTCTCTAATCCCCCCTTTACTTGTGTTTTATCCGGGTTAAAGCATTGCGTTGATGGACTTGCAATGAGGTATTATAAGGCAGTGAAAATCTTATCATAACACCCTAAATGCTCTATAAGATATCACCATATATTGAACTATTGTTCTTTTCCCTTTCTAGCTTGACTCAAATACTAATGAATACAAGGAAGCCACCTTGATAGGTATCATAGCTATCAACCGTATATTATAAACTGTGACTTATTCTCAAGGGTAGCCACAAGAGGCTACCTACAAACTATTGGGATGCGCCTTATTGTTGTCCAAGCCTCGTAGCCCCTGGGGTAGAATTTCAAACTCCACTGAATCATACATTGGATCAAATATTGCTTCCTTAGATATACCGCACTGTTCATGATGATTCTTGCTATCCTCGTCATCATACTGCGTGCTTCGCTTTGGGTTTCCTGAAGTCCATGATGAGAATACCACCTGCATCTGCCGCAATCGTCCTCGATGATGTGTGGTAGGTATAGAAGTATATTCGCTCCGAATCTCATCTCCCAAGGTATCAAAACTTTCCTGCGAAAATTGTGATGATTGTGATTGTAATGTCGAGTCACTTTCGGTAGTTCTCCGAGTCTCTGCGCTTTTGTCATGGCCAGGGCTGCTTCGGTCATTATGTATAGTTGCATCGTTTTCGCCAAAATCTTTAACGTTGTTGGATATTTTCTTGTTAGAATTTTGGGTATTACTATTCGAATTTTGGCTGATTAATGTCAAACCGTTAATGTCTTGTGGCTGGAATACGCTCTTTGATTTCAAGACTATGCGGCAGCCAATCTGATTAGTCCATATGAGTCCCAATGCGGGAAGTTTAAGTCCTCTTGGAACTCCAAACGAGCCATCCCTAAGGTACGAATGGGGAGCTTGCCCCCATCCAGTGAAAAATGGTTGTTGGTACTCAAGGCTTAGAAGCGTATTGAAGTCCTGGATTTTGCATGTATGAATTTCTTCGTCGTCATGGAAACCTTGCTCTACTTGCGGAGAATTGCATCCCTGCACCAACTTATTTCCTACCGCTTTCGGCTGTTGGTAGGGCTGGGATGCAAGGATAAACGAGGAAGTAGCAGTAGGAGAAAGATTTTCTAACGGGCTAGCAGAGTCATCACGAAGCTCTTCTGGAAAGGAATCATTAAGTGTACTTTCAAAGCCATCAGATATTTGATTAGCCACAACTATGGCAATGCTGTGCCTTACAGCCAAGGCACGAAGGAAGTGACCCAGCTTTTTCAACTGCCATGACCGCTCTAGTAACCCAGATACACTTTCTGTAGAGCTTTCGGCACGGTAATTTGCCGTTATCGAATCAATCACCACAAGGCCTATATCAAAACGTGAAATCGCCACCGGGACCTGATAGTTAATGATATGTTCTTGGGTCTCAAGATCGACAGTAGTGACGGAGAAAACATTATCTAATGAAGGGCGAGGGATATCAGGATGAAGGGACTGGAGAACCGTGTGTTCGTTCAACAGCTGACTCAGTCTGTTTGTGGCGAGGTCTGATTCAGTTGATATATATAGTGCATTTTTGGACAATCCATGAGGTGCGGGAAGCTGGACTGAGAGAAGCAAATGAAGTAGAAATTGAGTCTTGCCGGCGCCACTGCATAGTAAGTTATATCCTTAGCATTGGCTTTCAATCATAACTTAGGCCCCTCGAGCCAGGAATAAGCTGATGGATTCAACCCACCTTTCTCCGGTCACCTCTGTTAGATATCCCGTCGATATGCCCCCAGCAAGAGCAGAATCGAGTATTGGGTCTAGAGTGCTTATTCGCCTTAACAAAGGTGGGCGTGGGACTCTAAATGTTTCATCCTCGGCCACCAAAAGGTGATCTCTTTCTCGGCTAGCACTGCTATTATCATCACGTCCCGACGTCACCTGGCAAGCCTCATTATTCTTGTCTTTCTGTGACCCAGCTCCCAGTCCGAAATCCTGGCGAAGAGCCTCGAGAACATGGGTTGTCAAATGTCGAATATCGGTGACAGGAGCGCGAGAGGCCTTTGCAACCTCGAGGGCATCAAAGAGCAATAGTTCTTTGACTGAGATACCAGCCTTTTCGAGCAGTGGTAGTATGTGAGCGTATTGCTTGATTGGGAAGCTAGGCAGCGTTAGAGATAGGTCCATGGGCAAGCTCAAGAAGTGCGAGGTGGGCGTTTGAGGGCAAGCAACTGTCTTCCCCAGGCTTGCATCCTTCACGTATACGTGACATTCGTGGTTGATGGCGCTCGCCTTGGATGCGTAGATGGCTATGACATCGATTTAAGCTATTTATAACAACCCGGCTTGGCAGGCTAACTATCTTTATCTATTAAAAGTTTTTGGGCTCAAGTAGGGCTTTATAATTGACAAGTCGGTAACTCCATAAGCCCCTCAGAAGCAGCCTTTGCTGTAGTTGAGCCTTGTTGTGCCTCCCACCGTTTAAATTTCATTGGAGAAAAACTCGAATACCCTTTGTATTACTAATGTTGTTAAATGGCCGGATGAGCCGGAGTGTTTATGTTGATATCTCTGACACATCCAACGGAGGACATATTCGTCTTGATTTCCATTCACCTAAATAGCTGAACAACTTGAGAAGCACTGAACAGACGCTACATTGTTCTATCGCTGGCTGAATCAATATAGCTAACAGTTTCACATTATCAACATATTAACTCCTCAACACCTGACTAGATTCGGACAATGAAGACGACCCAAAACAAAAAAAGCCGTAGGAAGAAAGAGGAAGAAAGAAATATGCCGTGACTTCCTTTTCGGCAAACGACTGGCGCGGTAATCAATATAGTGAGTTAACTATATAGCAGAGGAGCGCTGAAATAATGAAATGCGTGTCTATTAAGGTATATACGTCTCCGTCACTCCTTGCAGAGCGGTTTTTTTTCTCGGCATATTCAAAGCTAAAGTGTTGCCTGCCTCAAGCCTCGCTATGTCGTCTAATTTCATGTGCTTTGTCTTATTTTCGGTTGCTGCGGATGCGGCCGTTGAACTTCGTTGTCGGTCATTTCACTTTAATTGCTAACTGGCTTAAGAGTGGCAGGCTTGAGGCCGAGATTGTTACGGTTCCTGAAGAAGAGAACGGCTTTGCCTTCTCCCTTAGCGGTCTCACAGGGCTCAACCCACTGGCAGGTTCGGAAAGAGGTCCACATAGCTCGAATGAAGCCGAGGCTGCCATCTTTTGTGTCAGAGCGATAATGATGGCCCATGACCTTCTTGATGGCTTCAGTGGCTTCATCAGCATTATAAAAGGGGATGGTGCTGACATAGTGGTGGAGAACGTGGGTTTCGATGATGCCGTGCAGGAGTTGGCGGCCGATGAATCCAAATTCACGATCGATAGTAGCAGCGGCTCCACGGGTGAAATTCCATGCCTCAGGTTGATAGTGGGGAAGGGTTGGGTCGGTGTGCTGCAAGAAGGTGATGGCAACTGGCGGTACGTTAGTATGAAATTTGAACTATACGGAGAATGGAGACATGGTGAACATACCGAGCCAGTGGTTAACCCAGAGGTAGGGGATGAAGTACCAGACCAACATGTTGACCCATCCAAATTTGTTTCCGAGAGAGTACAAAATGGATCCAACGATCAGCAGACCCAAATCGCTGAGTAAGATCAATTTGGCGTCCTTGGACTCGTACAAGGGGCTGTTGGGGTTGAAGTGGTTGACACCGCCGAAGAAACCATTTTTCTTACCCTTGCCGCGTCCCTCGCTCTGGCGTTCATGGCAATCGTGGCCGGTAACGTTGGTGATCAAATACATGGGCCATCCAAACAACTGCTGGAGAATCATATCGATCATGGTGTGAATGGGGGTCTCTTCAGTCAGCTCGCTGAGTTCGTGGACCATGCGGCCAACACGCGAAGCATATGCTTCTCTCGTCTTTGGGACGAAGACCATATCACGCTGCATATTTCCAGTTGCCTTGTGGTGTTTTCCATGGGAGATCTTCCAAGAGAAGTACGGCACGAGCAAGGACGAGTGCAAAACCCAGCCAACGGTGTCATTGAAGACCTTGGAAGTCGAAAACGATTGATGGCCACACTCGTGGGCCAGGACCCAGATACCAGTACCAAACAGCCCCTGAATGAAGGTATAAAGGCCCCAGAGGACGAATCGAACCGGTGTTGAGGGCACAGTCTCGGGAGTAACATAATTGTGGAAGATATAGAAGGTAGTGGCAAGACAGGCGATGTCTCTCAAGACATACTGCATACCGCGGAAGCCATCACGCTTGTAGCAATGAGCTGGAATGGCCTCACGGATCTGCTGAATGGTGAAGTTTGGCAGTTCAAACTTGTTGCCATAGGTGTCGACCAGTTTTCCAACTCCGGCGTCCGGCTGGTCTTCTGATTCCGAGGATAAAGAGGTATCAGACGCAGACATATGTGGCGTATCAAGGGGTGAGGCAGAGGCAGAGCTTGACGAGGAGGCTGCGGTCTGCCTGCGCGTGGCTTCTCCAGCTGGAAGGGCTGTGGTAGCCATCTTATAAGTGGAACGAAGGATTCAGCCGTGGATGGAAGAAGGAGTTTAGTCTCTCGTTCCGGGCCAGACAATTAAAGCAATTACACCTGGGAAGTGTTACTGCTGTGAAAGCACTCCGTATGCGCACTGCAACTCGAATGGTTAGTTTTTTTTTATCCGGCTGAATGTTTCACTCTTCTCCTCCCACTTCCGTCTTTAAGATAGGTTCTGCGGTAGGGACGAAAAACGAGAAGTGCAACCGATTGGCGATCAAACTTACATAGAGACAGGCCGGTTGCTGCGAGCGAGGACGAGTGCTAGCGGTATGTCACAGAGAGTTGGAAGTGGTTTGGAGTTTGGATATTTATTATCTGAATACTTTGATATTCTTCCTCTTATCATGGCGAAAAAGAAAAAAAAGCTTTGTCAAGGGAAAAACTTAAGTGGGTTCTTCCCGCCAAGCCGCCTGTATTTTATTTGGTATCGGGTGTTGATACGGGAATACGGAGGGTCGAAGTTACTTGGCCGCAAACCTGGAGACTGTGGCGTTGTGTGTGTGTGACGGAAAGCAGGCTGGAAAAAAACAACGCCCTGCACTCCGTCCACTGATATTTTATATATATCACGTAAAAGTCGAATTATCAGGAAATTTGTCTTGTGCTATGCTGTACTTCGTATTATGTACTGAAAACCGGTATGGGCAATACAGGCACGGATGTTTAATCTAACAACAGGCAAACCTTGTTTTTACCTCCAGCAAACTCTTTTCGTCCAATCCAGTCACGAGCCAAGCGGTGCGTTTTTTTCTCTTTCTTGCTTATTCGTTATCAACCGCGGTACCGCAGCGGACGAAAGAAAGAGAGCATCCGGAATAGAGAAAAAAGACTCTTCCTACCTACAACGCCTCTTGCGATGATTCTTTATCCTCGAATGTAAACACCAAACTTCACCTGTTGTCGAAGTAACCTTTTGCCTCACCGCTCTCTGCCCCGCTAAAAAGGGGGCGTTAGCTTAGTCATCCCGGGCGGTCTGATAAGATATTGTATCTGAAATACCATATTACCGGTCAAATTTGCTGAGAGACATACGGTAATTGTGTATGGTGGTGTATGATGGTGTATGAGGCCAAAAAATCAGTCTATGGTAGCAGCTCTGATTGGTTTACTCTTGTACTGTTGGGTTGTACTGCAAATACGGCGCGTGTTTTATTCAACAAAAAGCGGTGGCCAGACCTAACATGTGCCGAAAAATAAAATAAAAAAGAAAAATATGGGATCACCGGAAAAGGGCCAATGGGCATTTCGTGTTTGCGCATCATTTTAGTGTGCATGTGGTTCCAATGTTCATATTTACATAACTAATAGGAAAAGGGGGGAAGAGAAGTGGCATGACCGAAGTAATACATAACGAACTGCTGTTAGTTTCCGTCTACAGCATCGCCAAATCCGTCCAGGTTTATGGTCGTCATCTGGAGGTCGGCGCTGACCAGAATTGTCTCGCCGTGGCTGCGGTAATCCAGCTCGCTCGAGATTGCTCTGCGCTGGCGGGGTGCGAAGCTGGTATCTAGCTGTAGATGCTCACCTCCCGTCGGCGATAAGGGCTGCTGGTGACCTGGCCCCGTTGCAAATGACTTAACGTCGACTGTTGGAAGAAGCAGGTGGCCAGCGCGTTGCGGTAGAAGCAGCAGCTGAAATCGTCGCTCTTCCCCTTCCGCGCAGCTGAAGTTTCCACGTCTCCGGCCGCCGATTACCCATAACTCCGGGTTGGCTATAACCTCATACATAAACTCGAGGGACGGCTGAGCCTCCCGTTCAGAAACTTTGCACCAGCCCCTGGTATGTCGGATTATCAACTCCGTAGGTATCATGTCATCCACTCCCACATGGGTCTGGCCAGGAGATATGTCTTTCAGCACCAGCTTTGCGGTATGCACAACCTGCACGTCAGGGATGTCAACCGGGATAGTAATGTGCCTTAGAGCATGCGTCGGCCGTTCGTTTGGTAGAGATATACTGCGGTTTTTCTTTTTTTTGAGCGGCTAAGTTAGCTTCTAATGCGTGGTCATAAGGGCGGCTGTTATGCGAAACTTACGTTATGCCATTCTTTAAGCCATTGCACCAAGCTATTTTGCGTATCACTATCCAGGCTCTCAATGGCGGCTTTCCATTGTATACTCTCATAGCTATACACCTCTATCTCCCTCGTAAGTCCAATGACCTCTAATGTATGAGCTGTCCATATGGCACTAAAAGCTGTCTGCAAGAACGGAACCAGTAGCTGCTTCAAGCTCGAGAAAGGGCTTGCCTCCACATCTTCGGAAAATTTGTCTTCCAAAACTGCCAAGCACTCTTCATTGAGACAAGCATACTCCATCGAAAGGCTCAAAGGTCGTGTGGAGCCGGCTTCTAACCCAATCTGAGGCTTGATTTTGTACAACAATGAAGCTGGCTGTTTTGGGAATACGTCCAGTATCTCACCCTTTTGGGTACTTGTTTGCACATCATATTTGCCTGAACTTTCCATATCACAGCTGAACACTCGAATAGGTATCAACATTCCAGGGCTGATGCTGAACCTAGAAAATAGCTGCTTATCTTGGAACAAGTCTTGAACATTGACACTAACGGGCAACGTTGATATGATTGAGGAAAAGTCGATGTAATCGAACTGTCCTTCAGAAGTCTTATATTCAATTTCCACTGAAATGGATAACGTCGTTTGGCTCCCTTCCATGCTGTAGGGTACTCTTAGTGTAGCAGTCGAGTCTCGAGTAAATGATGAGAACCATATCCTACCCCCCTTCATGTCATCAGAAAGGATAAGAGGTCCATCTACAAGTGACGTCTCTGCGATGATGAGGCGTAGTCCCGCGGTTGCAGGCCTCAACCGCACGCATCCGCTACAGATATCATTCCAGCCAGAATTCAACTCGACATCCAGACTTCGATGCTCAACCAGGTTGATATCTCTTGACTGAGAGACTTTCCCACTAAACGCCTTGACGGCAGGGAAACAGACAATATATGGTCGGTCTTCTTTAGAAGAAGGTGTTCTGGCTGCGGTGTCCTGTAGGATATGGGAAGCTGTAACTTGATGGCCATAGTCATGTGTAAACAGAATATTTCCAGCTGACATCTCAATGCGGTCAACATAGTATTTTCCATGTACTGTAGTCTATGATGGGAAGCAACATAAGCATTAATCCTAGAGATATAGAATTTTGTGATAAACTTACCGAAGAATTAAGCAAGGCTTTTGTTGCCTTCCCCTTCACAATGGTTGAGTCAGACTTTTCCAGCCATAGCTCACTGTTTGGCGTTTCTAATGAATTAACAAGTCGCATCTTGATATTATCGATCTTAATTTTCTCGCCAAGCGCATATCGTAACGACAGCTGCGCCTGGAAACCGTCCATATTCTTAAAATGAGAAATCCCAGGTTTAACCTGAACATCTCTGAAGAAATCTTTAATTTGAACTGGAAACGTTTTCGAGAGTGACTGTGAGACTTCAAAAAGATCTTCAATGTATTCCTCAACTTTGCAGCCTATACCAGATTGTAGTGTCGAATAAGGCTGCGTGGTTGAGGAATATATCCCAAGTAGCCTTAGCAACGTAGGGACGAACTCCTCTTTAAGTTCCAACTGCTTCAAGCATCGACTGTATAACTCTACCATTGTGCCTTCTAATGCTTCCCACCCATTGCTGCGATAGAAACTAGAAAGCTGATGGAAGTAGGATGCCGCTAAGGCATAATCACCCATTTCATACTTCAGCAATGCAATGTCAGCCATCATTACCTCCGCTGATTTGATTCTGTTGGCAGCTATGTTGTGGCGGAACACTTGGTCTGTAATTTGCTCATAAAGACAACTAAAATGCTTCTTCGATTTTATTGATAGAGCAAGGCAGGGTGTATCTATACCACCTGACGCTGATAAAACTCGCTTCTCGGAAGTCGAAGTTGTTTTAGGTTTGATTCCGTCTGGAGGCCCATCATTCAACGAGACATCAGCGAGATCGTTCTTCTCGTTAAGTAACAGTGACATACTATGCCATCTCTTTTCCCACCCTCTTCTTCGCCCAAGAGCTCCCAGCTGGCACCTAGCGAGATGGTATAAATCTGCCCGTGCAGCGGCTAATTCAACACCTCCTGCTTTCTGTGGCGCGGAAATAATGGATACTAATGGATTTAAGGTTGGCCTCGACGTTGGGGACAGCAATGAACTCGATCGTTTAGGAATGCCTGGCCTTGCCCCTGTGGTAAAGGCTGCAAGAACGGCTGCGTCAACGAGGTCCTGGCCCGTCCTTAAAGACACCGTGGGAGTCTCTAAACTTTTTGTCGATGTTTGAATCAGAACTTGAGAAACAGCTGCATAAGCCCAGGATGATACGATGTTTGTGATGACATTGTCCTTCTTAGAGGGGTTAGGCGTTGGTTCTAATTGTGCCAACCCATTTTCAATATCACTCCTAAGGGTTCGGCAAGCCAGAGTGATGAACTCGCTAGCTCTCTCACATATCTCTGCTAGAAGGCTCAAATTGTGCTTCTCGGCACTCTTATGTGAGGCGCTGTGGCGGTTTGAAGGTGGAGATCTGGCAGCTTTAAGAAGAAGCAGCAATTGTCTCGAAAAGATGTAGACCCGAAAGTCGAAAACGGATATGTTATTTGCCAGGATCATATCTCTATATGGTTTTTGCTGAGGCTGAAGCGGGAAAATATCTTGCTGGAGGGCTATCGGGTTTGAGAAGAGATCATTGTGGGTCCTATCATTGCCATCATCATCCACGTCTTCATCATCATCACCATCTTCTTCTTCTGCTTCTTCTTCTTCCTCATCTTCCGATGAACTGGATTCTTCCTTCTTTTCTGATGCACTTGAAGCGAGAGCAGCCTCGGCTTTCAATTTAAGGTCTTTACTGTAATTTAGAAACGTGCCCCCATGCTGATCCCTGACGCCAGATATTTGCTCTCGCAATGCTGATTCCAGCCCAACAGCGAGCTCATCATATCCAATAAGAGCATCCTCAAAGAGACCAACATTCTCAAGACCAAGCGAAAGACCTTCCTTTAGTATAAAGAAAGTACAGAAATTCCAACCTGGTAGGTTTCTTTGTGAATCTTTCTCCCGGATATCAGCTTCATACTGGCCCACACGCAAATCGAAAGACGTAAGGATTGAAGATTTAAGTTTCATAACGAGGTCTTCTAATTGCGCCGCTAGTTCAGGTTGCTTCTTATCAGCATCTGCTTTTGGAATTCTCAACTGCGCTACACGGTCAACGGCGGTTTTTGAGGACCCATTAAAGTCAGCTTTGACTTTCTCAAGGACTGAAGTCGACCCTCTCCCTGGCCACTTCGATGCCGCGGCCTTCTCCGTTGCTTCCGGCCCAGGTGCAGTTGCGGGTATGACGTGAAGAATCAGCCATTCAAATGCTTCATGGTTATCCGGCCCAGTTGGAGCAGCAGAGGCTCGGGTCTTTATCCATTCCCGGAGCGTCTTTCTAGAGGTTGTCTTATACGTCTCGTTATCATCACATCGTAATAAATATATCTTTAAATAAGGCGTCTGTAACAGTCCCGGTATTTGATGCCTTCTCTGCGATACGGCTCCACTTGCGCCATCACTGAGTCGCTTCTGGTCGTCCGCAACTGTGTGGGCGGGTTTGAAGTCGATTTGTAGGGAGTCAATGGAGCGAACAGGTCGACTTGATGACTTCCAGTGGAGGTTTCGAAGAGGGAGGACTTGCGATAGAAGTGGCCTAACTTGAGGGAAGAGGCCAAACGGGTCGGTATACTCGACTACAAAGATAAGGAGTTAGTTATTATTGGGCCTCTCGTAGCTTCGGGATTATTGCATACCAGTTACATTATTCGAATTTAAGTGAGGGGTGGCGTCCATGACGACCAGAGCTTTGCGACAAACAGGAATATCATATTATTTCACACTTAAAAAGCATTTTGCTCTGCGCATTTCGTGAGGGTGCCTTTGGTGTTTTGCGATGTTGAGGTCCATGGGCTACGGGACGAATGTCTTGGCAGTCTCTAAACCAACCTGCATGCTCCAAATATTATGGAAATATCTTGTAGAAAAAGTAGGAAAAAGTATAGAAAAATTAATAAAATTTCAGATAATTAGATCGCTACCTCCGTCATCCTAATGAGTAGCATTGTCTTTTTGGCCAAACGGCAGAACGTTTGGTAGATATCTTTCTGTACACTCAAAATTCATTTTCATAGATCAAAACAAGGCAAAAACGCAAGTATAAAGTACCTATGGTGGTTCTAATAGCCTGAGAGTAGTTTAAGGGAAAATTTTTCATTTTAATACCTATTTCTTCATGCAAATTAGAATTCATTTCTCTTTGGGACTGTCCAAAGCTGACGTGGTTAGCGACTGGGAAAGCCATTATTACTACAGAAAAGGGCGAAGCTTAAGGCCACGCCTAAAAATAAATATCGGCTTAATTGAGAGGGACAAGACAAAGACTAGGAAGATTACTTGATAAACCTATCTACATATATTACTTTCGAGGCCAATAGCTCCCCTCGGACAACTGCAACCGAGAACTGCAATTGGGGCAGATAAGCGTATAAATATTAAAAAAAAAAAAAAGGAAAAAGAAAAAGCCCAGTAGGACGATAACCATTATACCGCACCAATTTTAACAAGGACAAATGTACATTCCGAGACTGGAGTCTGTCTCAACTTGCAACCGCATAATAGAAAACGCCTAGGTCACCTCCGGCAACACAAACAAAAAATAAAGTGCTAAAGTAAAAAAAATAAAATATGAACAGTGTTGCGCTATCAAGTGTATTCCACTTAAGTGGCCAGGAGATTCTGGTTTGAGGCCGGAGGAGTAATATGAGACATGACTAGCTCATATCCATAAGAGACGGCTTGCCAGATATCAGGAATGAGGTTCTTCAGCATTGCAGCGACAATTATTACCAAGAGAGGAATCTAGTAGAGTACAAGTTAGTCATGGATACAAATAAGTAGCCGCCTAGCGATGTAGGTAAAAGTACTCACCCAAATAATAAAGAGATTACGGTCACTACGGAATCTCTTCATTTTCTGCGCGTGCGCTTTTCGAAGCTGTTCCTGGTGTTGCTTCGAGATGTTCTTTCGACCTATCGTCACGTCTCCGAACTCCTCCTTTGAGGATGAAGAGTGGGAACGCGATGACACTTCCGTTTCGGCAAAATGTTGGTCTGCAGCAGCATCAAGAGCTGCCTCCACCATGGACGACTTCTTCTCCGCATAGCCAGCATCTGTTTCATGGGGGTATAGTTCTTCATACGCTGGTGGCGATGAATTTCCGGTTAATCGGCCCCAACCGTCTTTCATAATGTTGGTAGACCAAGCGGTTGTTGGCCTGTGTGGAACCAAAGAGCTAATGCGCTGGATCATTGGATGAGTTTGGTAGTCCGGAAGGGCCGGCATCTGAGGAAGTGTCGGTATCTGAGGTAGTGTGGGCATTTGAGGTAGCGTAGGCAGTGTTGGGAGGTTTGGAAGGTTGGGAAGATTGGGGAGATTGGGGAGATTGGGGAAAGCTCGATTAACATTTTGCTGGAACTGGTTAATCTGAGCTGCTAATTGGTCTCGCCATGCAACTAACGCCACGGGGGGGGATGGGTTGCGTGCCATGTCCGCAACGTCAGGCTCAGTAGAGGGGAGTTCAGAGGCTTGAGAAATGCTAGATTTTCGGGGAATAGTGAAATATTGTTTCTTCTCCTTGTGGGTTTCTGATTTACTGCGCTTTGGTTGGGCATACAGTAACTCTGGTGCGTCTGTGGTGTGTCCGCTATCGGAATCGTCAGTTGAATCTTCTTCAATATCCGCAGAGTCGCTAGAAGATGTAGGTTCCCAGAATCCGTCAAGAGAACCAGAGCTTGGTCGGCGGCGTAGGGGAGATGTTGACCCCACACTTCTTGAGCGGTAGTGGCTGGTAGAAGCAATGACAGCGCGATGGGCATCCAGAGATGTGGCAAGGTCAGCAGGAGTGAAGCCACGTAGATTAGGCGCCGTAATGTTAGCACCAGCAAGTCGAAGGCGATGGATTATATGTGTATGTCCACTGAGGGCGGCCAAATGCAACGGAGTGTTGTGGTTCTTGTCCTGAACATCGGGGTTAGCTCCTCGAGCAAGTAAACCAGCCACGAACCGAGTCAGCCCTAATGAAGACGCAAGGTGGAGTAGAGTCTGTCCCGATGGTGAGCGTGAGTTATATTTCGTCGAACCGGGACTTCCATCCAAGTCCATGAATTCAAGGTAGACAAGCATCTTCGCATCAGTGTCTGTAATGTTTGCATTTTGGCCATTCCCTGCAGCTTGTCGTTGCTGACCTCCACCATTGCCATCACCCTGGAAGTTGTTTTGAAGATTCCATAGATTGTTTCCACTACCACCCATAATTTGCTGCGCAGTTTGATATGCATCAGCGGGGTTATTAAGTTTCTGACCTAATATCCCAAGAGCAATCCTATACATCTGCAGCTCCCGATCATCCACGTAACGGAAGAAGATTTGAGGCTTAGGGATTATGGGTTGTCCAGGCTGATGCTGACCCAATCGAGGGTGCTCATGCTTAAAGACAACAGGTACGGTGCCCGGTTTCACAGAAGGCGGAGTGAGGCAGTTTAAGCACTTCTCGCCCCAGAAGGTTGTTGTCGTTGCTAAAGTGTCACCGAAAACAACCTCCATGCCGGGGTAAAAACCACTACCAAGGAGGGTTACTTCACTTCCACCTGTTGTCGAACCCTCCGCTGGTACGAGTTTATGAATCATTGAGGGTACTTGGGGCGGAGGGAGGCTAGTTGGTAAGCTCCAAGTGTGATTTTGGGTTCCCGTAGCTGGTAGCCCAGCACCTTGGTCCTGAGATCTATTGCGGGAATTTGTATGGGGAGAACTGGGCCGGCTTGGGTGTGTTGAGCTAGGTGCAGACATCAAAGATGGCTGCCCGATGTTGTCCATAGAATTGGTAGTCTCGATTGGACTAAAGAACATCCCATCGTTATTATTTGGCGTTGGCGGGCCGTTAACAAATTGGGCGTTGAGCATCGCAGGGGTCACATAAGCTTTATCCGCATTCCCGCTAGCAGATGGGAGATTCGAAGGTAGCGGAGAGCTACTGGCGGTTGGAGATACCCGCTGAGTATCGATTCGTGTCATCGTCAGCCCAGTAGGTACTTTACCCGATCCACTCTGCTTCCGCCGTTTAGCAAGAGGGCCAGCCCCGTCAGATGGGGATGCTTGTCGTGATAGGTTTCGTGGAGTAGTTATGGCGGTGGCCAAATTTGTGCCATTTTGTGGCTGGTTCGAAGTGACGGGCGTTAATGGGTATTGTCGATTCCGCATTACCTGCAGATCATTAGTGGAGTGAGATAGTTTATACGGCACCGAATGTATGAATGGTTTCGCTAGATCTATCGCAGGATTCGCGGCGAACATTCCGGCGGGGGGAAACTGGGGATCAGTGGCGGTAGAGCTGGAGGCCGCAGTGTAGTTTGCGGGTGCGTGTGTCTTATGGTCATCAGTAATCATGATCGAATTGGTAATCGCCTGCGCTATTGGGTTATCCCTGTAGTCAAAGAGAGTGAAAAGGACCCTGATCTCCCATTAGTAGAGGTTCAAAGATAGGCACAAAATAGAAGTTTATACTCACTGGAATCCAACTTTCTCATTCTGATGCCTACAATAGCACGCAATTCTCATTGGCAATTCTACTTGCATCGCACCCAGGGGCGCAATCGGTAGAGAAGGGTCACAATTTGTTGAGTTAGGAGTTCTGGGAGGATCTGTCCAATCTTTGATCTCCGTAGTATTGAACACAATAACCCTTTTATCTTCATCTCTCTGGAACATTTCATCCTCTTCCGGTTTCCGCTGTTTCTTCCGCGAAGCACGCTTTCGTTCTCGTTGGATACAACCAGCGCATATTTTAACCTCAGCTCCTCCTAGTGGAAGATCATCGTCAACCTGACTTTCTTCCGAAGAGCCTTTTGGAGACTTAGCGCTAACATCTTCACCTCTAGCTCTAGCAAACGCTCTCTCCCGCTTCTTTTTATCCTGTATTGCGCTCGTGCATAATACACTAGCGCGAAGTTCGAGGATATCTGGGGACCGTTTAGTATCAGGTTTTGCGAGGAACTTTGGCTTGGAAATGGCATGGCTTGGGAGACGTAGTTTCTTAACTCCAGGCGGCATCGGGTAGAGGGTTAACTTGATCGGTATTTGTGTTTCTACGCGGGATTTCAACGAAGTAGGATGAACAATAAGCCGGGGCCGGATATAGTTCTCCATGCTGATGTTTGGGTGAAAGATCGCGGGATTACGGTCGTTCAACGGGAACACCACTCCGGTTGGGCATTTCAGCGATTCAAAGGTCTGACGCGGCGACCTAAAGGTAGAAGTCGGAGATAATGTGGCTGAGAGGGGCGAGCCACCGTTCATACCTATTCCACCAAAAGCATCCTCTAGGCTGGATTGTGAAGCACGGCCATCCCAAAGTCCTTGTCCAGAGTATAGCTGTGTAGAGTCGCCGGGACTTTGGAATACAAATGGATTCACGACAGTGGGTTGCTAACAATACTGTCAGTCTTCCTTGGACAGAAAGGCGTACAACATGATATGACGGTAAAGAACTCACTTGTTGCGATGAGCCTGCATCACTAGGCTGCCCAGTAAAGGTGGTGGAAGAAGATGTACGGAATGACTGCTTGAACACTGTTGGTTTACTCTTTTCGGTATTGAGTTCCATTTTCAGGGGACTCGGACTGCTGGCAGCACTATCAAAATCAAACGCAGAAGCCATGGCCTTATTGCTGGACTCCACGTCATGCTCCACGGTCGAATCATCCCTAACCGAAAAGTTTCCGTTATCTTGTCCAAAAAAAGCTGCTTCACCCAGGGAGAACTGGTCAGCGTTCGGCCAGCTGGGAATATATCGCTCCGTTATTGTGCTGTCTGGACTAAAGAGTCCTGAGTGGTTGGAAGCCAATGAGGCATTCCGCAGGTGGCCTGTGGGCGAGTCCATGGAGGAGCTATGACTGGAGTCTTCTGGTGAGTCTGATCGAGTATCTGACGGGGTTGAGCCTGCCGGGGGAACATCATTCTCGGATTTGTTTGGCATTTCGGAAGGGGATAAGCATGACATGGCATCGGAGAGCTGGGGAGCACTTGACGGCCGGAAGAACAGGTCTTCAAAATCTCGTCCCAGACTAGGCGTTGAGGCATTGAGAACTGAAGGGTCGAAACATAGCGTATCTCTGTCGTCCATGATATTGTCCATATCTCCGTCCATAATAATGGGCTCCATCTCTCCGACCCAGACCGTGACCGACAACGAAGATAATCAGAATATCAGTCAACTCCTGCTCTTGTCCCCCTCCGGCAAGCGTGTCCCTTCTCTTCCGTCTCGTGCCGTTCCTCGAAACGTGCGGTGTGGGATTGCCGATTCGGCGTATTCGATCCCTCAGGGGGCTTGCTTCTCGAGACAATTATGCTGCCTACCGTTGAGCAATGCTAATGCGCCTCTTAACACGCCGCGCAGCTATCGATGGATTGGACGCGTAGATGAAAAGAAGCCCCCCCTTCGATGGAAGAAGAACAAGGAAATATCAAGGCACACAGGCAGGACGTGGTGGCTCGTAGACGGGATCGAAATCCAGGGATGGTCGACGAGGTTTCGTGTGAGTGTGTCGGTGAAGGTCTAGCTAGAGAAGCGCCACAAACGGGACCACTTGGCGCGCTCGCTCCCCCAGCGCATCCAAACCTGTCAGCCAGGAAGCCTGAGAACCCCTGCTGGGCTTTTTCTGTCAACTTCTTTAAGGTGCGTCTTCAACTTCTCGTCGGTGATTTTTTCTTCTTGTCGTCTCTTTTTCCTTTTTGGGTCATAAAGAAGAAACCGAAACGTTGGTTGGTTTTTGTGGCGCTAAACCGTTTTGGGGCAAATAAGTTTTAAGGCCGCAAAACGGTTGAAAGCCAGCAAAGAGATGGACGGAAGGGATAGAGACAGAGTGACAGAGACAGAGATATATTATACGATGTCATCATGAGCCTTACTGTGCTTGAGGGTTGTTTAACTTGCTAGCGAGCCTTTGTGGGAAGACAGGCGGCTTCGGCCCGGCTGAGAAGCCTCGTCCTTGAAGTCGATTCTATATATTAAACAGCCAACATCTCCAGAAAGATGAAGAAGAATATCAATACAGTTACTGGGAGGATGAACCAACTTCCTGATTCCTGTACGAAGTGCAGCCTGACCAAGTCCTGATACCGGTTTGGATCCCCAGTATGGAGAGCTCCTTCACTCCCTCTCTCTCTTTGGTTTCCAAGAAGAAAAAAACAGCCTGAACAACATATAGGAGCAGCCTTTAGTTCAGCTTCACGTTGTCCACAGGTCCTAAGAATAGGCATACAAGCGGCTGCCTGGGCTGTTCGACCTGCCTGGGTCAAGAGGCACTCAGCTGCATGGTCGTTATTCCCCGGACGCCTACGGAGCCTACCGATGACATGCATGAGCGTCTAGCTAAACCACATATACAGAACTTCAACTGCTTCTACAAGTCTCTCCAGCATTGCAAAAGGTCGGCTACAAGTCACACACAGCAAGGGTCTAATAGATCTGTCCTACAGAGTACATGAATTATGATATAAATTTCAGTGAACCTACTGCTCCGAAGCGCCGGAAACCAAACAGACTTCTATCCCTCCGAGTTTCTTCCTTTCACCAGGAACCGGGACCAGACAGGAGTAGATGAATGATGCATGTAAAACATTCCGTCGTTACCATCGTGTATTTCCCTAATGCCCTGGCCATCCATTGGACGAATATTCGCTTGTCATGATACACGCCGTCGCAAGGGTAATAATATCTTATTTCCTTTTCCAGAGGATAATGTCTACCGTTCGCCCTTGTCTTAACCTTTAACAAGGCGAACTATTAATCTTTTACACGTGGTTACATGGGTCCTCGGGTTGGATCTATCCCCTGCCGCTTCTTAGCATGTGGAGGACGGGAATGCCCCATATGCTTATATATGGTACTAGACATATTAAATGGATATGGGGCACGGAGTTATAGGCCCTATACATGCAGAAACTCATGGAGTTAGGATGCTTGGTTCTAGTCATAAGACTCTAGGAACTTTCCTTCTCGGGTATTGATCCACAGCCCGTGGTGCCACAAGGGATTTAACAAAATTTTGACCGGAGACAGAGGTATGTATAAATAGACATTAATATTAGGTAGTAGAGAAGTAAAAGGACCTACTCAGTACTACCAATGCGTTTTCCCATAGCGAACAAGTTCGGTCATGAGTTTGCCGCCAGCGGATACATCGTGGTAAGGGTCGGACCTGTTTGCCATAAAGCAACCGCCCGGCTGCTCACTGCAGCTTCGCTCTCCACCACTACAAACACCAACGATCGTAGGCTGTCCGTCAATATAACCCCACAGGGGGCCACCTGACCACCCAGGCGACGCAAACACCTTCGATTCCAGCTCTACTCCAATCTCTCCATGGGGATCAATACCGTCAAGAGTCAGATTCGTAACCAGCATCTGCGCCATGCCCTTGAGAGGTTCAACTGGGTACCCTGAGCTAAGCCACGACCGGTTAACATATGTTTGCATATCTTTCCACCAAGCAGTTCCCATCCATCCCACCCGTTCGCCCAGGGGCTCACACAGCCTACAAATAACGTAGTCTATCCCAGTAACGTTGAGCGTGTTCTTCACCCCACGACACTGCGAGATGTACGAGCTGCCAAAGGGCTCCGCGTGTCTCTTGCCATGGCCAAATCCAGGTACAAACCGCATCCACCTTCTGGGGCTGTAGTTCCACGGGAAACAGTGGCTTGCAGTAAGTAACAGGTTCTTTCCGACCAGTGTACCCGTGCACCAGCCCCCCTTATCCCCTCTGAATCGCCGAAAAAATATCCGCCCTATCGTAGACCACGGATATCTCAAAGTAGCGGTAACGTGGAATTGATCGAAAGGCGACCCTTCCACAGCCACAGGAAGGATGTCGGTGCTGTAATTCACGAGACTAGGGAGGGGGGGAGTAGAAATGCTGCTTTCTCCGCTGTGATTGGGGTCAAAGCCAGCTGTCCTGCCATATTCAGTCTTCTGTATCCCATCAATGCCCCATATCACCTCATCCAAGTTCCATTTATCGTCTACGGTCAGCTTCTCGGATTTGAGGTGAGGGAATGCCTTCCCACATAATCCATCTCTGGGCCCCAGGGGAGACAGCGCGGTAACGAGGAAGTCGTGCGTTAACAGTAAGGTAACGAGCGGCCATAGAAAATACATAGTAAAAGAATAAAAAAATGGTGAAAGTGAGCGTGCACATGGGATAATAATTGCTGCTGCTGTTCCTTGCCTCTCGGCCTTGGTATCAAAACCACGGACCTTGATGTGGATGAGAGCAGACGCGATTGTTGCTGACCCGGACGAGTCAGCTGCCTGAACACAACGAATAGACTGCATGTTGCTTTCCTTGGGCAGAAAGAAGTTCCTTGAGCGCTGGTTTGTTGCGCCTTTCGATAGGCTCTTTCCCCCCAGGCTGGCGATTTCGTAGGCTTAAAATGAAGCGCTAGAACTTTTCCTTTTGCCATATTTTTAGAGAAGAACTTCAGTTGTCATAAACGGTTCAGGTGGGTATCAATAGAGCATTCTTGGGTATATATTTGGCCATAGTGTTGATTGATGGGTTGGGCGCATCAGGAGGTTATTGGACGTGCATCTGCTGTCAAGCAGGGGGGAATAATAACATGGCCAGGAGCGAACATAATAGCAACCAACGATGTATGCAGAATACTCGCTACTTTGGACCCTTTCACAGGGCGTGGTTGATGAAGTTGCAGTTTCTAGGCTAATCAACAAGTTTGTAACTAAAGGAATAAATATTTTGCTGCGTCACCAAGCTCTCTATATTTTAAGCTGAGCCAAACCCCACGACCTCACATCAACATCTTCAACTTCTTGAGGAATATTTCTATTCTTTTTATTTACTTCCTTTACACATATTTTAATACTAGTTCTTGTATTGCATTTTGTTATTAGTACTAGGTTTGTTAACAGTTACCTACAATGTTTAAGAAGAAGCCATCAGTCTGACCCCCGCCATCCTGGAGATAACAGAGACGAGCTCTGCTAACATCCATAACAGATCAAGCCCCTTGCGCCACTTCGGTCCTCTGACCGGAGAAAGATTGCAGACAAAATTATCCAAGAGTACAAGGTCTCAGTGCCAGAGGCGCCTGCGGCTCAGCCCGAAGCTGATGAGGCATCAACCCAGGCCGCCATCACCACACCCAGCCTTGCATCTATCCGAAACTCGCTTCTGCCAGAGAACACCCTAGCTGGAAAATTTACAACTACTGCAGGCCCCGATCTACAGCTCGTTCATGGAACTGTGTATGTTGGAACACACCCAGACGGTGAAGAAAGAGTATTATGGGTTAGACTTGAACAAGGACCAGGGACTGACGGAAGAATATACCCCACGGTTTATTCACTATGGCGTAACCCAGGACTAGTTCCCTTGATTTGCACGACAAGCCATGTCATGGAGAAACTTTACAATGGTGCAGACCTTATGACACCGGGCCTCGCAAACGGACCGCCATTTCCAACGGGAGCTGTGAAAGGGGCAGTGGTTGCTGTTTCAAGCTTGAATAAACCTAGTGTTCCCACCTTTGTAGGCGTCTGCGAGGTCGATATTGCGAGCCTGACGCAGGTACAAGGGGCAAAGGGGCATGCCGTCAGGGGAATACAGTGGGAAGGTGATGAACTGTGGAGCTGGGGCTCAGCTGGGAAACCTGGCCAACCGTCTCCAGATCACTTAGATGGCTGGATAGCCAGTACCGAAAATGTCGAAGAAAAACTCCAAGATTTGGATCTAGGTGATGAAGAGGATATGAATGGTGGTGTGGAGGGCGGAGTCCTAATAAACGAAGCTCAAGAGGCAGAGGATGAAGATGATCAGCTACCGCCTCCAACAACGAAAGGTGAATTTCATTATAACCAATCTTTAAGAATGATTCTAACAGGGCCGAAACATGCTAGAAATCGATGACGTTTTTGAAAAAGCGTTCCTATACGCACTATACCAACACAAGAAGGATAACCCTAGGGACCAGAATCATGGGTTATCATTCCCTATTCAACCGTCCTTCGTGATATCCAATCTTATTACTCCATTCTTGCCAATATTTTCGCCAGAACAAGCACAATACTATCAAATTAAGAAGACGTCCTGGAAGAACGTGAAGAAATTTATCAAACACCTTGATAAGATGAAGCTACTCAAGTCAAAAGATAGAGGCGGGGAAACAATAGTCATGGATGTCGACTTTGACGACATACAAGTTGACCAGTTCGTCCCATACCGGTTACCGAAGAAGACTAGCTCTGGGGGTGCAAAGGCAAAGATTGGCCCCGGAAATACAGCAGGGAGCGTATCACTCGAACAAGTCAATGTGAAAACTTTATACCGCCCAAGCCCCAAACTGGTGCCTGAACTGTTCCCAGCCTTATCTACCACCGACGTAAACAACTACTATTCAGCTTCTGATGTTTCCAAACGCCTGAACGATTATATCTCCTCCCAAGACCCACCCATCATCTCCTCTTCTAATCCTCGCTTGCTGAAGCTGAACGCCTTCATCGGCAACAAGATAATTCCCTCCAATGACATAGGGACCTTATCCCGCGGAACTATCACACGAGACGCTTTGCTCAAGAAGTTACTGGAAGAACCGTCTCTGTGTGCTCCCTATCATGCCATCCTCAAACCTAACCAGACTCTTTCTGACGTGAAGCCCAAACCGGGCGCGCTTCCGAAAGCAACCATAACAGTCGAACGCCGCACGGGAACAAAGTTGGGTACTAAAGTGGCCGGGCTGGATCGATTTGGCATATCACCTCAGTTGCTAGCTGATGAGCTATCAAAGAAGTGCGCAAGTAGCACCAGCGTTAGCCAGGCACTCGGCGGTGCGAAGGGAGAGATGGAGGTTTTCCTTCAGGGTGACCATCGAGGTGTAGTAGAGAAACTACTTGTTGACAAAGGCCTCAAGTCCCAGTGGATAAGTGTCGTGGATAAATCCCAGAAAAAGAAGTGAGCACATTGGTGCTTGTCGCTTTGATAGCTCTGCTCTATGGCCATTCCATGGACATATTTATGATAATGAATTATGAATTTTGTTATCAAGAGAAAAATATATGCATGCCACTTTGGAGCATTGTGGAGGGAACATTAGGACCATTTTACTGCGTAGACCAACGACCCTGATTAATGTCAAAGTAGCAACAGAGTAACAATTTGAACAAACCTCGGTTGGTGACAAACAAAGCAAACATTCAAACACCACACCACAAGAAATTATTCCTTGCGCACCGCTTCGTCCCCTTCCTCTACGGCTGGAATAAGAGACAAACGGTCTTTCGAACGTCTACCCTTTTCAAAGTAGCTATATACTGCTGCCATTTTGGTCCCTCATGCTTTTACAGAATAAATAACGGGCCAACTTCGAGAAAGCCGGCGCTGGGGCCATCCTTGATGATGGCATCACTACTTCTTTTTGTCCTTGTTATTCAGATAATTACCTATTTAATTAATACAATTGGCGCCAGAACTATCGATAGCCTGGTATTCGCAATATCCTCTCTTCTGCTATCCGCTTTCACTAATACTGTCATTATAGCTATGGCTTTTGTATATCAAGCTCCCGAACCAAGCGTCACAAGTTGCCCGGGAACAGAGACATGCGAAGCTTGAAGTAATCCGACTTAAACGAGAAATGAGCGCAACGAGCTCCCAGGACGAATTTGCGAAATGGGCAAAGCTAAGGAGACGACATGATAAAGCTATGGAGGAATATGATGTCAAGAGTATGCTTAGGAACAGCAATCTGGCCTATACAAACACCGGAAGATACCTCATCGCTAATATATCTATCTGCCGCATAGATAAAAAGCTCAGTGCGCTGAAGACTTCTTTCGACTGGACCATCAAGACTGTACGATGGGTCTCTACCACCGGTGTTACCGTGATTCTTCAGTTCTGGTTCTCGAAATCACCAATATTCGATCTTCCTCGAGGCTGGCTCCCATGGCAGGTGGAATGGATCTTATCTTTTCCTCGCGCGCCACTAGGAACAGTCAGCATACAAGTATGGGGAGGGGCATGTGGAACCGTTATTGCTCTTGTCGGAGGCGCCATGGGAGTCGCTGCTCCAGCATTTAAAAAGATTAATCAACCTAGGGGGGAAGCGCAGAAGATGGGAACTCCCAGAGGGAGTAGAGAACAGACACCCGTAAGGAAGACTCAATGACCAAATGAAATAAACGAAAACATGTTTACTGCTGTTATTTAATGTATAAAACTCAGGCTATGACACTCAAAGCTGTTTATTATGTATCTGGAATTGATTACCAGCATTTCAACGACAGGGGGGTTTCCCTCTCAAGGTAAATTGGGTAGGAAAGGGGCAATGTTCATCAGATAGGTTTTAAAATCTTTATCTTCAATAGCCATCGTATGGCCTCTGTGCTTGACTCTATGATTTGTATATCATCACTTGAACATTTATAAAGAATCTGGCCCTTTCGAAGGGGCTTCTGAGATCACATCTAGTTACATCGTGACAGTCATTTAGAGAATGAAGCCCGAATAAAAGAAATGTGATCACCGCTTTCCATAAGCTACAGGTTCGGTAGTTGAAAAAAATGGGGGTGAACTCCTCGCCTCAAGAATAAGCCCCATCGAGTTACTCACCCAGCCCCGAAGGATCAGAGACAGGAGAGCAATCGCATAGCTGTAGAATCTCGACGAACGGCAACCTCCTTGGCCAGATTCCCACCGCTAATTCCCATTGTTTCCCCAAGAAACCTCCTCGACGCAACCCCCCAAACGGCGAAATCTTCGATGCCAAAACATGGGACTCATATCGTCATCCCAAAGCTGCTCCGGCACTGATAAAAATCGGTACATTTGGGACAGAAGACTGAAGAGTGCAGACGGTTCAACGAAGGTCGGAGCCAGCGCGAAGGTAGCCAAGAGGGCATCAGCTGCTATGAAGTGCTTCTATGGCAGCGCGTTTCCGCAGTGCCTGACTTACGTCAGGGCGTCCGGGGACTTTCTCCCAAAGCATATATTGGTACGAGCATTTAAATGCCCTGTTCGTAAGCTTTGAATGCGATTCTTTGAGCGAGGAGTTGAGAGAGAGGAAGAAACAAGAAAGCCAGAAAAAAAAAGTCGCTTAGTTTTAAAGTGGTGGAGCTTATTCAGCAGAGTGATTACTAAAGTCTTGATATATCGTGTGCCCGTGACGCAGCTGAGTGACTAAGCAAAATTCATCTGATTAAAATATGAAGCAAAAGTGAACAAATTGGCCAATAATAACCTTTAATTTCGGTTCGTATCGTCACAAACGGTATTAGACCTTCCGCGAAAGAACTCATTTTATTCCATAACTCTCTCTCTTTAATCTGTTCTAATTGTCCGTCTTCTTCTTTGTCTTTTATAAGCATATCTTGCGAGCAGAGATCCAGGAGAATATGGCGCCTAAACAATCGTTGGCCGAAAAATTGTCTGGAAGAAACAAAAGGGTTGGTATCTGTTCACTTAGAGACTCTAGTCAATTATTCTTCATATACACTGACATCTCGTTTTAGTCGCTCAACGTACCCATAGCGGCCTTTACAATGGCTCTTTTACTGACCGGATACTGTTTTCGAAGTATTCGATCCGCACGCGATAATGCCAAACAGAATTCAATATATACCTCTTCCGGCCGAGGTAGCCGTCTGTAGTGATGTGATGCCTCACGGCCACGTGGAATAGAACATAACGAGGCAGGATGCATTCATCAAGGAGAATGCATCAATATATAAGCCATATAAGCTTCGACCATTCCGTGTCTGAATGGCGGAGAAGAACCAGCGACGATTGGATGGAGACCTACCCGCCAAATTTGAGTCAATATTCTACCGACGCCAAATAGCTACTGCCATCATTTCCCCAATTGATATGGAATTAGCTTGAATAACTGACTATTGGACGGAGTATTGGACAGCATTCAGGCGGGTCTCTAAGTCAGGTCTAGCAGTAGCCTCTCTTTGGGCTCGAGATGGGGATCTCTTATGAGAGAGCACACAACTTTTTGAGCAAGTGAAATCAAGCCATATCAAGTGCCAGGAACGAACTTTTCAAAACCTGGAGAAGACTTATTTTCAGTATATTACATTAAGCAATTTATTCAATATGTTTAATCAAATATAAATACTGTATTGGGTGGCGGTTTAGCTGGATCTTACTCTAAATAGGTAGAAAGTGTTCTGTACTTAATCTAAAAAATCAGCGCATGCATTAGTGCTAAGGTACATGTCTTGTATGCTATGTTGAACTTGTGAATAGACAATGGCCAACCCATAAAAGACAGCTGCATATCCTGACCTTAGTTTCTCCCATCACCACCTGCGGAGAACATGGGCAACTTGAAAATAAACATATACATAAACCATTCCTAGTAGGGACGCCATACACGCCAGATTCTTGCTCTGCTGGATACAAATCCTTTGGGAAACATTAAGATAGTAAATAGAGGGAAATAGAAACAGGAGAATAGAAAAGGGCAGAGGGAGATGAAGAGAGCCATGAGATTTTAGTTGGGTATATTTGTTACGACAGTCAGAGAATGTCACTTCTCTAGCAAATCTGGTATGGTATCATAAAGTAGGAGGAATAACAAATAAAGATTTTTGGTGAATACGTGCGACGCATATATCAATCACTATTCGTTGGCCATATCATGGGCCTGGACTGCACAGGCTGATATGGTCAGGAATTCTCTCCCGTTGTGTAGTTGGGTACTATGTCATAGGTGTTGGTTCTCTACCGATGAAGCTAGTATTATTTCCCCTTCATGCTGACCCCAGTGTATTATGTTGCGCAAGTATTCATACGTCAACATGGTGGTCATGGCGGAAGGGACTGCACGGAAGAGGTTGGTCCCAATTCCAGCATAAAATGCCCTCCATCCTTCCTCTTTCAGGATTGTTTGAAACGTTCTAATAACCCCTCGATAGCGTGGACGGTTACGCATTCCATCAGAGGATGCGGCTCCCACATTACCACCATATGGGTCGTCTGAGACACGGAACGAAATCCCTTCTGGTGATGGTGCAGGGCTTATTCTTTGTTGAGTTTGTAGCCTTGTGCGCAGTACTTCGTGTGGATATGTAGCTGTGCTAGCACAAATTTTGCTAAGGAATGTCGCAGCGCCAATGCCCACCCAGTGTGGGTTACCTGCATCAGGGTGTTCTCCCATCATAAACCCTGTGAACGCGAGTTTAAAGTACTCATACAGTGGAAATTGGATAGCAACATGAGATAAGCCTAGAAGGGCAGGGGTGAGGCCTGAATAAAATGCTCGTATGCCTTCGCTTGCATACATTTTCCGTGCGGCATCTAGGGTATTTTTATAGTACCATGGAGCCTGAAATCCGTCATTTGAAGGCCTTATGCTTTGGGACATGAGCCTAGTTTTAATGACCCAGATAGGGTTGGTTGCAATGGTCGAGCAAGCCCCAGCAGTTAGTGATGCATATGTTCGGGCAAGCCACCAATTTTCTACATTTAACTGCAGATCAGCAAATAGAATCCCAGCAAATTATTCTGCAGAAATCAAACAAATCACACACCTGTTCGGCCATAAAAGTAATCTCTCGCTCTATCATATATTGTCAAGTAGACGGCCCACGTAGGAAGATAGCCCAGAAGCATTGGGCCTAAACCTTTGTACAGACCACGCAGGCCTTCGTCCCGCCATATGGTTCTGCCAGTTCCTATCATGCCCTTATACAGAGCCTCTGTGTGCACCAATTTCCCATTTCGTCTTAAGAAGCCTCCTTGTGCTTGTAGTTTGGTTTTAATGACGTCTAACGGGCAGGTGATTATCCCTGAAGCAACCCCCGCCCCTGCTCCGCAAAACGGCGTCACATAGCTCTGTGGAATACGAGTCGAGTAGACCTGCAATCGTGCGAGTAAGGTGGAGTTTGGAGGGGGTTGTGCCCCGGGGTGAAGCTGTGGTACTGTCGAGGCCTGTGAATCCGGACCCGAGACTTGGTGCTGCTGCGATGATTGAGTGTTGAATGTCTCTGCCGGTTTAGTACGGTCTAGAGACATCCTTGATGATTGAATGGAGCAGAAGTCTCACTTAACAGGATAACCGATATCGCTGCATGGGTGCGGAGTAGGATAGAAATGGGAAGTGCAAAGGCAATAGGCCTATACAAAATGAGGGACGACGAACTCGCTGTCCTTAGTTTCCCTCCCTCAAGCGCTCAGTCTATGGTAAGAAATGCTGGAGAAAAAAAGAGTGATTCGGCGGGCGGTCAAGCCTACACAGCTCCAAGCTGGAGCAGGTGGAGGCTAACAAGCAACTCCAGGCATGGGCGGGGGAATAGGCAAAAGCTGGATATGGTGACGGAAGATTGTATATCGCCGATAGACAAGGAGACCTGTGCAGGCTGTAGGCAGTAGCAGTATCCAGCAATAGGCAGGAAAAAGATAAAAGAATAAGAGGACAGGATGATTATCCTGTAGACAAGTGAGTATTATCTCTGCTTCCTTTGTGAATTGCTTGTGATCAGGGAAGATGGATTATCATCAAAGTAAGCACTTTTTGCAGCAACCCACGGCTTGATACTTTTTTTGGTTGAAATCACGAGATCCGACATGGCCGAACCTGGCCCGAGCGTTCAATTTTGCACAAACAACCTCAGCAACTTCACCAAACCAGTGATTGGCCAAACAGCAACGAGCAAGCCTGCCTGCCAGCACTAGAATTTGCAGCCATTACACCCGTATCGGTGGGAAGTGCCTCTCGAAACACTCGATCTCGACGTATTGTTTGAACCGTCGCGATGGTTTTGACATCGATGGTCGCCAGGGCCTTTGAGGTGCCGTGGTTCAAGAATGCGATGAAGCCAGTTGCCAGCTGGTACGCCAATGCCGCTGGATACAGAAAATTGGGCCTAAGGTGCGTTGTTATTAGCCATTGACGACCAGGAGGGACGGGTGGCGGGGGAGATGGGGGTTCACCGGCAGAGAATGCGACACTGGGTAGCCAAAATAAATGGCAGACAGGACAGGATAGGGATTGCAGTGGCGGCTAAGAGGTCCATCTGGAGAGAAATTCTCATGAGCAGACATGCTGACTTATATCTTGGAATGTGGATAGATTGGATGACTTGATCCCAGAAGATAATGATACTGTTCAGTTGGCGTTGAAGAGACTTCCTCCCAAAGAGGCATATGACCGTCTCTACCGCATCCGCCGAGCCGTCCAGGTATGTGCATACCTCTCTACCTGCCAGAGAGACAAGATTTCACTTCTTTTAATTTCTACCTTGGTTTCTAGACATATTATGGCCTATGGACTAACTGAGTGATTCTTTATAGTGCTCTGTTGAACACCAGCTTCTGCCTGAAAAAGACCAGACTAAGCCAGAAGATGTACTTACACATCCCCCCAAGTTATCCCTGCAAACCAGGACAAAACACTAACAGCTCACTCTACAGGATGTCCGATACCTCTCTCCAATCATCGAAGCTATCAAGCGTGAACAGGCCGAGCGTGTGGAACTCGACTCCCTCGTCCTCAAGCGGTGATCTCTCTCATCACCTTGACCAGGCCATCCAGCCTGCATGAATTGCCAATATAAGCGGAAGGATGGCACGGAGATGAGAGAAACCATTAGCCCAACCTAGATCAGAGAAAAATCACCATTGTTTAACTATACTCCTGCCTACCGTCATTCTTCTTTTGTTCCCTTTTCGTTTCCCATTTTGATAAACATGTACAGATACTACACTGCCAGGCAGTAGGCCGATAGACTTTCTGGGGAAGGGGAGAGGAGTGTGTTTTATAAAGCAAATCACGTTTGTATCCAAAATCAATCCCTCTTCAGTTATTTATTTATACGTATATATATATGAAGCCCGGGGTACGACGAGTCATGCCTGCATGACGGCCACATCTACATTCTCCCATCTCCACATATACCACATGAAAAGACTTCTATACGGCGAAAACGGCGCCGCTATCTCTATCATATCCTTTTCGGACATGTACTTGAACTTACCGCCTCCCTTTGCCTTTAGCTTGCTAACATCTCGACCCACATATGCCGCCATACCTCGTCTAGAAAACATATTAGAACATAGTAAGCATGATATATATATGTGTGTGTGTGCCGGGAAGGAGATAATACGTACTGAACACCAAGGTCACCGGTGGAAAAGACGTCCATCCTCTTCAGCCCAAAGAGGAGAAACATCTCGACAGACCACTTCCCCAGCCCTCTCACGGTAATCAGCTTCTCAAGAACCTCCTCATCGCTGGCCGTCAGGAGCATGCGAGCAGACAGTTCACCCGAAGCGAACTTCTCAGCCAGGCCATGGATGTACTCTGCCTTACGCTGGGAGAGACCGGCCGTTCGTAGCGTAGGCAGGTCGCAGGCAACCACCTGCTGGGGACTGGGAAAAGCAACAGGCTTATACCGCATACCCGCATCATCATGATCGCCTTGCCCACCGTCTTCCTTGGTCTTGCTGCTCTCGTCTGCAGAGTCAGGGTTAAACAGAGCTATAAACTTCTTCTTTATCGACTTTGCAGCCGCCCCGGACACCTGTTGACCGATGATGCCGCTGACCAAGGCTTGGAACGGGTCGATTTCGACTGCCAGGTCAGCTGGTCTAAAGGGGGCATCGGGGAACTTGTCGATGACGGTCTTTAGCTTGCCGTCGACAGTGAGCAGGTGGTCGATTGCGTCTGTGAGCAGGTTGCCAACCGTGGTTGTTGGGCGGGGGAGGCCAGTCTTCGAAGGGGAGGCATCGGCTATGTTTGATGGGTATGCTGTTATGTGTGAGCCGCGAGGGGTGAGAAGTGTAGCAGTTGTACGATGCGGGTCGATGGGCCGGTTCAGGTCTGCTGCGGTATTGGCATTGTTGTTGTTATTATTACTATTACTGGTAGTGCGAGGGAGCGATGGTGGTAGGTCTGTTGGTCTCTGGATGGTGGGCTCTGGTGTCTTGTGGGCCCGTTTGGGAGTTGCTGGTGGTATCACTGTGTCTGTAGCTGTGACGGCCTTGCTTTTGGCAGCGGAGAGTGTCTTCTTCGGTGTCTTTGGCACAGCTTTCGACTTGGTGATGCCGCCTTTCTTCTTTAGCTCTGTTGGTTTGTCTGTCTTCTTCTTGTCGGGGTCTTCCTTGCTGCTTGACGCCTTCAACGCTGCGCTGACTCTGGCAGACCGCCGTGGAGCCATAACGGCCAACGAACGTGATACCCAGGCTAGACGGCAGCAACTGGCTGGCATCCAGTGTCAGTGTCCCATATCACTGTCTCGTCTCGTTGATGTACAGAGTAAAGGTGTTTGTCACGTCGATTATTAATACGAGCCTTCTACATACCATGTACTAGTAGTAGCACATAGTACCGAGTATACAGAACGACATCCCACTCCAGCCATAGCAATAGTAGTATCGTTCATCCTGTCCCATCACCGTCCTATATCTTCCTCTTCCTCTCTGGCATCTACTTCATCTTGTTACCCTTGTATTTGCTTATTCCTGACGAAAGCTTAAGGGGAGTCGACTAAGACTTGCTCAGGGGCAAGTCTCCGCGGGTGGCCAAATGCTCACATCCACACGCTTGGCTGGTCATACCATTAGTATGTGCCAGCACCACTAAAACGAAACGATGGAGGGAGAGACTTGTCAAGCCGCCGCTTCGATTCACCCGCGATCGACAAGCCCTTGGCCGCCGCCCCCCGAACTGACATCACCATCGCCTTGCGTCTTCTCATCTCCCCCCCCCTGGCAGGACCTACGTAAGGCCATCATCACAGTCAGCCCGAGGCATGCAACTTATGCAACAGCTCAGCGACCAGCAGCTTGCGAAACCCACTTGCTGTGGCAAATTAGCATCGGGTCTAACCTAAGCTGTCGATGTGTATATATTAGCATTGATTTCAGGACGAAAGGGATCTCTCTGTGGGGATGAATAGGGTACATACTCCGTACTCTGCGCAGACATGGCGGTTATCTCGCAACACCACCACCGACATCAGCACTCCATATCGTTCATTCACCGTCGAGATCAACGTCCTCTATCTCGTAGACATCCATCTATACAGTCTACTCGCAGTGCCATCATCATCGTCTATACAAGATGTTCCCTGTAAGATGTATACGAAGATCGCTTACCTAAGCCTTGTCTCAGGCTTGACCAGGTTTCGCTCTTCTTTTTTCCCCTTTGCGGGTCATCTTTTTTTTTTCTTTTTTCTTCTTCCTTTTTCTTACTCCTGATATTTTCCACCTTTTCCTTCAAGGTCTTTTTCTTCTTTTTTTCTTCATCGTCATCTTTTTTTTTCACTCGCTACTTGGACTAGTTAGTAACCAGTCCGGTTTGATAGCGTCTCTTGCTCTGGCTCCTTGAATTTGCTTGCTCCACTCGTTTTTTTTTTCCCCCTTCGACGTCCTCGTTTTCTTCTGCCCTTGAAAAAGTGACAGCTTTTTCTTCCTCTCCCATCACTCGCCTTCGTCCATCGGCAAGCACTTCAAGGACTCACGCTCGTTAAGGTATGTCTGCCATGAAGAAGTCATCCTCGTCGTCGACGGTCTTCCGCTTTGCTGGCCGTGTTACGCTGTGGCCCCCCCTTTCCCTTGAAACGTCCTCTCTTCTTTCCCTCAAACAAAAACCCCCTTGAACAACAAATAACAACAATCCCTCCCCCAATCTGCCTTTGAGCAGGACAATACATAATAATTACACAAGGAGCACGCACACCAAAAGGCTGCGTCTTCCGCCTTGCACGTCTCTTTTGCTTTAATTCTCGACTATTTATTTCTCGCCTAGAGGTTCCTTTCTCGTGATAGCTGGCTGACCCGTTGATTCGCGCCCTTACAGCTAGACGCCCGTGTTTTTCTGACCTAATTGCGAGATGGGCTTCACCAAGTACATCGTCCCGGCTCTGGCTATTGCCAGTCTGGCGTTTGCTGATAAGTGTGAGTGAAAAAAAGGTAACCATCGAGATGAGGACGGGGGCTAATGATGATCACAGCTTGTGAGGGAGACATCACCATTGAGAACCAGCAGGATGCCTCCAAGCTCAGCAGCTGCTCTACCTGGGATGGAGACATCACAATCAGCAACGTCGTCAACTCTGCTATCAGCCTCGACGGCGTTCAGAAGATCACCGGATCCCTCAGCAGCAAGAACTCCAGCATCACCGAGTTCTCTGCTTCCAAGCTCACCTCCATCGGAGACTCCTTCACTATTAACACCTGTACCGCCTTGAGATCTCTCCAGTTCGACTCCCTCACCGCTGTCAAGTTCATCAACTTTGAGGCTCTACCCAAGCTCCAGGCCCTCGGCTTTACCAAGGGTGTCTCCAAGGCTGAGCGTGTCCGCGTCACCAACACTGATCTCACCTCTCTCGATGGCATCAATCTCGAGTCTGTTACCGACATGGAGGTCACCAACAACCCTCACTTGATGATGGTCAATGTCAATCAGATCACCAATGCTACCGGTTACATCAACTTCGCTGCCAACAACAAGGATCTCAAGATCAGTTTCCCAAACCTTCAGGGTGCTCACAACATGACTTTCCGCAACGCCAGCAGCGTCTCCATTCCTTCTCTTGAGACGATGGACGGTCTCCTTGGATTCTACTCCAACTTCTTTGAAGATATCTTCGCCCCCAACCTCACCAAAACCGGTGACCTTGTCCTCGCTGACAACTCCGCCCTCAGTAACTTCTCTTTCCCAGTCCTCAAGACTGTCAAGGGTGCTTTCCAGGTTGCCAACAACACCAACCTAAAGGCTATTGACGGCACCCCCAAGCTTGAGACTATCAGCGGTGCCCTCGACTTGAGTGGTAAATTCGACACGTAAGTCACTACCTTTTTTTTTTATACATATGTTCACGCCTTTTACATAACTAACGCATCACAGTGTCAAGCTCCCCGCCCTCAAGGAAGTCCGTGGTGACACCAACGTCCAGAGCACCGAGTCCTTCGGCTGCGAACCATTCGACAAGCTCAAGTCTGACGATGTCGTCCGCGGTAAGCTCACCTGTCGTGAGAAGCAAGACAAGCCAAAGACCGGCGACGAATCCGACAGTGGCTCTTCTACCTCTTCTGGTGCTGCCGATCCCTTCGCCCAGGCCCCGGCTGGATTCCTCCTTGGTCTCCTTGGTGCTCTCCAGTTCCTCTTGTAAACTAAAGCATGTCCAAATACCAAGTACACGATGGCGTTGTTTTTACCGTTCGTCTTTTCTTCTTCACTTGAGAGCTCTATCTTTTTCCTCTCACCCGATACGGTTTTACCCTCCCTTCACTTCCGCTGTTACCTTGTGGCATTGAATTAAATTGTATCTCTTCCACCCTTATGTGCGCTTTAATGGTTTTTATTAGTCCTAAGTCGAACGGTAGTAATCTGAGCTTTTCTTTGTTTCCACTTGACGCTCCATCAGTAATAAATAATCTCGTTCCCCTTTTCGTCGCTTCCAGGAGATATAAAACGCGTTGCTTACCTAACACGAGCACACGTGACATCTTACGCAAGTTTGCTTTTTTCCGTCTTTTTCTGTAGGTTGAAAAAAAAAGTTGCCCCTAAAGATTATGTCGAAATCACCGTTCGAAGAGAAAAAGACTTGCGTTCTTCTTCTTCCCGACAGAAGCCATTGAGTGTTTTCGGCGCGTTGTGCTCACCAGGTATATCTCCATGTTCCGCTCGTTGCCGTTGAACTTAGCCTTTCGAGGTTATCAAACGGTAGTTACAACTTGTTAAAAATCCAAGACACTTCCTGGCTGACAACCTGCAGAGTTCACGTCTAGAACGCAACATCAGATAGACAACAACCACGCAAAAAATAAAATAAAGAGAGAATACCTACAGACGACGTTGCAACCTTTGCCAGTGACCGTCGACGGTGAAATCAATTCCACTCGTTTACCCCCAAACAAACCCGCTCACGATCAGGCTTCTCCGTCCAGATAGCTCCTAGGGAGAGAAGAGGCATATCTCCTATCCAGAAAGCCGACGCAAGCAGCTAAACGAGGGGAGAAGCCCATATACGAAGAGATAAAAAGGGGGAAAAAGGGAAATATCTTTTCTAACGCCAGCGCATCCAGAGATACAAAGGAAAATGCTTCTCCCCAAGGGCGGTGTTACTTGGAAGTCGGCGAAAGCCAATCTACCACCATGGAAAGCGGTGCTCATGCTGCTTTCAAAACCTCGATTTATCATCTCTATGGCTGCAGCGGGGCTTGTTATATTGCTGTGGAGCGGTGTTAGTCGGTCGACAGCGGAGATGCAGAGGTTAGTTCCACTTACCCCGTACATGTCTACATATGCATGCATCCAAGGCACCGTGAATGTATACATACCACCTGCAAATACGATGCTAACCGCTGTTCTAGGTATTACTGCTTCGGCCCTTCAAAACCTCCAAACCACATGTCTGCCAACGAAATGGTTGACTGGCATTCTCACCTCCAAACGCCCGTCATCTTCAATCACCACGAGCCCTACGAGGTGAATAATACCTCTATTCAAAATATCAACCTAAACCTCATCAAGGCTACCCCCAAGGCTGCTGCCATGGAGGAACGAGTCCTCATCCTCACTCCGCTCCGCAACGCCGCTCGACATCTCGACAAATACTTTGACCTACTCTCCATGCTCACTTACCCACATCACCTTATCGATATCGCCTTCCTGGTCAGCGATAGCAATGATGAGACCCTCGCTGATCTCGCTTCAAACCTCAATCGTGTTCAGTCTATGCCAGACAATATTCCTTTCCGCAGCGCCATGGTGGTTGAGAAGGATTTCGGTGCCACGCTTAACATGGATGTTAATGCGAAACATGAATATGAGGCTCAGGCTCCCAGGAGGAAGATGATGGGCAAAGCCAGGAACTTCCTACTTGCTACCGCTCTAAAACCTGAGCATTCATGGGTTTACTGGAGGGATGTGGATATCGCTGACAGCCCTCCAAAGATTATCGAGGACTTTGTCGCCCATAACAAGGATATTCTTGTTCCCAGTATGTTTTCATTTATCTTTTTGTTGTTGTCAATTGCGTGCGTTTTCCTACTAACCATATTACAGACGTGTGGTTCCATCGATATGTTGACGGCCACGACATCGAAGGGAGATGTGAGTCGACCATGCTATTAGGTCTGACGTGAATATCGATTGCTAACCACATCAATAGTTGACTACAATTCCTGGGTAGAATCAGACAAGGCTCGAAAACTGGCTCAGAGCCTTGACAAGGATACCATTATCGTCGAGGGCTACCGAGAATTCGATACCGGACGCCGACATATGGCCAGAGAAGGTGACTGGAGGAGGAACAAAGATGAAGAGCTTGAGTTGGACGGAATTGGCGGTGTCAACATTGTTGTCAAGGCCGATGTTCATCGAGCAGGTATGCCACTCTTTGGCACTTCATGTTACCAACATAATATCTAACATCTATATGACAGGCATCAACTTCCCTTCATACGCATTCGAAAACCAAGCTGAGACGGAAGGTTTCGCTAAGATGGCTAAGCGAGCGGGATACCAAGTCGTCGGTTTACCCAACTACGTCGTCTGGCATCACGATACCCAAGAAAAGCCCGGAAACATCTGAGAGGATATCCTCCCACTCTATCCACCTTATAAACGGCACCACCCTTTACACAACCCACTCTAATGACTCCAAAATTGCGCCTGCGCCATGAAGCACCCTTCCATGCGCGACTCCATGACAATCATTCACTTCAATTGCATATTGCGATACACAACCACGTTTTAATCGCATACGTACTATTCAGCGGCCAACCAAAGGCGGAAGCCCTCCCCCAACTTCCCGCTCCTTATTTATAGACACTACTCCCTTACTTACCGTCGACGATTTTGCTATGCCTTTTTCTCATGTTTTTCTTTCTCTCTGTATTATCTTCTGTGCTCATTCCCCCTCTTTTTTCCCTCTCCTTTTTTGCCCCGGACCTGGAGACAGTTACTGCCAGAAATAAAGCCACTCAATACTCGACAGCCAAACAAGAGTTCAGTGAAGGGAACTATATCTTCCCTTCCCACATCTCAAACTCGCTGTCTACTAGTGTGTCTTATGTGGATGGCTTGCTACTTGTCCATGTGTTAACCGATGCTACTGTATCCTATCTTCCGGTTTCACGCTGGAACTTTTTGTCTTCAATTCTTGCCACCACCCTCTTAATCACTTACCTACACTTATCCCTTTTCTACATTCTCCTTTCTCTTCCTGTTTGACCGGTTTCTCTTTTCTCCAATTTCAAACTTTTGGGCTAGGCGTTTTTCCTTCTGTTCTACCTTTTGTTTCTCTATATTTCTAATATCCGTTCTTAAAAGGGCTTGTAATCCACACATTCTTGCCCTGTTTTCTTTTTTTTAACATTTTTTTTTTGATGATGAATGTGGGTTGAAGTTGTGAAGGGATGGAGGGAGTTAAGCTGTGGTGTAAGAGTTACCTTCAATACATCCCAACTGTTATTATCTTCAACCTTTGTTTTTTTATTTTTCGAAGTCGTGTCGAACAGTTTAAAGATTAGGAGGAAGTAATTGGAAGCGCAATAAAAGTGGAATCCATTGATTTTTCTTCCATGGTGAATATTTGAGCTAGTCGTTGCAGTCTAGATACTATAATAGTTGAATGTTTTAAGGATGGATTACAACTTGATTATCAACATGGCTAGAGAAGTAAATAATGTACAGTGTCTATATCCCTAGTTCGATTAAGAGATATCAAAAGAACGTCTAAACGCCGTGTATGTAATATATATATATCAAAACATGCCTTCAAAGGACAAAAGGATGTAATAGTCGAAATTTTGTGTGGTATCAAAAATTATGAATGAATGAATCAATGGTTTGTTAGACCAAGTCGATTCCTCAGCGATAGCCAACGCTCGTAAAGCTCCAGCTTTATCTCAACGCGAAGGTAGCTGACCCAGGCCTGCAGGAAGCGAAGAAAGTTCGGTGGCCAGAAGATGCTTCCCTGCTGCGAGATGAGTTCCATTTCTTCCGAGAAGACAGCGCAAGTAGCATATTTGGCTAGGATGAGAAACGTGCGGACGGGGCCATGGCGTGTGTGTAGATTTTCATCAAGGTTGCGAGCTAGATTGATATCAGTACATATATAGACGGAGCACAAGCAAGAAGTTGACTTACTCAGATCATTTGTTTTTAGGATCAAGAGCATGACTCTAGGAACCTTGCCTAGCAGACTGACTAGTTCTTGCAACATTCCATCTCCCAGGGCGGTAGTGATGGATTCTTTTTCCTCCGAGGATCGGGAAGAGGCAACTTCATTCCTGGTAAGGACGGTATAATCTCTCCCAGTAATAGCGCTTGCGAACAGAGGGAACTCTTTATCCGTCACGCCAGCAACCTCATATGCGTACTTGCGCATCTCCTTTTCATCTGCATTGATCACAGCAAGCCAGAGTTTGGCATAGTTGATGCGCATTTCCTTGGGGATGGTACGGTATAAGCCGTGGTCATATAGCACGATATCGAAATTTGGTCCGCGCTTTCTAGAGTTATTTTTGCAGATTGCGATGTTACCGCCGTGAGGATCACAGTGTAAAGGTGCGTCGTTGCCAAAGATCATCTCGTTAAATATATGAGCCAAGGCAGCGGATACCTCGTCCCGGTCAATATTGTTAGAGTCCAGGAATTCAAGGTCGTCAGGTCGATGGCCTGATATGAATTCCATCACTAGAAGGCGTTTCTTCGCCCATATAACTATATAGACGTCAGTGGATTGGGCAGATTTCTTTTTGCAAGAGACGCTTTGTACGAGAGAATGCTGTTACCTTTTGGGATAACGAGCGGTGCTTTGGTTCTTTTTGCGAAATATTCACGGGCTACTCTGGCGTTCTCTGCCTCCATTTGGAAATCCAGCTCCTGGGGCAAGGAAAAGTCCATCTCCCTGGCGAGCCACTCGAGGTCGTATTCTGGGAAGACTCGTTTCAGAGAGGAGAAAGTGAACCGTGTAAGGCTGAGATCCAAGGGAGCCCACTCCTGGAGGGTTGGATGCTGCACTTTGACTGCCACTTTTTGGCCTGTTTCTCTCAGAACGGCCACATGAACCTGCGCCAAAGACGCAGCTCCAATGGGTTGCGGGTCGAAGCTGGAGAATATTTCGTCTATCGTGTGGCCGGTGTCCTTGAGGAACATTTCCTGCACCGATTCGAATGACGAAACGGGGCATTTATCCTGGAGGGGAATAAAAGTTGTAGTCCATTCTAACGGCAGTAGGTAGCCTAAACTGCTCAGATGCTGGCCCAGCTTTATGAATATCGAACCATTCTTCTCCAGGACTTTGAGTGTTCGATCCGCGCATCGCTGATGACATGCATTTAAGAGTGCGGTTCTCTCTTCTTCGGTGTCCGTCTCTTTATTCAAAGTTACTCGGTAGCTATGAGGCTAGAGTTAGCCAACATGACTTATTGTATAACCTGGCCATTCAACACAACTCAACTCATTGATGCAGATTAGCAAGCCAGCCACAACCCTTCCCGTCCGCTCTGCTGCTCGGTAGGCATGCTTCACGTCGTCGTAAAAGAAGAGCAAGGTTCCTCCAAGAGTACCAGTGGCAGCTGCCAGTATGAACCCCTTTCTTGACCCCTTCACCTTCAACCTGGAAGCGCCCTCCTGCCCTCCGCCACTTTTCCACCCGTATGATGCACTTGTTCCATGGTATAATCGTCCACTGCCCGGCAACAGCGCCCTCGCATTCGTGCTATCCCACCGCACGCATTGTCGACATGTCCAGGTTGGCGGGAAGCTCCCGAGTGACGGTTTCAGTGTCAGGAATCGAGTCGTGACCCGCGCAGACATGGTTAGCCAGATCAGGGAGCCGGAGACTGTCTATCTGTACAGCAGGATCCGAATTGACCAACTCCCATTGCGAATCAGCGCGGTGTTGAATTCGACGTTGAAGCGACGAGAAGAAGTAAAATCAATTTCTGGACTCGAAGTTTTTCCTTTGACTTTTCTTATCGATAACCAAGACTTTTTTTTCCGCGGTTGTTGAAGAAGAATGCAAGAAACATACGATTTTCCATCTGATACAAGAACGAAGCCAGACATTCTGTTTTGAGGGTGGTTATATGTATATAAAAGTACCTGTATGTATCTATGTGTATATACGTGGTGGTGGTTATGGTTGTTCCTGGATGTGGCTTGTAGGATTGTGACCCCTGAATTGGTTCCTTTGCCTGCCATAGATTGAATAGACGAACAGTAACAATCTCTGTAGAAGAAGACGAAGAGGTAGTATATGAATATAAATATTAAGATAGAAATTACATCGGGAAAAAGGAGCTCGACTTTGAATATTTTAATCTAAGCCGGACCCTAAATAGTTTCTTATTTCTCTAACGCCTTCGATCTTCTCAGAAAAACACGATCATGGGCCAGAGAAGTCCAAGTCTGACCCATATTCAACACATATAGAGCAGAGAGAAGAGAGAGCAGAAAGTCTTCGCGATGGCCGTCACTATCACCTCCGCTGGCCGGTCAAAGGAGGAGCAGCAGAAGACCGTCTCTGCTGGCCCTCCAGACGGCTCAATCGAAGACCACTTCTTCTGGACATACACCGAAGAACCGCATAGGACGAGAAGAAAGGCCATCATCAAAGCTCATCCGGAAGTGCGTTGTCTCCTTTCTGATCGATGAGATGAATACTGGCGCTGACGATGGCTTACAGGTCCTGAAGCTATGCGGCCACGAACCTCTGACGAAATATCTGGTGCTCGCCGTCGTTTCTCTTCAGGTTGCTTGCGCCTACTTGCTGCGCAATTATTCCATCTTGTCATGGCAGTTTCTCGTTACTGCGTACGTCGTGGGAGCGACCGCAAACCAGAATCTCTTCCTCGCCATACACGAGATATCACATAACCTCGCCTTCAAGTCGCCGCTCGCCAACCGACTCCTGGCCATTGTCGCCAATCTACCCATCGGGATACCTTACTCTGCATCATTCCGAGTTCGTCATTTACCCCTATGACTATATATATTAAACGGAGGACCAGCATGCTAACAAAACACCGTAGCCATACCATCTTACACACCACAAGTCGCTTGGTGTGGCCGGTCTAGACGCTGACCTTCCAACCGCCCTCGAAGCGTTCTTCCTCGATTCTCTCCTCGGAAAAGCGTTCTTCTGCACCTGTCAGATCCTCTTTTACGCCATCCGGCCCATGTTCATCTATACTCCCAAATTCACACATATCCACCTCATCAACATTGTTGTGCAGATAGCGTTCGACATCGCATTGTATAAATCCACAAACTCCCTTCAGCCACTCTACTACCTCATCCTCAGCTCCTTCTTAGCTGGCTCCCTCCATCCGTGTGCAGGCCACTTCATTGCAGAGCACTACTTCTTCTCCGGCGTAAAGACAGGTGGGACTGAGCCCCTTCACACCCTTCGACAGCAAAAGGGACAGCAGGCCGAGGACGTCAAACCCACCGATCCTTCTCTCCCACCACCGGAGACGTACTCTTATTATGGTGCTCTGAACATTCTGACGTATAATGTTGGTCTGCATAACGAGCACCATGATTTTCCTGCCATCCCTTGGTCGCGTCTCCCCGAACTACATGAGATTGCAAAGGAGTTTTATGAAACGCTGCCGTGTCACCGTAGCTGGGTCTGGGTGATCTGGATGTTCATTCTAGACAAGGATGTTGGTCTGTGGTGCCGTGTTAAGCGGGCTGAGGGGGGTAGAATCGTCGGTGGCGATGGCAAGGCCGTCAAAGTTGATAGTGGATGGACAGAGAACGAGATTCAGAACTGATTTCGGACGTGGTGCTCATGAACATATTGGAAGCTGTCTTTTCTCCATTTCTTCTCTTCTCCTTTCCCGCATACCTAGATATTTCGTTAGAGACGTTTTGTCTCCTCTTTTAATTCATGCTTTTTTGCTCCGAGAATGTCCTTTTAAACTGTGGGCTATACAGGTCAATTGCGTAAAAGAGTCCAACGTAGCATTTGTTCACATCATAGATGTATTGGTACTATCTGTGTATAACTGTCTGTCTGTGTCTGTAGATTTTTTTGTAACTCTAATTTCGGCCGTAGAGCTTGCAGATATACCACATAAAAAGGCCGTGTAGTATCTCATCTGCACTAACTGTCATCATGCATCATGTTTTATGTGGACAAGAAGGTAAAGAAAAATCAGGGAGGGTAAGGAGGGAGTCCATAAAAAAAAAGTGGGAGAAGGGAACGGAGGAGAAACAGGCAAGAGATGCAGAACAGCGGTAGACGGCCATGGGAGAGCAACAAGGCAGAAGTAGCAGATGGGGCGTCGATATTAGGCCGGCATCCCCTTATTCTTCTGCGCAAGTGCATAAATCGAGGGCCTAAGGGGTGGTTTTGATGCCGTGAAGGAGAGGAAGAAATGCAAGAGAGACGTAAAAATAAGTGCACCAATTATTCCCCCCATTTTCTCACCCTTTTGTAAATCGAGAACGGGAAATGAAATTAAATAAGAAACGAGGTAGAGGAAAAGAAACCGAATATTCCGCAGGAAATTGATAAAAACAGAGGGAGGAAATATTAGAAGGACAGGATAAGACGTTGCATTTTTCATCGTGTCGTTTCTCTTTCTTCATGATTCTTCTTTCTAGCTCAAGTTTTGGCGCATTGTCACGACTCACCATCTCTGTCATTACCCATCATAGATGTCTCCATGTTGCCGTCAGGGGTCTCGCCAATACTGGGCAATCCAGAGTCCGTTATAGGCTCTTCCTTCATACATGCATTTTCCAGGATATTCGTCCATTTCCCACTCGAACCCGCATGGATATGCTTCAAGTGCTGCCTCAGGTGGTCCGCCCGCCAGAATTTCTTGGACTGGTTGCATTCCCCGAATTTATGAATAGCTGTTAAATGTTCAATTCGCACATCCCATTGCGGCGATGGGAAGTTGGGGAACTCCATGCCGCAGAAGCCGCAGGTGTCGTGCGTTGCGGTGGTAGAGCCGGCAACCTGGCCGTTAGAAGAGGAGGAAGAAGAAGGATGGAAGGCGGATTCATAGCCTGCTAGAGAGCCGCAGGACCATGAGTGGTGGCGGATATGAAGGGAGGAGCGGTGCCGTTCGGCTTCGTTCTTGTTCTTGAAGCGCTTATGGCAGTAGTTGCAGTTATATTGTTTTTCCATCTCATGGGCTCTAGAACAGGGGACATCATGCAGCATTAGCCTTGAAATTGAGATTGAAAAAAAGCAAATACCTCGAGACAAGTAGGGAAAAACGCTAGAGAGGAGTAAAGAAATAAAACCAAAAGGGAGGAAAAGTTCGTACCTGAGTTCCTCGAGGCTGTCTAGCTTCTTGGGTTTTGCGTGACAGCATTCGCATATATATGACCGGCCGACACGCTGGGGATTCTTGGATGAATTTGGACATGTGTGGGAACCCTTTCTACCTGTCCCTGCCGAGATTGAGTTCTTCTTCATGTCGGCTGCCGACGGAGATGATTCGGTATATTGGTTCGGTCGAGGCATACTCAGGATCGGGGCAGATGTGGACTGTTTCTGGGCAGGACTGCACATGAACGCTCCTCTGTCGTAGTGATCTATATCTGTGGGCGAGACGCCACCTGGAGACGGACGATCGTACGAAGACATGCTGCTTGCTCCGACAGATAGGCCAGTTGACGAAGCATATGACCCTGTCCGCATGCTGGCTGATGAGATGGACGATATTGAGCCGTGGCTTGATTGATATCGAGCCCCGCCCGGCGAGGTGCACATTCCGGTATTAAAAGGAAAGCCAGACATGCGTCTATCACCAGTACCTGTGCTGATCCCTACATCTTCGTGCGGTGCTACCTGTGGTGGGGAGGATGCCCTTCGCTTCATGCCATGGTTTGATAAGGGCGAAATGCCCTCGACGAAAGATGGCATTCGATCGCCCAGACTTCGCTGACGGGTTGTCTTTAAGCTCATGTTCGTGCTCGCCTCGTCCATCGACACATCCGTGTCCAGATCCGGGAAGAGAGACCTATCATGGCTTCGTCTACCAGAGTGTAAGGGTAAGCTATGCGCGGCCTCCCCATATCTAATAGGCCCAGAAGTGATACTGCAGCTGCTGCCGTACTTCTCGCGTGCCTGACTGAACTGGTCGACTTCCATCGGCGAGGGGCCACTACCGCTACCTTCACGATGACTCCGGAAGGCGATATAATCCGAAAAGCCACTGCCTCCTGTACCTGGAGATATGCCAGCCGAAGGCGGGCCGCTGCCCCATCGCATATCCTGTGGGCTGAGAGTCTCATCTGCAAGGGTTAGAGCTGAGAAGCTCGTCTGGACTCTTGCTGGGTCTCTCAGGGTTGTGGTGAGGCCCAGCACTGCGTTTCTCGGCGGAGACGTGGGACCACCAATTTTAGATAGGAGATTTCGGTCGTATGCGTTAATGGAGCGTTCAACACTCTTCTCGGATAGCGGTTTTTGCCTGTTCACCGTTAGACTGAACAGCTTTGTGTGTAGGACTGGCTCTTATGTTAAAAAAAAAAAAAAAACTACCTTGTACTGGGCAATATCCTGGTATCTAGGGTGTGAGATAGTGATCCGGTTTGAGAAAGGGACCTGCCAGGCCTTGTTGACGGACTGGTAGGCGAAAAGGCGCCCGCGTCTCCAAATGGACTCAACAGAGGCGCAGAGAGAGGCCCCGGGCCCGTCTCCTGCTCTGATACGGAGCCTGAACCAGGCCTCCTCGCGTCGACAGCCCTCTGCTCCTCTGCATCCAGACGAAAAGTCTCGTCCCGTCTGCGCAACGGCGGCCTGGCATGGCCTCCAAAGAGGCTGGAGCCAGGGTTTATCGGCGGCAGCATCGTACCTGTGCCTGCAGCAGCGTCTCTACCGACGGAAGCGTCCTTGGGGTCCCTCTCTACCGCTGCTCCTGCTCCTGTTCCGCCTGGATGAAAGGTATTCCCCCATCTCCAGCCCGAGTCGTGTCCGTTGGCCAGTTCTTCTATAAACCGTGGCGGTGGCAGAGGCGGCGGGGCAATGGTTTCTTCCGACCTTGGGATGGCCATTGGTCCATATGGGGGTGAAGGAGGCGCTGAGTCTCTATGTGAGCGCTGCCAGATGGTATGCTGTCTGCTGGTACTGTAGCTGTGGCGACCAGGCTGCTGTTCCGCCGTAGAATCGGAGACGAGGATCGAAGGCGTAGAGGTCAAGGGCAAGTCCATCCTTTCAACCCATGCGTCCGGCCCACGAAGACGTCCTGCTGGCGCATCCAAAGGGGTTCAGTCCGCAAATAGAAAAAGAGAGCAAAGCCAAAAAAAAAAAAAAAAAAAGAAAACGGGGATATCTCAGGTACGCTGAAGTTTAGCAGAGTATATTCCTGTATATATTTCTTAACCGGTGGCCATGTGAGGAAGAACAAGTCGGACGGCCGAACGGTGGCGGCGGTGGCAAGTCTGATACGAGTTCTCTCTCTATACCGACGGTGCAACAGAGGGCCTTGTATATATATGTGAATATCTATCTATACAGACAGATAAGGTGTTATCTTAGACACATATAGACTGGCCCGGACGCAGGATGGAGGGACGCCGTCTCGATCGCATTCCCCCCTTTAAAGCCAAAAAAAAAAAGAAGAAAGCGGGCGGGAGAGCGAAGAGACGGAGAGGAGAAGTCAAGGAATTTGGGCGAAAATGAAGTTTTGATGGATCAAAAGGGAAAAAAAAGAAAAGAAAAAATGAAAAAAAGAAAAGAAAAAAAGGACGGCCAAAAAAGGCTAAATCGTAGGGCTGAAATTACGATACTTCGACTAGATGGCAAAACATCTTCTGCCGGATATGAAGATAAGACGCCCAGCAGAGGTGAACATATATATATGCATATATAGTCGGCATATATCGTTGCTATATAGACGAGCCTTTATAACAGTAAAAATAGCAGAGATGGACGAAAAAAGAGGAAAAGGAGAAAGGCGGTGTATCATGTATGGTAACGAGCGATACGCTTGTCACAGGGCTACTGTATGGTAATGCCGGTACGTTACAGTACGTTATAGTATTACTAATATCTGTGATAGCTTGTTAGTAAGATCTTAGTCATCTATGGGACTGTACATGGTGTACATAGTATATATTTGAGCAGATGGGATAACAGTTGTTTGGGATTGTAGTTGGGATAATGCATGGGGTGACTCCTCAGTTTGCAAGTTTGCGCAAAAGACATGAAGAGCTTGCCACAGCGCTGATTGAGTTCACATATCAGACTTTCCAACCGTCATCCCCGTGTGCCGGTAACTTTCTTCGATGACCAAACGTTGCTACCATTCAATCGGATGCTTCTCGTTGCATGGAATCATCTCCAGAGGCTGTTTTTTTGCCCCAAAGTTGGACGCCATCAAGATCAAATGAAATCAGTTGATAGCTCGGCCAACCCTATTAGTAACTGTACAGCATTGGCCACGTGACATGCCCTGTACCTCGATAAGTCCTTACATAGTGTGTAATAGTGTGTAATTTTAATAGAAGCAGAAGATGATGAAGGGCAAAGCCGACAGGCTGGCTGGGTAACAACAAGATGAACGGATACTTCAAAGCGTGATGGCAGCTGCAGGCGACGTCAATGTAATTATGCACCCCGGTTAATGGGTTCTTCCCTGTCGCGGGCCGTCAACTCTGTAACTTGCACTCCGCGGACTTTTGCTGCTCCTATGTATGGAGTACGTCCAGAGCCACATCCAACGCCCACATAGAACAGACCCATCTTAACACCCTCTTCTCTTTTTTTTTTTTTTTCTTCTTCTTCTAGAAGTTGTGCAGGGCAAAAGTCTCGGTCGGCCCTAGCGGAGCTTTTCTTGACATGGTATTTTATCTTTCACCCCCAGTTCCACCGCAGCACAAGCACAGCGGTGCTCCATACATGCAACATATACATAGTACATCGTCCAGTGGAAGTATGTAAGCAGTGAGCTGACGGCTCGGCGAGACAACTACCCCACCTTCTTTTTATCTCGATCTCGCAGCTGAAGGTGAAGGCCGTACGGAGAGCTGGGTGGTACGTTACTCTGTACCAAGTATAGTTATACACGATCTGTACAGCTATCAATGGGTTCCCCCCCCCAGAAAAGTGTATGTGTGGATGCAAAGCCTTGCCCTTATCAGTAAGGCGTAGGCCGTACGTACATATACATACATACTTACATTAGTGGTAGTAAGGAAAGTTGCGTTGAGGCGCAGTTCATCAGGGATCTTCCTCCCCACCAACAAGCAGCTTTTTGCAGCAACGAACAGCAACTCAAGGCAACGCACAGAAGCTTGCTTGCTAAGAAAGATCGGTCCAGTACCCTGGCGTTGTCTTTCCTCCCTTGTCTGGAGTGGAACGATCCTACTTGGCGGGGGTGGGCTTTTTAGGATCAAACTAATGCATCGTTAGCAGACAACTTAAGTGGTTACAGGACGAGAGAAACATGTTATGTACTTCCTTCGCGAAGGGGGGAGTTTCGGTTTTTTTTTTTCCTGATCATGGTCCTCTCATTCCATCCCTCCCCCGCATGTCCTCAGGATATACTAGGATTCGCTAGTTTTATACCCGGTCATCTCACCCCATCAATGACCACCTGTCGATGCCAGAGGGGAGCCAGAAAGCTAGTTCCGGTCGTGTGATACGTTCGGCCACATAGGGCTGAATTCGAGAGACCAACCTCTCTCCCTCTCTCTCCATATCCCATCAGGGTTGTCTCGTAATTGTTGGCTAGTCTGGGAGGGAGGGGAGGTTAGCGGAAACACGTAACAAGTCATCGACGGTTCAGGCACAGGCCGTGACCATACACATGGTATCAACCATACCAAAACCAGAGGGCTGGTACATTATTATTGAGTATTCCTGGCAGGGTCCTGCGGACGGTAGATTGGCTGGGTTGGCCTGGATGGAAATGATTTGCCATGCCCTCGTCCCATGCGACTGACTGCATACTCCGTATATAAACAGACACCAACACCCTCGTCCATCACTCCCCCCCTCCCCTGTTTTGTAATATGTATGCTCCTTGAGGAAGCTGAACACATATGTAGTGAGTATTATATCATACGGCAGATATACCCTTTTTCTTTCGTAACTTATCGTAACCACCTGTCACATTGGGCCGTCTCTATAGCCAGCCGTAAGCAGAGAACCTAATCTTCAGGGAGATTGTACATGACGTTACCGAGTAAAATCGCCCTTTCAACCAACCTGTCATCATCCTCAGCTGCAGGTCGGCATCGCCGACTCCTCTTTACGTAGCATCGTCATTCCTCCCTTTCATCGCTGTCATCTTCTTCATTCCTCTCTTCATCCTCGGCTTAAAAACTAAAAGCTGAGAGAAAAAAAGTCTTGGCATCAACTTCTTCCTCTCAAAAACAAAACTTCGCTTTTTCCTTCTTTTTCAGCTAAGCCATCGATCAAGCCCACCCTTGCGATGTTATTTATACTCAACTCAGCTGTGTTCAATATATATCTACAGCCTAGATCCTTCGAGAGCCTCTCCTCCGTATTCTCTGATCCATTCATGCATATACATGATCGCATGACTAGCTCTGCGCTGTGACCTGACAACTTGAATCTCGCCTGCTCTGGAACTCTTCTCCTCTTCAGCCGCCATGGCGCTGAACAAGATCGGAGATGATAATCTCTATATCGGAGGGTTTGTTTACCCTTTCATACATACCCCAGTCTCCATCGTTTGGTTGCCTACTGTTTGCATCCCCGCTGTTGCTGGCATCTTTGACCCCCTACAGCGGCCATATATCCATCAGAGTGATAGCTTTGGTGAACTTCCACATATAGCTAATGAATTAAATTACAACTATTTCACTGCCTCTTCTCTAGATTAATGGCCCTGAACAATAAACTAGCGATTGAAAGGGAAAACATTACCCATACGGTGACCGTATTACGGATAAACGTAGACGAAGAGCGGTTCAAACCCTTCAAGAAGCACTTGCATATCCCCGTCGACGATGTCGACGATGAGGATCTCCTGCAGCATTTCCCAACCACAAATGCGTTCATTCGATCGGGGCTTGAGAGTGGAACTGAAGGGGTGCTCGTTCATTGGTATGTCATTTTGTATATTTCTTATTTTTTAACTAGTTAACATGTTCTGGCTGGTTCTGGCTAACGGCGCCTATATAGTGCAATGGGCAAGTCCCGCTCGGCGACCGTATGTATAGCATACCTCCTTCACCGGGAACCGGGTGCATTGACTCCCAGGGAGGCCCTGGATCTTATTCGTCGTACCCGGCCGCTCTGCGAGCCGAATGGCGGGTTCATGGAGCAATTGGAGCTTTACCACCAAATGGGGTGTCCAGATAATGTTGTTGATCATCCCGTTTACCAGCGTTGGCTCTACCAAAGAGCCGTGCAGGACAGCGTAGCTTGTGGGAAGGGGCCTGAGCTGGACGAGATCCATTTTGAAGATCAAGGGATGAATACTAATGCCACTGATGGCGGTAAAACGTCAGGAGGTGGAACTGAGGTTAGATGCCGGAAATGCAGGTTCGTGGCTGGAAGCTATACCCCCATGCTAAGAGAAACTAATCTGATAACTATATAGACGACAACTCGCCACACTGCCCTTCATCGTCCAACATACCCCAGGAAATAAAAGTGTCACATCCCAGCCGCAAATCAATCCCCCCACATCATCATCACTACCGCCATCTACATGCGCCCACATCTTCCTTCATCCGCTCTCGTGGATGCGTCCATCCCTTTTCCCTTCTTCATCTGATCCGTCATCTCCCAGTCCATCATTGGACCCAGACACTAACCCACCGCTCTCTGGTCGCCTCACATGTCCAACTAAATCTTGTGGAGCGAACATTGGTAAGTTCGCATGGGCTGGCATGCCTTGTAGTTGTGGAACATGGATTGTTCCCGCCATAGCTCTCGCAAGGGCACGAGTCGATGTGTTCGACGCGATTACGAGGAAGAGCAGTGCGGCTGGTGGTGTTGGTGCTGGGATTAGAATGCCCCCCGGTATGGTTCGGGCGCCTGTGGCTGACGCCAGAGCTGAAAGAGAAAATGATGAAAGCGGGAAAGGGTTGCTATGAATTCATGAAGAAAAGTAATTATAAGAAACTTGACGAACATCCAAAGATAGATAGATACCCTTTGAAGTTATTAGAAAGACAAGGTTACTCGAAGTCATCGATCTTTAACACTCGCCACCTGTCAAAGTAATCTACTACGAGAGATCTGTCTTCGGTACCGATGGAAACGTCGAAGGGTTCTGCAGACGCTGACGATCTCTCTTTGACTTCTCAATAGCTTTCAGTCTATCAACCCGCATTTGGTAGAAGTTCCTGCAGAGGCGGTCAGTATATACTTCAAGAGGCGTACAAGTACAGCACACGTACTTGTGGAGTGCATAAATTCGAGGCATGTCATCCGTACTAGCGTTCCCAGAGTCGGCGGCCTTTTGTATATATTTTATCTATTTTCACAGGTTAGATATCCTTCGTAATATATGTAAAGACCACGAACCTTTTCATCTTTCTCTTTCTCATCTTTGTTGTTTTCCTTATCATCCGTCTCCTTTTTCTTCTCCTCTTTTTTATCGCCGTCCTTCTCTTTCTCCTTCTCCTTCTCCTTCTCCTTCTCCTTCTCCTTCTCTTTTTTCCTCCGTTGCCTCTCCTCGTATTCTTTCTTCACCTTCTCAATCTCGCGGTCCATCTCCTCCTTTTTCTTCTTCGCCGCAACTTCTTCCTCATCTATAAGCGGTGAACAAAAGCTCTTATCCTTAAGATGGATCGGACAGATGTAGAAGAAATCCTATGTAGTCTTAATATGTGTTTGTTTATTGTTGGTATTATATTGCTGCGAACGTGTATTCCGATGGCCTTGTAACAAGCCATGACGATAACCCTCGAATATGCTGAAAAATATAGTAGCAACTGACCTTATTGTCAGGAGTAACCAACACACTCGTTGATGGTTTGTAGCATATAAGACATGATTTAGCGCTGGTATCTGCGACTCGGCGGAGGTGCCATCTGTTCTGTAGAAGCTGAGCCATCTTCGATGTTGAGCTGGAGAGTTAACGAGATCAATTTATTAGTTATCATGAATATCAAAGTCGATATGATATGAATCCTAGGGTATTGGTCCAGATATTAGTTTCGTCCTTGTGGTTTGCGAATTTACCCATGGCTTCCTGAAGAGATGAGGTCCACGAATGCCATGAACATGTGATCTAAAGAGCCCGCCCTTTTTATGTACAATGCAATTTAAGACCTTCATCTGTTATATATGATATGGTAGAAAACATGACTGAGATTATATTCAGGGCTCCAACATTGTATCCCTACTTTGAAAAAAACCAATGATCGCTCGAAAGCTATCCACAAATTATGTTCTGGTAATGCAGGTTATTCTATAGACTCTACAAAAGACCCGTCCAAAATCGCCCTAAAACCACACTCCCCCAAATGTGTCTATAATTTATTCTATAGCTCCCTCTTTATAGGTGCTGGCCACGTTATCCGGTGAGGACAGCCTATCATTCATATTCTCCACATTCCTTCTCGCTTCCACCCAAATCATGAATTCATCATAAGTCTGTGGCCAGACTTCATGCTGTCCTTCGACCAAAAATGTATAGTTGAACGTGCCTGTAGGATTAGTGGTTCCATAATCGATGTTCCTGGCGGTGGTGTCAACTCGAACTTGAACCCTGGTGAACTTCTGGCCGGAGGTGGATGTCGAAGGAGAGTCTTGGGTGTATGAAACGACAGCATTGAGGTATGAAACACAGCCGACTGGAACCGGATTGTCAAAGGTGCTTGGTTCAAGGCATAGGAAAGTAGGTCGACTGCGCGAGAAGGACGCAGCGCAGCAATAAGCAAGCTCAAATGTTTGCTTTAGAAGATAACCTCCGAATATCATGAAGTTATGTCGGTTTCTGTCATATGGCTGCATGATTTGGGCAGATGAGAGCATTGTATCTTTCATATTCGTAGCTGAAACTCCGGATAATTCAGGTGGTACCGCGCGCCCTAGAATGTGTCAGGAATGATATTGCTAAAACAGACACTGTAAAAAGGAGACATAGACATACCCGCTCTCTTAGTCCACATCGCATGGATGAGATCACTTTCCTCATCATTTGGCGTCTGCACCTTCAAGCTCCGTTTCCTCAAATCTTTTTTGGCGTTATAATTGCGTTCTCCGTTCTCGAACAATCGACGCTCCTCCGCCGTTTCCACCAGGAGCGGCGCAACAGAAGCTGGCCTAATGCCATATTAGCTATCTCCATCCCAGCCTCACCAGCTAATGGATATTCAGAGCAGGAAGGGAGAATGAAGAACAAGCAACTCACTTTCTAGTCTTTGGGTCTAAGGCAACCATGGTAAAGGCACAAGTAATCAGAACATCCTCAGCCTTTACCGCCTCACCCTCGACAGGCGCCTTAGCAACCTGCAGCGATATTTCCATACTCGATCGGCCTGTAGAGTATGTAACTTGACCACTCAATTCCAGATCACAGATCTCTTTGAGTGGGTTTTCAATCGTGATTCTGTCAACTGCCGCGGTAACGAGTGCCACATCGTCACCTGCATGCCTGTAACTGACAACACCAGCAAGGGCGTCCAAGTCCATCAACAAAGACCCGAGTCTGTATCGATTAGTTGCCATTGAACGAATAAGTATGCATTTATTTGACAATTTTACCTGATCTGCCCGGTTGCATTGATGTACTCGTCTAAGAGCCACGGATCCTGGCCAAGGGATAGTATCTGATATCCCAATTAGCTTATGCAGTATTAAATTGAAGGGCAGGGGGTACTAACTGAGCGATAATAACTATCCTTCATCCTTTTTGGGGTCATATCGCTAGCTTCCACTTGTCCACCCGTCTTGCGCTTGTCGGAGGCGCCGGTAGTCAGTCCCGCGCCTTTTTCCTCTCGACTCTTGGTCAAGGCTTCGATATATGGCATTTTGACCCTGGCTTCCGTCCATGCGGGATGGAATGTCTGCCTGGGCAAAGTGTAATGAAGCCCTCTAGACTGGATATTTAGACATGACGTTGCCCAAACGCATCTTTGCCGCACCTCCCAATTGAGACATAGTGAAAGATTCCTCCTTGATACAGACGCTATCAAGGATGATAGAGGACGGTAAGTACGGTGGCGCATGGTTACAATTCGAAGAATCCGCAAGCTGATTGACTAATGAGCATGTTCTGCTCAAGTTAGAATTTGGAGATGGAGTTAGAGATTTGACGATGGCGCTAGCGAGGAACATTGGCGCATTATAATGTCAGGAAGTGCGGCATACTCCGATACAAGAAGACCAAGGCGGCCTCTTCTTTATCATGGGAGTGGCAGTGAAGGATCTGGAAGATAGTATAATATATTCAATCAATGTGGCTCTAAAGAGTAAACTATTGCTACTGAAAATTCAAACCACAGCCACTAAAACAGATCATCTATGGTAGGCATCATACTATATAAGAAACCGGATTCGATGCTCGATGCTAGCAACCAGTAAAATAGTGAAATGCTCGTGCGCTGATAACACCAAAGAGAAAAGAAACAAACGGCCTGATTAAAAAAAATTCTGGTAGAAGCCAAGGTCTCGAGAAAACTCCATGCGCCAGACAAATGCAACGGATAGGGGCATGACAGGACGCTGGGCAAATAACATGTCAAAGTAAAACGGGGAGGCTTAACCGTTAATAAGCCAGAGAAAAAGGTTGATATTCTAGATGTAGAGGTATAGGTGGGTAATGGTGATTAAAAGAGTGTAAGGTATGTGTGAACAGAAGATCAGGGACGGATGGTGCCAGCGTGCTTTAATCCCAGAGGATGAGTGATGAAGCCGTAGAGAGGAAAACGGCAAGCGAGAGCCAAGCTGACATGGAGACGCTGGACGCAGCACTGGGAGAGGCCGTCGAGCCGCTACTAGGTTCGCCTGTTGTAGAAGTTGTCGCCGAGCTTGTTCCAGACTGCTCTGGTAGCCCAGGGGAGCCGCCAGATGCCTTATTCGAGGTAGGAGCTGTAAATGGTAAAAGAGTGAGAAACATGTCGTGTTTAGGAAAACAGTCAGTAGAAGGCAAAAACATACCTGGAGGGGGATGGCTAGACGATGGCGGATCCTTAGTCTCTCCGTACTTCCTCGCCGCCAGCCCGACTCTGTTCTTATCAAAATCGTATACCGAGTAGACGTTCTTCAGAAAAACATCTCCTAGAAGCCACTGTTTGGGCCCTATGGCCTGGCGCCCAATAATCAGAGAATTGCATATCCCCTTTGTGGTACTTTCGTATCCAACATAGTCTTTGGGCTTGATGGCGTATTTGACGCCAGAGATGGACAATTCAATATTTGTTGTGGTAGAGCACGGAACAGTGTAAAACACCGAACTTTTGGCTGATTTGGGTATCTTGGAGTGAATTAGGTCGGCATCATCGGGAGGTAGAAGAAGGAAAGACGTTCCTGTGTCTACAATCCCGCTTCGGCCCTGGAAGTTCAGAGGTTTCCCGTCCACTATTATGTCGTCAACTGCAATTTCCCATTGATAACCCCCAGAAACGACGTTTGAATAGGCAAGTTCTCCGGAAAATTTGCTCTTGTCGACATCACCAAATGTAATTTGGCCATCTGTGGCGCCATCAGAGTTTCGCTGCAGGTTAATTCCGATGATATTGCTCTTCAATAGCTTCTGTTGCATCAGGAGCTGTATGACTGTTGGAACTTTTGCTTTGGAATCCTGGGGACCTATCCCCAGGATTCCATCCATGGGATAACTCATGAAATCATCTGAGGCTGTAGTTGCAGAGCCAAAGGGAGTATCCAGCTCAAAGCCTGCAAACGACATGGTATCATTCACAATAACGCCAGCAACTTTCCCAGTGCCGTATGCGACGTCCCACTTCTCGTCTGTGACCTTTATGGTCTTCGAGTCCTCTTTTCCAAAGGTATTATGTGCTCCGCACGATTTGCTCGTGCAGTCTGATCCGAACACCCAAGTCCTCGACGCACCGGTGTCTATCAACGAA